CGGTCGCATTTTTCAGCACTCCCGTGCTACCGGGCTCCCCAGACCCCGTGCTTTGGTGCCCCACAGCAGCAAAAGCAGACTGCCACATTGTCAGGGGCAGGCACAGGAAAAATGTCCTCAGGCCATGGATACACTTGAAAACTACAAAAGGTCCTCAAAGAAACTGCGTTTAAAAAGGGTTTCGATTTAAGTTTAACTATAATATGATGTAGTAGCCATAAAGAAGTCAATAGATTACAATTTCTCAACTAATAAAGCCTTCTAAACTGTTATGCTAATAGGTACTTAGCTTGTAAGAGATATTTTTCAGTGCCTGGGGTGCTAAGGGATGACCGTCATTAATCTTCGTGCCACTCCAATTGTCGTTGCGGTGTCCGGCCTCAGGTGCACCATCATTTCCCGGCGCCATCGACTACAAATTGGAAAGTGGAAGTGGCAGCGGAAACGGGCAGGAAGCCCCGTCCAGTCAAAGGACCTATTTAGATTGGCTGGAACCTCAATTAGAGAGTTCCGCTGGCCAACAGATTCGGTCCTTCACTGGCCGAATGAAGCCTCTGAAATACTTTTTGACTTCTACGATTCGAAAGATGGGACAAGTACTAAGTAAAAATTGCTTTTCCAGCTGTTGCTCTGTATGCGTGTGCGTATGTTGAAAGTCGAGTTCGGTGACGCAAATCCTTTGACGACATCAGCATGGCTCTCGAGCCAGGACCCATGGGAGACCCACAAAAAAGGATATAGGCGGTAGCTTGGAGGAACAAGCATGAGAAGTAGTGGTTACTGGGCGGCTGTGCAAACAGAATGCAATGTGATGGCAGGACTAGCGTGTGTAAGACCACTATTGCCCCGCCATCTGGGCTGGGGCCCACATGGAAGCACCATCACGCCCACACTATAAACATACTTATAAAAGTTACAAAATGAAGGAAGTAAAGAGCCAGCCAGTGCATTTCCTTTTTGGCAAACTTTGCAGACTTTGGCCCAAACAATATATCTGCTGCGGTCCTGCCGGCAGCCGGCTGCCAGGAGGATTTATATTTATATATATAAACTCCTGCTGTTGGCTTTGGCTTAGTGGAAATTGCTGCAATAAAATAGTCCTTCCTCTAATTCCACTTAACAATGATGTGAGCCAGTAATGGACGAGTTTTGACTCCACAAAGCTCCTGCGCTGAATGCTTGGAAGCCATCCATATGCAGTTTGTTATCAAGGTAAGGAAAATTGACATAAAATAAATTCTTATTGCTCTTGTGCCGGCTTTGAGGGTCTTTAAGTTGTATAAGCCTTAAACTATTGCCAGGAGACTTTCCGTTTTTTATCGCCGAAGATAGGAAACTCAACTTAAGACGATATTTTCCCCCTGACATAAACAATTAAACTTTAACGATGAAAGAAAATGTGATGGTTATATATATTTCAGTTTAATAAAATCCCTTTTAGCAATCCCTTTATTGTAGGATATCTCCCTAAGCATCTTGCCCAGCAATCGTATTTTGATTTAAGAAATTCCAGTCATCTGAATGACTGCGATTGAACATTTTACTTGGCATTCCGTAGCAAGGAAAGATGCCTGCCATCAAACTAGTTTTGTGTAGTAAGTCCTTGTATGCTCTACTTTCAGTACTTCCAGCTGGCAAGCTCACAATAATCTCTTTCGCCAAGTGAAAGCTGCGAGACTATCGATATACACATACTCGTAACTACTAGTTGTTTGCATCGTTTTAAAACGTGTTGGAAAATCGCACTTGATTGCAGGGAAGCTCGTGTTTCTATTGTTTGCCGAAAACCTTCTCGCAAACAACGAGGCGACTAGCTGCGGGCCCCAAACTTACACATACACGGCGTATACGTAATGCATTCGGTGTACTGAGCTTACACTTTACAATATGCATACGCCTGGACGGATTTTGTTGTCCCTCTATGCTAGGAAAACAAACATAAAAATGAAATTCAAAACAGCTGAGGGTAAAAATTGTGAAACGTGCGAAAAAAGTGCCAAGAGATGATATAAAACTTGACACACACACTCACATGCACATCCACAGAGAGAAGCAACAACCACTTCCGCTGACAGGAAATGAAAGTCTCCGTGCGTGTGAGCAAGTGTTTGTTTGTATATGTGGAGACAGTGTGTGTGTGTGTGCGAGTGCCAATGTGGGTTTGTGTAACTTACGTGCGTTGCCAAATGGTTTATGAAGTGGGTGACGGCTGGGCGGCTTGATTCGTATTTTTTACCCCTTTCCATTTATTGTCTTTTCGGCCTGATGCGGCTTATGGGGGAATTCCTGTTTAGTCAAGCGTAAGGTATGAGAAAATACCAAAAAAAAAAAAAAATACAAAACACAGAAGGGGTAAATATGGCTGGTATGTGCACTGCAAACTATGCTAAAGTCATCTTCGAAATCGAAATGCTGAGGTTTGCCCAGGTTCCACAGTGCGTATGCGTGATATTTGCCCAAAATCAATGGCATAGCAGTTGTGGGAACACTTCAACCGCAACATTGTACGGAATTTCCCATTTCTAAAAAGACATATATATATTAATGACATTTGCACGCCGAGGCATAATTAGGCATCGACGATAATGACACTTCCCCGGCATTAATCTCCCGTGCCACAGCTCCTGGCCGATGTGGCTGGCCCCGACCAATTAGTCTGTTTGATGTGGCACCACATCGCAGACTACTGTGTCCCACTCGCACACATTAAAGCCCATACCAATGACTGTCTCGATTTCCATTTAGACCTAACTACTTTTCCTAAGCAACTGAGATGGGTGAAATGCGAGACAGAGTACTGAGGGAAAATATTAGGAAGTTAATAAATCAAGAACAGTAATTAAAAATTATAATAAAAGTAAACTCATTATTTCCTGATACATTTCTGGGTTTTCCAAAACATGTTTTTTGACAAATATTCCACAGAAATGTTTACTTCCCCTATTCAGACCAATTTTCTCTCAGTGTTTCTCTGTTTTTCTGCTCGTGAGCCTAATTAATATCTTTATGTTACCATAAACGACCATCCCATCGAATTCTAAAGCCAAACAGCTGTTCGTGAAGGAACACAAATACCACAATAAAATATGTAAAATGTAAGTCTTAAGAAAGAAATGAAATCAATTAACTAAATTGATTTGGCCTCTATGAGGATTGGAACGACTTGACTTTCGCCAAAAAAAAAAGATTAATATTGATCTCTTTTAGTGGAATTTTTGGAGATTGCCAGTAGCAAAAGGTCAATTACCGTCTATTAATTTGTCAATATTCCAAATGAGATGGAATAATTACGCATAGCAGGGCATAGCAGACATTCGTGCTCAGTACTCTTCCAGGATTCAGGATATTTCATTAAATTAGCCGTGGCTCCTTGGGCAAAAATCTTTGATGCCAGACTGCTTCAAAGGGAAAATCATTATAGCCCGATGCTTAGCCGGGAAATTAGTGCCGGACAACAAAGCTGCAATACCCCAAGACAGTCCGTCGTCCTGTCGACTGTCTATTTTATCTGGTAATTACCGGACAATGGATGGAAGCCAGGACGAACACCGCAAAAGGTCTTTATGTAATTACATTCGCGGGGAACTTGAATCGGATGGGGGAATCAGTTGAACTTTCCACTCATTAATTGCTGGCAAACGGGCGTTAAAAGATTGTTTTTGCTTTCCAGATGATGATGATGATGATGATGATGGTCCACTGTCCATTTAAGCCTTAAACACACAGTAAAACAGTTAGAGAAGGGCTTCTGGGAACTAGAAATTATATGCAGATGAACGAACTTTGAACAAGTTTTCGTAGGCAGTCATATGGTCAGACAAGGGTAAAGTTCTTGAACACACTTAGATAAATATTAATAAAAACAGTTTCGTTTTTTTAAAAGCAACATTAGGTTTAACAACTTTCTAAACATTTCTGCCAAATAGGTACTTTCTTTCCTAACCAACTTATGACCCTTCAACAAAGCGCTTTCTACCACAACTTAACTTTATATGCAGATGAATGACCGCATTCCTTCTTCCTTTGTTCAGCTTTCGACCCTTGATTTCTCAGGGGTTTAATGCCCCAAACAAGATGTCCCTAATGGCCAAAATGACAGCTTAAAGCGAACAGAGTTGGCGGTGGATGTTCTCGGTCATTTGGCCAATTGACGAGACCACGAGACCATCAATCAAACGCATCCGGATGACAAATTCCCGTGGACGGGGTCAGAAGTGCTGAATGTGTTCAGGGAAAATTATGCATACACAGAAGCCGCAGAGCATTGAAGGACGTTCTCCCCGAAGGCCAGTTTATTTGCCTGTCATTGTTGACCAAAACACACACACACACACAAACGTACACTCTACTGTAAATGCTGCATAACCGGAAATAGGACAGCAGACATTTTGTCAGTTAACAGGGAGCAGTGAGCAATGAGCAGTACTCAACCCTTGACAATCGACAACAGATATGCAGATATACTCCTCGTTGAATTGTCATGCTAATCTCGACAGTTGGATGATATCCGTGCTGGGAATTTAATTGATAAGCTAGAATAGGCGAGTAAATTGGGATTTGATGACTTGCAGACTGAGTTAAGGTCAGATTTACTCAATCAGCAAACTATTTGGCTTACTCAATGAAATAATTCACAATTTCTCTGTAGATTTAAGACATCCTTGCAGTGCAAATAAACAAGTACTTCAGTACAATGTCTTGTCAAGCAAATTTGTTTTAAATTCAAATGACACGGATAAGCTCTGGTTATAACTTCTGTTGACATGGCCACCAGGCTTTTTTGGCAAGAACCTTGATTGCAGATTTAAAATAGCTTAGTCGGGGCTAAGCAATCACTCCTACCACGAATCGAAACGCAGATGATGTGATGCCAATGGAAAATTTTACGCTCGACCTTATAATCGAAGTCATTAATTTGCTAACTTGGCTGATGGCTGGAAAGTTTCCGCACATTTGTTGGCCAACTTTACCTTGGCAACGAATAAAACAGATACCCAATACCAGTATACATTGTATGTATTTGGCCAAGATGCGTGAACCAAAGAATGTACACTGCGAGACTTGCGTCACAAAAAAAGTTTTCCACTTTCCATTTTCTCGGAGAAGAAAAAACCAGAGACCCTTAATTTTGGAATACATCGAGTGGGCCAAGTGGCCTATTCGAGGGCATTGACACTTTCCACTTCCATAATTGAAGGCGAGCTCCGTTCGGCGGACTCATAGGCATGCATCTTGACCAGCATCATGGTGAAGATCTCCACAGGCAACGTGTTCTGGAGTACCTGCAGCAATTTTCCTGGCTGGCTGCAGACGAGGAGCGCATTGATTAGATGATCCACACCGCCCTCAATGTCACCATTAGAGATCAGGCCATCGCCCTTGTGGATCTGGGTCATGAAGTACATCTCGCTGTCCTTTTCGCTGAAAGTAGCCGACGACGGAGATCCCAAGGACTGGCAGGTATTTTGATTTCGTCGTTCGTGCAACTTCCTCTTGAACTCCGGATCACTACGTCGCTTCTTGTCGAAGTACACACAATAGGCCATGAACAGCATTCCCGAAACGGCCGCCAGAACTTGGAATGCTCCACGCACTCCAATCATTTCCGAATTTTATTTTGTAGGTTTAACGGTTTTCTGACTGTTTAAATTTTCCGACGCTGGTTTCTGGACAACAAGTCTCTTCCTTGTGTGCTCCACAATGTGTCTATGCTCCCAGTGAGGTTGGCAAATGGATTGATAGATAACCACACGCTGCCTTAGCCTGACAAGGGATTTGAAAGGGCTAGCTACTGGAATTAAGTGTGATTGATTTGGGTTTAGTTTAGATTGATTTAGTCCTAGTTTGCCATCATAGCCAGCCATTACTAGGACATTTGCATTTCAAAATGCAGTTCGTTATAGAAATGTTAATTTTCATTCGTTAGCTTATTGATGATTACGAATTAATCCCCAGCCACTAAAATACCAACATAAACTGAAACGAAAAAAGTTGAAAACTATTTAACAACTTATTTATATGTTTAATTGCTTTTGCCTGTCGAATAAAAATAAAGAACTAAACTTTCCCAGCGTTGTTCTGACAATTATCTGGAGCATTGGCAATCACAGAATGGCTTTTCCGCCCTTTTGGAACTCTGCATTAAAAGTAACATGTTTTTATTTGCCAAAAATAAATAAATGAAATGCCAAACCAACGTGGCAGAAGGTAAAAACGGCTACTCTGACAGGAACATGGCCGTGACAGTTAGATTTACGAGATGTTGCCTTAATTTTGGTAATGCAATTGACCTCCAACCTTTTGGGCCAACCTTTGCCCATACCACTTTATTAGGCCAATAATAGTAGGCCCTTTAACTCGAATATGTATAAGAATTGATAAGGCATTTAATTTGATATGATACTTACCAATCGCAGAGACCTAATTCGAGACCAGACCACTCTAACTTGCTCTGGCAATTTGCGGTGTGACCCCAGGATTTAACCTCAGTCTGTTGCCAGGGCAATGCGGCACCATATGTGGAGATGGTAATAGAGAATCTTTTCAACCGATTTTTTCGGTTTGCCATTTCATTCCTTAAAGGCTTTTTTGCGGCTACCATGACAATGGTAAAAAAGGAGGCACAAAAGGAGGCTGACAAGTGGGCCAGCTGCGTAACAAACATCAACTTATTATGCAAATTGTTATTCTGGCGAATGAAGCTCTCTGCTCTGAAAGCTCTTCCGAACCCATCAAATCCTATTACCTCAAATAAAAAAGAACGCCGGCCATCGATTTCATTGTGAGTTGTGTGCAACAAGCAATTTAACGCATTAGCGCGACTTTCTCCTCCAACTGCCACAGCGGAGGCAATAAAAATGTAGCGCGTTGGTATATTGGTTTTTGGTTTTCTGGTCTTTGAGTTGGGGATTTGGTTTTGGTTTCGAGTTCAGTTCTAACCCGAATGTGCTGCAGTGAAACTGTTTGTGATTCAATTAGATAGTTGAATGTATCCCCCAAGTGGGTTCTCAATGGGGTTAGGAATCGTTTTTGGTTTCGGTTTGCATTTCAATTACACTCTGTAATCGCTTAGCATTATGCGAGTATCTGCTCACCCTACAATCCTCGAATCTGTTTGCCTTTGCCTTGAATACAGCGAAAAGCGAAATCCTTTAAAATTGAACTATTGAAAAGAAAATTGATGGCAATGGGGATGGGGTGACGCGGTTGAAAGACAGTGAACACAAGATATGATTTGAGAGCATTTGAAAGGATTCGTTTTTTTGTGAATTTGCATTAAAGGACCTTTCTCTCACCCATCCTCGCAAGCCAGCCCTTTGAACGTATTTGAGTAATAACTACACCCACATTAGTATGAAATCGTGCATGGGCAAGTTGGCTGAATGGGATTGGACTGTGTTGGCTTTGCATAAATAATGCGACTCCGAACATAATGGAATGCAAATTCCCTTTTGGGACTGGTCTAATGATATTACCAGCACATTTTCGCCTGGCGAATTACTGTTTATTCGAGCAAATTAATCCCAGCTTAATGTTCATTTCAAATTTTCAGTTACAATATTTGTCTAACCCTTGAGGTGAATGGGCAAAGTGCTTGAGGACATCTCTGTTCACTGACCACAATTATCTCGTCACGAAATGATGAACATTATCTAAATATTTTGTCAGATAAAAGTTTTGCCGTGTTAAGTTTATTCAAATTAATTACACACCTTGATTCGTCATTTCACAACGATTTTTACATATGTATATTTAAATTTTTAATAGATATACAGATGGCATAGGCAAAAACCATGAGGACATACTGCTCTTTCCAAATATTAACTGAACAACCCTGTGTGTTAGGACAAGTACTTTTAAGGCCCACTGTACAACTTTTAGCATAAGGTATTGGTAGAAGGCCCACTGTAAGATAAACTGAAGATGAAACAACTTAACAGTAAATAGTACCCATATATACTGTTATCTCTTTCTATCATGTCAGTTAGCCTTAAGAGATCGTAAGGTATACGAGCCTCGTATATGTCCACCTCGCTCACGGACAAGCGAACAAGGAGGAACAAGAATTGAAAAGACACTTGGTTTCTGACTCTCGAATATGGTGAGAATAAGCGAAAAAAGCTATGTCGTGGTGAGTTTTATACTTTTACACCCATTCACTGACCACAATCATAACCTCGTTACTAATTGATGAACACTATCTAAATATTTTGTCAGATAAAAGTTTTGCCAGGTTAAGTTTATTCAAATCAATTACACACTTTGATTCGTCATTTCACAACGATGTTTACATATATTTAAATATATATATACTCGTATATATATGTATTTACAGATGGCATAGGCAAAAACCAAACCAAACAACATGAATTCTTCTTCTAGTAATAGAGTGAGCTTTAAACAGCTTAAAGTGAGAGATTCCATGACTCGTTTAATTCATTTACTCAAACGAATGGCACAAACATATACGCAGAGATATATATATATGTAGTACTTCTTGTCAGATATACACGGAATGTATTTACAAACTTGGCTTAGCCTAAAATGTTTACAACAGTTAAAACTTACAGCTCTTCGATGGTTAAAGTGTCGATAGATTCTCTATACAAATACATACAAATTCAATTTATTGGTAAGTTTTTTCCTTCTTGCTGAAGTATTTTCTTTTGACAACCGGAAATTCGACTTTGACTTTGCATTAGGGTGGTTCGATTTTGGGGGATTTTAAAGTTAATAATAAAAACTAAAAAGTTGAAAGGGAAACCAAAGATACTTCGCTTCTCCATTAACTATTAATAAATAGCTATTAATAAATATTTAAATAAAAGAGAGTTAAAAAGTATATTCTAACCTTAAACCATGATGCCAATTTCCTAGAAATATTTTAAATCATATTAAGTTCTCCAATTTATTGAAGTGTTAAAACTTTCCTTAACCCCACAATCGATCCACCCTGCTGAGCCAACATTTATCTTCTCTTTGTGGGGTTCGGGTGTATGTACAGAGTAGAGTAAGCAGCGGCAAATTGCATTTCCCCCGCAGCGAAACGAAGCGATGGCCAGGATTCACAATCCGTTCCAGTGGCAGGACAAATCGGGACAACATCACAGCTGCTTGGGACTGAGCTCCACGGGATTATTGTCCTCATCACAGGAGATGTATTTGATTTTCACGCGCTGCCGCTCGCCAACACTGTTGTTAATCGAAAGGCAAAGTGGCGAACTAGTACCATCCGTCGGCCGTTCCATGATGCATTCGACGGCCGTTCGATTGGGTCCACCAATACCAGCACCAGTTGGGGTCTGTTGGGCATTCCGCTGATCTCGGCCAGTACTGTTGGCCGGCGCCTGCTGGATTTGCGTCTCCATGGTGCTGCGTTTCCACTGACTTTTGGTCTCCGCTGCGGAAGGTTGCGGGGGGAGTGGTGAGTGGTGAGACAAGTGCAACTGGGTCTGAGTCTGGGCCTGGACGGCCAAAATAGTCTGGGTGGTCTGGGGGGAGGAGTTGGGGAGCGAGTGGGCGACGGTGTACCCACCTCTTGTGTGCCGATGGGAGCTGTTCTTGTTCGTCAGCCGGCTCTTTGGTGAGTCAAATCTATGGCGGGTGAGGCCCACGCAGCAGCAGCAGATGATTCGCTGGAAGTACATCCGAAACCTGCAGAAATATACAAAATTGCAAGGCATTAAATTAACAAACACACTTCACATTCTATCTTTCTACACAACAAAGTTTAAATTTACTTTCTCCTGCAGTCAGATCTTTCTATATAATCTAATTTGCATATATATAGTGTTCAGTCCAATTACCTCTTATTCATCCAGTAGTAGATGAGCGGATTGACCATGGCATTGGACATGGCCAGCCAATAGAAACCGAGATACATGTGCTGCACGTACTTTGTGGATGCCACCTGGTTGTTGTGATAGGCGTAGATGAAGAACAGATGATACGGCAGCCAGCAGATGGCGAAGATGGACACGATGGCAATGAACATGCGCACCACCTTCCTCTTCGACTTCATGGACTCCATCTGGCGATCCGTATTCTCACCGATCGATCGACTGCCCCAAAGGACGCGACCCATCAGGGAATAGCAGATGAGCATCACTATCATGGGAATGCCGTAGGTCAGTACCAGGATGATTAGGTTGTACCTTAAAGGGATTAAAAATTTATCGTATGACAAAGGGAATATTTAAAAATAAATAGTATGTAAAGAAGGATTTACTTACGCATAATCCGCCATCGAAGTGGGATATCGTCCATCCGGCCACATCATAAAGCAAACTGTCCGCGACTTTCCGTTGTAATAGCTGGAAAATGTTTGAGTTCAATAGGTTATCGCAGGCCCAGTAAAGTATTCATTTAAATGTTTCAATACTCCGGAAACTGATAAATCAAAATTTTCATCATTTAATTACAGCCTTGTAAAAAGCTGTCAAGTTTCACGCTTCGATGGGTCTAAGCACTGGGGAAGTGGCAGAAGGGAAGTTGCCTTTTTTCAGGCATGACGAATTTCACGTTTGGCCCGTCAACAAATTGAAAACTTAATTTGCCAAATTATTAAGTATTTTATGCCCCAACGTTTCCGAGCACTTAAAAGGGCTTGGCTGCTGTCCTCGATCCACAAAATTACAAAAAAAAAAGTCCCACCTTTCTGGTTACCAGCACTTTTCCGGCCATTAAAAACGCTATGGCAACTGGTTGTGGCAGACAGGTCATAATTTGACCAACAATGTTTATGAGTGTGCCCGCCAAATTTGGTTGGACAAAAAGGGTGCAATTCATAAATAAAACTGATTGATTCAAATGGAAAATTGATGTTTTTCCTGGGAAATTTGGTCAGCAATTGGTTTAAGCCCCACATAATTTGATTTGACACGATTAAATGTTAACTTTATCATGAAAATGTATTTAATAAAGCTATTAGATAATTTTATTTTAATTAAATATTTCATTTTGGAGATACTAATATAATGAAGTTAAGGTTTATGAAGGTAAGAGTATATATTCCCAACTTCTCTTAACGATTCAATTTGTTAGTTCGCAGAAAGTCATGATTTTCGGAAGGCTAATCTGAGTTTTTTCCTGGTTTACTTTCTCACTTTCTAGCTCCTTTGGGGCTTCCTCGAATATGTTCATCCAATTTGGCTTTTTCTAGTCTCCTCTAAATCGTTCCACACGTCCATATCTATCCCAGGTTCACTCCCTTCTGTACTATATTATATGTCCTTGTCAGAATTTGCCATCTTTTGACTCTCTTTGCTCCTCGTCCTGGCTATTCTTTATCACATTTTGATATATGAACTTGCCATCTTTATTATGCCTGAAGTCTGTTACCCTGGGAGACCTTTTATCCCGTCTAAGGCTGTTGCCTGTTGAGAGTCTAAATAAAAAATGCTTCAATTCTATTAAACAGGACACCCGACCGCTCCATTTCGCCAGAAATTCACCGCTCGAATGTTGCAAATTTGCGTAAAATTCAAATGAAGGCGTCGGCGGAGTCGAGGCGACGAGGTGATTTAGATGGATGTGGATGCTTATATCAACACCGAAAATGGCCGACGGAGAGAAAAATAAGTGGGGAGACATGAAAAAATATGGTAGTATTTCTGGAAGGTACACGGAATTTCATTTTATATTTGTTTGGCCTCTCAAATCGATACAGGAGCCGCGGGAGATGCTGCTCCACACTACCACTCCGCAGGGAGCCTGGCCAACCCGTAAGCCCTGGCTTACAAACTTGTTTATGCCTTTGCGTTTCGTGTTTCGCGCTAAGATTAAACAGAAACAAAAGGGAGAACGTTGGTATACGAACCTTGAAATACCCTGGGATTATAGATTCATTTATGTGACTATATTAAAGATTGTTAAATACTATAAATATGTGGTTGCCTGGAAAGTTATTAATATCTTGAATAAAGGTGTCAAAAAGTAAGACTTTAGTTTAAGACTTTGAAGTGATGAAAGTTCCCAAGAAATCCTTCATTCTTATACTAATAACCTCCAAGAACATTCCTCACAGACAACCCCTCAATCAAACTCATGATACCCTGTATTGAAGACCGAATTCAAGGCAATTGCCCACTTACTGCTTGGTCATGATGCTGGAGTAGAGCAGACAGGGAGCCGACAACACACAGCTGAGTGCCCAGATCAAGACCAGGATGATGCGCACCTTCCGACGCGACGTGCGGCGCTTCAGCGGATGCACAATGGCGATGTATCTGCAGGATGGCAGGAAGCGGATGTGCCGACGCACAGATTAGATGACGCTGGAGGAGACTTTAGAGTGGAAGAGAGGTGGAATGGCGGGACTTACCTATCGAAACTTATGGCCACAAGCGTGAAGACCGAGGTGGAGACCGTGACGTTGGCCACGAAATTGTTGATTGTGCAATAAATCGAACCGAATGGCCAATCCGAATTCAGCATGAATATAAAGTTGAAGACGCAGTTCAGCGACGACATCAGCAGGTCGGCAATGCTCAGGTTCAGCAGGAAGTAATTTGTGACTGTCCTCATGCTGCGATGTCCTGCAGAGGTATTTGGCCAAGAAAAAAAACCGAATTAGACGAAAAAACACAAAGAAAATCAAGAAAATCGTGGAAATGGGAAAGGCCAAGGAACAGACGTGATGGCCAAGACCAAAATTGTTAGATCTTTGGTTGACGGAGTGGGGCCAATGCGGCGTATACGTGATGCTGATGATATTTTCGGATTTATTTTTTTTTTTGGCAACTGCTTTAAATCAGCTTTTGGGGAATCAAGTAAATCGACAACGCTCACCTGTTACAATCCAGAGAACAATACCATTCCCGGCAATCGCCACAAACATCATCAGTCCGAAAATGATGGCCCAAATCGTTTTCTGCTCCCATGGTAACTCGTACGGCCGTGTTGGCGATGGAAACAGGCACTCGGTTAGAAAGTCTCTGTGGGCGAATCGAAAATAGACACAAATTTTTATTGCAAAAATTGCAAACATGATAGGACAGAGACGGCTGATGGAAATTTGTTCCGAAGGGAAACATTTTCGAAATGTTTCTTCAACCAAAAAAATCATTAAAGCTTTAGTTACGTTAGTTTTTGGATACTCAAATCAAAGGAAAAAAACTCACTTAAGTTACTTACTTACTCACTTTATCAAACTTAAGCCTTCTTTTTCCAATAGTTAAAACAATTTAATATGCTGAACCTCTCTCATTCTCTTTATAAAAACATAAAACTGAATAAAATCCCAAGAAAGGTTGTTAAAACTCTTAGGATTTTCCAAAAATACGCTTAAATTAAACGCATATTTCACAGAGGGAATTCCTTTGAAGAACAACCGTCTTTAATCCAACTTTTTTCTTGGCCACCCTTCGGGGCAAACAATATTTGGCAAATTCAATCACAGAATGGCTGAAAGTTTGCGATTTGGCAAACCTTTTCAGAGCTGCGTGTTCATCTTCGCCTTAACAATAACAATAGGAAACCAATGAAGCACAAGATGGGCGAGAAATCCTTAAAGGAAACTTCCCACAAAAGAAGTGTCCTTATCGATATTGAAGCAGCAGTAGCAGTAGCAGTACCAGCAACAGCAGTAGAACTATGTTGCTGGAATTGCTTGGTAATTTCATTGGACCAACATCCGTTGGCCAACGGAAACGCGTAGCTGGGCTTTAGAACTAGCAGGAGGAGCAGGAGATTTAGGTCCTTGGAACTGCAGATCCGATTATCATATCGAGCATTATGCTAATCACAGCAACAGGACTGGTGATGCGCAGAACATGTCGCTAATTATTTCGATGGGTGTCTTTGTCTTTGTTCGTATTTGGTGGTTGGTGGTTGGTGGGTTTCCCTTTGATTAGCTCGTGGCTGCATGAATGGTAAATCCTATTAATTAGAGGAACCTTGTTCGATGATTGTCAGTGTGGGAATTATCCGCAGACTCTTTCTCTTTGCCTGGGTTTGCTTTTGTCTGAGTGCCACAGGGCGTATGAGCAATATCAATGAGCCATGTTCTACTCTGTCGATTTTCTATTTGTGTGTGCCATAGCTGGCCTGTTCAAAATGCAGCAGCAGACACAATTCCAACGAAAATTCAATAAACGAATTGTTCACATTCATCCATTTTCATTGCTATTGCCAGTTGTCTTTCAGGCATCAAATTTCCCACTTTCCTTTTATGTCTAACCATGATTGATGCCCTGATTGATTGGTATTGTTTGGCCCACAAAATATTCGACTAGCCGCCGGTTCATATATTACTTTGAAATTAATTGGGTTCTGTGGTCCCAATTAAAGTCCCACAAGTCCGACGGGATTAAATTACCAAACATTTAGCTGCCGAAATTCTAAAAATTGTTGCTGGCTTCTATTTTTGCCGTCTCTAGTTTTATACATTTCACTTTCGAATGTTGTCAAAAGGTTAGCCGTATTGGTTAGCTGCTTTTAACCGTATTGCCACATACGAGTACGTTCATATTTCCAATCAATAAACTTGAAAATGAAATTCCGGTCAGTAAACTGTAGGATTGTGAAGTGGCCAAACGAAATTGATGAATTTGTGTGAACTTGTTTATTTGCATTGGAGAAAAGCAAAAAAAAATGTGTTTTCATGCTTCCTAATTGAGTGGAGCTTACAGCTTTTTTTATTATTTATTCCATTTTCTTGATCTTATTGAAGATTAAAGGTTCTACATAAGCTAAACTAATTAATTATGAAAGTTTAATTCGGAACTCGAAAATACTTTTCTATTTTTAGACTTCGCAATTACTGAGGTTTTATATTACGAATGAAAATACTTGGCCATAAATTCGCCTAAATTTGGCTACACTGGCTCCTGATATATCGCATTACATTCCATTTATTTATCTGCGATTCGTCTATCGATTTCACATTTAATTAGATATTTAGCATTGGGCAGAAACAAACAAGAACTCCATTAATTACACAGACATGAAGTCAGTGTAACAATGGTCTATAATCAGCATTAAATGGGCGCGATGTAATACCCAAAATATGTATATTAGATATGTTATTGAAATGTTGAACACACAAAATAGTTTACGTAAAGTATGTGCTAATTGAACTGCCATGGCCATATTTTAGATATTATTAATATGTACGAATTTAAATGGGCTATAATTAGCATTTTCGTTTTACTGATGGCAAATTATGCAAGCATTTTAATTGGCTCAATGCACGCCAAATGCGGATGCAATATCTGAATATTTTCCAGAGGCATTTGCATATTTGCTTAAATTCCTTAAAATTCCTTTAAAAAAATGCGACAAAATTCGCTCACCTTTTAAATTGCAAACTTTTCGTTGCCTACTTTTCTGAGCTTCTCCAAACTTTCAGCTTGCTTTTCTATTATGATAATTGCTGTTGTCTTAAGAACTTTTCACTCATAACAAATACGGGCCAAAAAAGTTACCCAGCAGATTTATGGCCTCCTGCGATTGCAGCTGACTTTGGTATCCTCTTCATGCCAAAAACGAAGAACAAAAGGCGGCGAGTCAAGTCCCGCCCCTTACATTTTCAGCCTAATTTAAGCAAATTTAACTTGATTAACGTAATTTGTATTTTTCCTTTTTGCTCCCTGCTTCTTTTATGGCTGCCTAATTAAGTTTGATGCCATTATAAATCCGTGCTAAACTCCAGTTTGTTCCTGTTATTATAATAATCATCATCATTCATGGACGGAAGTGTTTGGCCTTCAGAAGCCAACTAATTACTTCCGTGTGGAAGTGACCGACCATTCTCTACAACGTACTTACATGCATACTTATAATATTTTCTGTTGCCTTTCTGTGGCATTCACTCGAAATTCGCATAATGACAGTGGGGATTTTCGGACAGGCTTTAAGCCTCAGCGAATTTTTGGCAGTAATAACTGCGGGAAGTTGGCATCGCTCCGCTTTCGTGGTATATATTTGGCCCCTGAGTATGCAAATTTTCGATGGAAAGGAATTTTCCGTGGATTCCTTAAAAATTTCGCAGCAAGTTTGGCAGCCCAGGGAATTGATTTCTTTCATATATATTTTCGTTTTTTTGGGTTCTACCCGCAAACTCCCAAAAGTGTCAGCTGCTTTGGTTCGTTAAAGTGAAAGAATGTCGAGTGGCTTTTCGACGGATGTCCTGGAATCAATACGATTGCAATATATATTCGTTTTTTTTTTGCTTTTGGAGAATTCTTCTTCCTTCTGATTGAATTGATTTTGCGGTTGTTTACTCTTACCATATGCAAAAGCACACATCCTTTTTTGCCAGCTCGCCAAACTTCCGCTCAAATGATTTGGCCCCATGTTTAAATTATGACCTCTACGGGGTGGGTAACTTTCACAAATTGCGGTAATTATTATAAATCAATGGGCAATTACTTTAATCAGTGTTTTCGCCAGATGCACAGCTATTTAAATCCACATTTATTGGTAATTTGAGTTTGGATTTAACCTACTATATAATCGATGTAATAATCTAAACTTTCATAAAACACAAAATGAGACGTCACACACATGGGATCCTTATCATATTATTTCCAGGCCAATCAAGTGCATTATGAATTGAGTTTTCCCAGTCAATTAGAAACATTAAAAGAAATTATCATCGATTATAGTTTGCCCTTCGGTAATTTCCTGCTCATGGGGGGCCCAAACAAATTGCCCGTCATTAGGTGGCAGTCAGACGAGTTTATCGTCGCTCTCAAGAAGGTGAGTTACTCACATTAACTTGGCTAATAGTCGGCGACCCCCTATGAAGGCCCTCTCATACCGAATGCCCCCTTTAATGTACTTGCAAATTGCGCACTATTTCCCTGGAACCGCTTCGGTTAACATGTTTCGCATTCGCATCGCGCTCTTTATAATATTCCCGTAAATATTTTATGCATGACGAACCGACGATGCAACCCAAATTGGCGGTCTTGCGGCTACTTTATTTCCCTAGCCATATTCGTACCCGGCACTTTGGTTCTACAGTTCTCTGGTTGCCTGAGTTCTCGGTTTCCTTTGCGTTTCTTTTCCGGTTACTGCACAGTTGAGAGGCCGAAGCCAGGGTAGATCAAGGTCCTTAGTTTTCGCACCAGAAAATGTACCGCATTGAGCATGCCACACGCAGGTTGCAAGTTGGCCCGCCGTGTTTTTATAGTTGAGGCGTCAGCTAACTGGTAACGAGTAACGGGTAACTTCTGCAGCCAAAGTCAGTTGCCAAAGTCGGAAAAGTTATGGAGCTGCAAGTGTCACGTAACTTAAAGGCTCCCCGGCATAAAGTTGCTGAAATACTAATTTACTGGGGCGATGAAGTGACTTTCAAGGGGATCTTAAGTGCCTGATAATTGGATTTCTTCTAAGTAAATATCCAGCAAATTCATATTTTGTAATCCTCTGCTAAACTTCTGGCACTTTTGGCATAAACAGACTTGTTTTCCTAGGAAACAAAAATAGAAATTGTTTTCCTAAAAGACAGCAAACATAACGAGGCTAAAAATAAAGTACTGGTAACCAAAAATTTTAGAAAATACATCTCGAAAGCTAATAATTGGCCTGCCAGTACCGTATTTTTCCTCCTTCAAGACCTACATTTTCCTGCAGTGCTTTGTTTGCTCATGTGAGTGGTGTCGCAGCCAGTAGATAAGTAAGGTCTAATGCTCATCGATGCCTGACAAATGGCGGCTGTCACTGGCACCTTCGCTCCCAACCTTCTCGGCCAGAATCATCATCGTTGACAGGGCAAAAACAATGCGACCTTAACATGGGGTTTCCACTTGAATTTTCGACACGCTCCGCAAATGAGGCCATTTTCAATTTCAGAATTTATGAACGGAGGTGGTCATGGTCCCTCAATTCACTGCCAACCCTTCGGAATCCTGCACCTCTGCACCATAGCACACACACACACACACATGCACTTGACAGAGCAATCGAGAGTGTTGATGACAATGGTGGCAGGACAATGCGTAAATGAAACTTTCCATGTTGTTTGCCATGGAGTGGCCATTAAATTTTCATGCCTCTGTCCTAATATCTGTTTCATTGGCGGCCCTGCAACTATATTACTGTTGCTACACCCACCCACTGCCTGCCTGCCCACTGCAAAAATCCACTCCGCACTGGGGACTTGTTTTATGTTTTTGGTGAGAAAAAGTTAATTGAAAAATTTGTCATATGCAAATTACTCAACTTGTCCGGAATGTGTACTGTCCTTCCTCAGTCCTCAGTCCAGTTTCCCTCGAAATGGCCAGCATTATTTTTGCAAAAAATCCTTGTTAGGCCCCGAAGCCATTTCTACTGAGCTGGGGCTTAGCTATCGATGAATAGACATAAACAAACTGCTCCCGACTGGGGCACAAAGGAGGAGTAGTCCTTTCGTGTTCCATCTTGCTTCTTTCCGGACCTAATCCAAACAATTTCTTTCGATTTTCCTACGGAATGTTACAGTTCGAGGCGTCTCGAACGGGTTCTTTAGCTTGTTTAGCTGACTACAGGAGTAATTTTTGACTTGGCTAGATAAATTACACTGTTTAAATGGGATTTTGGAAAGGATTGAAAGGATTATCTCCTTGGAATATGAAAAGTGCAGGGCAAACATAACAGAATGTTCTTCAGAGGAAGCATAAAAAGTCTTAAGAAAGTATTTACATTAAATTCATATTTAAAGCCACAATAAAATAAAGTTAAATCAAAAAGAAATATTAAAAATAACCATTTAAATTAGCTAAAGTCATATACATTATATCATTGATTTGAAAAATATTTAGGATCTATTTAAATTAGATTCCTGCTTTCTCATACGAGCACATCTCGAATCAAAAGCTAAAGAACATTCCCCATTCGGTGCTTGCCAATATCGATGAACACTTCTTGTTTTTATGTGGGCCATCCATTCTGATTGGATTTGAGTCTGGCCATAAAAATGCCAAAGCCCCGATGGACACCAGCAGCAGCAGGAGCACGAGCAGCAGGAGCAACAGCAGCTAGAGCCGTCGGGATATGGACTAATGTCGTGTGTCCTTTGTTGTGCTGGGCTGTTATCATTGGGCAAGTATCAAAATCAATAAGCGTACGAAACGCCATAAACATCAAATTCGAAAGGATGCGTTCTCTCTCTCTTTAAATCGACTGACTGACTGACTGGCGAACCATTCGCCATTCCATCGTTTTGTAATAAACTTTGACATTGCGTATACGCACTCACGCACTCAAGTGTGCGGGCAATGTGGGCAAAGCCCATACGCGTGTCGAAGGTGAAACTGACAAGTTCTTTCCATCAATAATCCATGGGAAATGTCCAAGACATTTGCCCTGATTGAAGTAAACATAATGAGCTTAACTCGAGACAAGCGGCAGGCAATTCACCTGCCTTAGCAAAGGTTCTACAGAGTAAACAATTTTATTTGCCCAATTAGTTAGGATAATGTTATGGGAGGCAGTATTAAATATGAGGGATTTATGTTGATTGATTAGGATATGTTTTTAATGAATTTTCAGACGCTTAAAACTTAAACTTAAAATACTTTTTTAAGATAAAAATTCCTAACAAAGAAGTTCTGATGACCACCCTGCCATTCCCAAACTGTTTCCATTTCACCAAAATGTTTCCAAAGCATTCTTAATTAGTGAGTTAATCGAGTTAAACATGACCTCGTTTTCTTGCTGTGCACCAGTCCACTTTCACTTACTTTCTCTTTCACAAAGAGCATTAAACCCCGAGGCTTAGGACCCAAATATAGAACATCGAACAACAATTGCAACGTCGTTTTGTTTGTGTCAAAGTTTTTCGAGGATTTCGTTCGGGTTGGGCAGCCAGAAGCTTTGCATTTGTCGGAATTTAATTGTTTGTTTCGCTCTTTTGCCCCCCTTTTTTTTTATTTGCGTAGTTTGTCACCTAACACAGGATGCTGGGGGGGAGGAAACAGTTGGAAAAAGTCCTTTCAGCTTATTCTGGCACTTGGCACTTTCTATATTGAAAAGGAATAATTATAATAGATGTTTTCCACAAAGTGCTGCGGGAGTGGTGACCCTAAATGGAAAATGGCAATTTAGAGTGAAAAACCTTGATCAGTTTTTTAGTTTTTTATATGTAACTTGGGACTTAAAGACGTCAGTTTGTTGCCCCGTCAGTGGTCAGCGGTTATAACCTCTCACTTTTAAATTAAAACCACTTCGTTGGAAGTATTAAATTAGCTTACAGCCTTTTCTGGGAAATCTTTTTATAAAAGCTCAATTTTGATTATATTTATAGTCGTAATGAGTAAGCGTATTCCCTAGAAAACTTCAAACGTTTTCATGGAAATTAAGTTAACAATTTGTAGCTATTTTGAAAATCAAACAATCAAATCAAATCAATAAATTATTTTTTTTTTGTGATATTTAATTTCCTTAAAACTTGCCAAAAACTTTATAATTGGAGGCAATGAAGAGAACTCAAGGCATAAACAACAACCCCCCACTCTCGCAATTTTCCAACGAAAAACAATTAAAGGACATCCGGCAAAACAAAAGTTCGTGAAACGAGATTGCAAAACAAGTTAAGAGTTCAATTAACCAGGCTCCACTAGGAACCAAAATAGATCCATTCTTGGCCAAATGAGGGCAATACCAAGTAAATATTTATCCTTTGGCTGGACTTTTCCTTCTTGATTGGCTTATTGTTTCTGTAGTGCCGTAAAGTTTTGAGTTATTACGCAATACTCGCATTTGCGGCAACCCATTAATCTCACTTTGCGGTTGGCTTTGGTCCGAATGGAAAAGTGGCTTTATATAGCGCCAGCGGTTTAATTTCTTGCTTAACCGATAATAATTGCCCTGATTAAAACGTATTAAGTGGGCTTTATATGTGGCCTTGGCAACTCCTTCAGGAGTCATTCATCCCATTAATAAACGCGGACCGCGCTTAGCACTTCGATGGAGGAGTTCAATTCGAGTTCACTTTTTAAACATTTTTTCGATTTAACTTAAATGGGATAATTAATATCGAGACTTTGATTGGTTAACTAAACAATGAGAGTCTATCAACATAATTGATATTTTCAGTGCGGTTTTAATGGCTAAATATTGGTTTTATAATGGACTCTAATTACGTCTAAATCTGTGCAACTATATTGGTTTTTTGTTTAACTTTCATTATGCAATTAGCTCATGGCTCATTCTAAACGAAATCATGAAAATTATCACTTTATGGTAATTTAAATTACTCTTTTAAGGTGTAAAAATAAGTTCATTCATGTATTGGCTAAGGGCTTTAAAATCAATTAATATTTCATTAGCAATAAACTAGTCATTATTTAAAATATTTTTTTATCACCGCTCTCATAGAAAATTGATTTAATTTGTCAACTTCAGCAGATTGCATCACATAACCTGTTTTAAATTTAATTTAATTCTGCAGTCATTACATGCACGTAATTAATAAATAAAAAACAGAAACGCCCTTAAAAATCCTGCGTGCTTAAACCATTTAAGATGGCTGCGTGACCAAAGGCATTGGGTTTGTATTATTTCAAAAATAATCAGATCAGAGCCTAAACAAATTTACTTTCTCTAAAGCTTTTTCTATGTAAGGGTTCTCAGGATTTTATAAGAATCAGAAAGTTCACTTTCCCTGACCACACTCGCAAAAATTGCATTAGGAAAAGTTTAGAAAAGGAATTAGTTATACTTAATACAAAACTTCCATTCCAAGGCACTTATTTTCACTTTCTTAATATCAAGACACTAGGAATTTCTAATTTTATATTTTTACAGACTTTGATAATTATTAAAAAATTAGAAAACCTTAAATATTCCGAGTGCAGCGACCCAGTGAAAAACGGACGAACGGCAAACACGTTTATCAGCCGTCAGGACTGGGAAACTTTATTCAATTTAAGCTCTCGCCGCGGATAATCAGTTGGCCCTCATCAACTGGCCAACTGGGTAACTTGGCTTATTCCGCGAATCGGTCCTAACTCTACCGTTTAATTTGCATAACTTTGTGGAGGGCACGGACTCGAGAATTTCAGCGAAAATGGACGAAGGGCGTACTAAACTAGACTCTGTTAAGAACTTAAACCCTCCTGGAAGGCCAAAATGGAAAAGCAGCACTCACTTTGCCTCGTTGATGCTCTCGAGATTATCCCGGTTGTCGATGATGCTCGACAGGAGGCTGACCACCTCGGTTCTGTTGAGACTGCCGAGGAGCGTAGTGTTCACAATGCTATTCAGCTCGAAACGCCGAACGGCCAGGATGGTGCAGTTCACCAGCAGCTCGGTGTCCACAATTTCCGACATTTTCCAGTCTTTAATCGGGATGGCGGGAACGTTGCGTAATGATCCCGCTGCACTTATGCCACATTTAATAGCGCAGCGCCATAGAAACCATTGAGTTCGACGGATTTCTCTGCGGACCTCCGTCTCTTAATTTCTCCGTAATAGCAGAGCTTTCACTTGATCCTCTTTTGTGGGGGCGAAGCGAGCGCTGGCGTTTTCTTTCAAGGAATATTTTCTTTTTATGTTCTTTCAACTGCCACCCACATGCAATCTCCTGCTTTTTAATTTTGGGGGACGGTCAAGGACAAGCTGGCACTTAACACTGCATGTGGTCAGCTCCCGTCATTTCCTCGAAAAACTTCCAAGGATTCACTTTTTTAAAATCACTTTAAGTGATGGAGTAAATTAAAACGATAAATTATCTGATCTTCTTGCGAAAATGTGTTTTAAATTAACAAAGTTAAAGCTTACATTATGGTTAGTGTAATATTTTTGTTTAAGTAGTTAAATACTTTTTTATTGAAGGGTTAAAACTAAAATTATTCCACTGCATTAACTCTCATAATTCTTTTGGCGCTTCACTTTTTATCCACACGTTTACTAATTAATAAATTCTTAATCAGTTTGTCACCTTCAATTGAGACTTTGTTTACTAATTGGTAGTTTTTTTCAGAAACCATTTTAATTCATATTCCATTTTCCATTTAAATGGCGAAAAAATGTCGTACGATTTCATGACTTGACGAGCATTTAAATTACATTTTTTAAATCACTTTTATGCACATTTTTTACTTTCAACTTTTGTTTACATTCGGGACTTTTTTCCACATTTTGTGGCCTCTTTTTTTGGCCAACTATTGGCATCTGTGCTTTTAGCAGGCTTAAAGCAAACACAAACACACACACACAATGGCAATTCGCACGTACACACACACACACAGAAGTCACCGTTAGTTGGCAGGACTTTATATTTCTTGAAATAGCGCCCGCGCGTTGTTTAGCGCTGTAAGTGCCGCCGCCGACTGAAAAGGTTTTGTATGGAAATGGTCGAAATACTAAGTCTGCAGGCTCCTACTGCCGACGTCGACGTCGCTGTCGCTGTCTCTGCCTCTGTCGTTGACACGAGCAAGTCAACACGCACTCGCCTAAAAGCTGGCAACATTGAAACGCACAACCTGTTGAGAGTATGCCAGCAACATTACTATCCCAGCAACATGTTGCAGAACTCGTTTTTATAGCAAATCTGAAAAATAATAAATGGTTCTACATCAGTAAGATAAATGGGGTCTGTGGAGCCTGAATAGGCTGTATCTGTTATAATTAGTTGGTTTTTGTCTGCCTTTTTTATGAAAGCAGAAATGATAGAGAAATCTTAAAGGAAGGGGCTCTGAAATATGGGGAACCTTACCAATTATGACAATATTGGGATGAATTCAAATATTAAGACACTTTCTGAACAGATTTCAGTTATTTTAACATTGTCACTATTAGGTACCATTTAAAATGAAAAATGATGTTAGCCTAACCCTTTATTACTAAGACTTTTTTCTATTTAAGTTCTCATTCACAAGAAATAACAATAGAATCGGATTTCCAAGAATCTAGAAAATGGTTTTTCTTTCCACTGAATTTGTTGCCATTTATAAAACCACTAAAAACCTGTCACATTTCTCTTTAACTTATATACATACGAGTGTTATTGTCGTGAGCTTTAGATTTCCGTTGCAAACTTGTTAATAATATCAACTTAACGTTCTTTCTTTTCTGATTGCAACCAAGTAAAATCCGTAAAGAAACTTTACCAACTGTTGCCTTAAAACTAGATGGCACTTTTACTTGGTGCAATCTGAAATTTCGTAAGTGTTGGCTATTAATAAATCACAGAAAGTTTACCACATTGCCATTTTAGTTGTGCCAACTTTATTGTACTTCTTCATAATCCCCTTGGAACTGCTTATTGTTCAGTTCACCTAAAATACTATATACTTTTTGTGTTTGTTTCAGTTTCACTTTTACTTTCGACATCGTGGTGCTATGATGAATGACCTGTAAATGATGGCAGAGGACACGGTTCACACCCCACCCTCACCCACACATCCACACCTACACAGACACAAATTGAGGAACACCCACACACTTGCTCGTACAAAGACCATTTCAAGGACTGTTCAAATGACCTATTGTGATTGTGTGTATGTTTTTGGTGTGTGTGTGCGTGTGTTTGTTTGTCGTATTTTGTGTTTGCTAATGTCTGGAAATGTTTATGTCTGCCGCTCTATCTGCTCCCCGTCTGCTCCCTTTGGCCCTATGTGATTATGACTGTCCATTCAGGCGGATCCTGCTGCTCCTCCTTATGGTTAGATACCCACACAAACAAACATGAAACTATGTACCTCATTTCTGCCCAGGGCACGCACACACTTACACGCATATGCATTTCCATGTTTAGCTTTTTTTACGATCTTGTTTCGTTTAGTTTATAGCTTACATTTAGCCCCGCCCCCCCGGACAAAAACACAAACACAGCCACCCATTACGCCGCCCTAAGCATATTTCTGCACATTTTCGGGGGCTTCCCTGTTTATATTCACGGCGATTTATGCATGTTTATTATGATAAATTTATGCGCATTTGTTGTTCTGGCATTTTTATGGAGTGCGCGGGAGGACAGGGATTTTTTCTCTCTCCAAATAGAGAACTCTAAAAACGCAGGGCAATGTGCTGGAACTTTGGCTAATATATATGCATTAAACAGGCTTTTAGGCAAATTTTTTAGAAGAAGTGTGAGTGGAAAATTTTAATTTAAAAGTGAAAGTAGAGGATTTTGAACTTTAAATACCCAGACTTAAACTCGAAAACAAAATGAAATTATTTTGTGCATTCAGTTAGAAAGTTTTCTGATTATGTGAGTATTTGCATAGCATACTTCAGCGGGCGTAGTTGGTACAACAAATACGGGTTTTCCCCCAAAACTAAGTTAATAATGGTCCAAATATGGAAGTTAATACCTGGTTGAACTTTTTTTTGATTCTGATTCCTAGTCGAACTGCATTCACAGTTTAAAATGGCATATTTTGCACATTTTTCGCCAATTTTAATGATGTTACCCCTCATTAAAAATACGAAATTCGGTTTACCTACATTTTCCCCTGAAAACGACAGTATTGTTCCGATAACTAAGCCAATAATGGTCCAAATATGGAATGTCATATCTTGTACGGCTCGTAATTTGATTGCTATGATTCCCAATCGATTTGCATTCAAATCTGGGAAACTTCATTTTTGGCCCATTTTTGAAAATTTTGATGATGGTACCCCTTATCAAAAATGCGAAATTTGGGCCAAAATTGGTTTCCCCAAAATCGAAAAACGAGTGATAGGGGTGGTTAGTATTGGTCGTTAGCAGCACAAAAAAGTCATTCTTTTGGCTGTGCGGCTTGTTTTGACCGAGCTAGAGCTAAAAACCCGAAAATAATATTGCAAATTTCTGTTAAAAATCGGTTTCCTGATTTTTTGGCCCTTAAAACAGAGCTCACACCAAAAAATCAGAACAATAATGATAAAAGCAAGTATAGGAGTCTTAAGTTTCGGTAGTTAACTGCATAAAACAGTCATTGTTTTAGCGATGCGACTTGTTTTCACAAAGTTAGAGCTAGCAAACGGCAATAAAACCGAAATCACTGCTGTTAAAAGACGTATACTTGATTTTCGGCGCAAAAAAATCAGTTTTTTAGCCATAGCACAGCCAAAAATAGTCCGAATATGGAATGCCATACCCCGTATGGCTCGTATTTTGATTGCAATGATTCCCAATCGAGTTGCATTCAAATCTGGGAAACTTCATTTTTGGCCCATTTTTGAAAATTTTGATGATGGTACCCCTTATCAAAAATGCGAAATTTAGCCGAAAATTGATTTTCCCAAAATCGAAAAACGAGTGATAGGGGTGGTAAGTGGTGGTCGTTAGCAGCACAAAACAGTCGTTCTTTTGGCTGTGCGACTTGTTTTGACCGATCTAGAGCTAAAAAGCCGAAAATAATATTGCAAATTTCTTTTAAAATTAGGTTTCCCATAACTAAGACAATATGGGCCCAAATATGGGATGTTTTATCTCGCTGAGCTTGTTTTCTAATTCCTAATTGAACTATATTCACCGTTTAAAATATGAAATTTTGGCCATTTTGTGCAAATTTTAATGATGTTACCCCTTATCAAAAATGCGAAATTTTGTTTCTCTTTACTTACCCCTCAAAGTGACAGTATTGTGCCCATAAGTAAGCCAATAATGGTCCAAGCATGGAAAGTCATATCTCGTTGAGTTTGTTTTTAAATTCCTAGTCAAACTGTGTTCACAGTTTAAATTGATCAAATTTTGATATTTTGCATATTTTGATGATGGTACACCTTATCAAAAATGCGAAAATTGGTTATCTCAGATTTTCTCTTCAAAATATCAGTCTTTTGCCCATAACTAAGCCAATAATGGTCAGAATATGGAATGCCATACCTCGTAAAACTCGAAATTAAATTTCTAGTCAAACTGCATTTAAAGTTTAAAATGTCAAATGTTGGGCATTTTTCGCAAAAAAGGCTGAAAATATAGAAAATACGAAAATTGGTAATCCCTGATTTTCTCCTAAAGATGACAGCATTATGTCCATAACTAAAAAGAACCTATACTAAAAAGGAAGATGTGCTAATAAATTTATAGCTTAATATGCTGTTACTTAACTTCCTTATGAATTCATAACAACCTAAACCCAACACTCACTGATCAAAAAAGCAAAGATGACTCACAGCATCTGATTGCCGGAATAAAGTCCTGAGGGGTTCAGTTAAGTCTCGTCAATAAACTGAACCGAAATAAGTGCAGACCAAACTACGCAGATGACTCAATATGCAGAGACACATGCTCGTATAGAGATTTTTGCGAACTGTGGGGGAGACCACTAACAACCGGCGAGGGAACCGCCCCAAGTCAACATGTGTCAATTACCGCTTGACTTTGTTTTGACAGCCTGAGAAATAGGTTAGTTTCCCGGGTCGACTAGGAAAGTGGCCAGAGAAATAGGATACTCTCGCTGCCTGTTCTCTTGGTAAAATCAAGCATACGCCGTGTGTGCATCACGAAGAGAATTCCATTGATACTGATTCGAAGGCAACAAACTTTAGTGCTGATTTATGGTTGCGGTGCGGTTAGAAAAACACTCTCATATATCAGGGAAAACTTTTAGTCAGACAAAAGGCATCTGGCGGGGTAAAAATCACTTTGGCAGCCAGCGAAGCGCGAATCGCGAGTCAGTTTCCCATGTGCAAATTAATTGGTAACCGCAAAAACATAATTACCGGCAGATATGCATGTTTTTCTTTTTTTTTCCGCTCCACCCAATCAAAAAGCATAAAGAAATTAATCAGAGCCGGCTGGCATGTTTGTGCATGTGATTAAAGTGTAATTAAGTTGAATTAACCGCACAGTCGATTGCGTTGATTATTAATTCATCCAGAAGCCTATTAAAACCAACCAGGATAAATATTCCGAGGAACTAGCTCAGCGATTGCTGATCGTCAACTTTCAAGAACACGGAAAAGATAAAGGCAACTGTGGAATATTAACTCGATTAGTGAAGGGATTAGATGACAAGTTTAGGGTAAGATTACTCACTGGACATTAGAGAACACAGCCAGAGAAACGGAGCCAGGCAGTTAAGTTGCATGAAAATGGGCAGTAAAAGGTTGCCACTCATAGAGCCGAGTCTGCCAAAGGTCATGATCAGCATCAGCACCATTGTCCTGAAAGATACATTTTTAAAAATAAAATTAAGGCTTCTAAACTGAGAATATCAAACCTCATTAGCGTGGGGAATATCACCACAGACATGCCGATAATCGAGGTGGCACAAATACCCATCAGGGTTAGGTAAATGGCCGAAACTATCATCGTCACCAGTGCTGTCTTCACGAAGTACAGGCTGCCCACCAGAAAAATGCAGATGAATAGGAACACCTCTGCCAGGATCTCACATAAATTAATATTTTAAATTGGGATGCAAAACATGATGGTAATTATCTTATTCAAATTTTTTTGGTTTTAGAAATGTTTTGCATCCCCTAAACTCGTACAGTACTCACTCAGTATGTGCCTCGAGACAACTCCGATGCGGAGGAGTGGAAAGATGAGCAGGAAACCGACCAAGCCAATTCCAGCCACTATAATGTTATCCAAGTAGCTATCTCGATCATGATGCTGTGAATTCAAAATGATTACTTTAGATCCCGCAACCCAAAACAAGCGATCGCCTACCCACTAGTGCACACTCCCGCTTCTTGGCCTCCTCGTTCATGGACACCGCCAAGGCATTGTGCTCCAAGACAGCGCACATACTCGTGTCATTGGCCCCCATAGACTCCATCGAATTCATCGTGGCGAAGATCTGCGGCAACCACAGGCGGACTGAGTTAACGCTTAAGAATCCAATTTTATTATATAATATATATACATATCATCTTATTGGACTTACCACATAATCTGGCAGAAATGCAGGCAGTATACTAGCAATGATATTGCCAAATAGGGCTTGGAAAACATTGGCTTTAACTGCCTTAAGCCCTCGCCGAATTTTCCCTTAGCGCGACTGAATCTTTCCTTTACTGTTGATGAGCGGCCAGTTCCATCGAGGTCAGCAGATCGATCGGGAGTTGGATCTGTTAGTCGTTTTATCTATCGAAGATAATATTCTAATATTACAATATGTTCTCCGATTTAATAATATTTCCCACCGGATATTCCTCTTTACTCTTCCGCTTGTTCATTTTGTAGATACGCTGCAATGAATCTAATGCCTTTCTATAATTCCCCTGAGACATGAGAAATTTGGGACTCTCGGGCAGGAAGATGTGCAGCAAACCACAGAGCAAACTGGGTACTGCTGTAATTGCCAGGAATACCTGCCAGGTGCGAACTGCAGGAGGAGGGTGAAGTTCAGAATTGAGGTCACACCATGCACAACTCTCACCTACACTCCAAAGTGGCCACCTTGAAGGAGATGGGCACCGGCATCAAAGCGTAAGCCAACAGAGGCAAAATCATCGATCCGAAGGAAACGCTGAGGCCCACGAACAGCATGATGTACGGTCTGTGCTTTTTGCCATGGAACTCGGCCAGGTAACTGACCACCACCGCAAAAGGACCGCAGATGCTAGCGTGGAGTGGTTCATTAAATTAATTATCGATTAGACACTCAGAGAAATAAAGTCTTACTCTTGAAATCAGAATTAGTAACAGATTTTATGTTTCTAAATAAAATATTTAATTTTTCACTTACATAAATCCATCAAAGAACTTAAATGCCATCAGCTGAGCGGTGTCCTGACTCAAGGAGGCACACAGAACAAAGAATCCATCCAGCCAGCCCCCGGAGATGAGTACAGGTCTACGGCCGACGGTGTCTGCAATGAATCCCCATGGTATGGCCGAGATGATCATACCCCCATAGGTCACCGCATGCAGCATTCCCTTATCCACAATGCTGAGATTAAGGTCACATTCTGCGGAAGGCATCACATAGGAGAGTGCAGAGGCCGAAAATACCATCGCCGTGAGGCAGGGAATGGCGCTACACAGGATGAACACATTGAACAGCCCAAAACCACATTCAGCGATCGCCGTCTCAAAGTCAGCGGCTTCCTCAGCATTTTCCCTCAAACGCTCGGCCATCAAAAAAGGAAAATTTTATGTCTGAGGTGGCAATGGAAATTTTGAAAAGTACTTAAAAGACTCCTGAATTCCTACAGAAAGTCATTGACAGATTTTATTGAGACATAAAATTTGCAAAAATCTCTAAAATGTTGGTTATTTTTTTTACAAATTCAGAAAGGAACTAAGTCTTAGCTAACGAAAAACAATTACAAAGCACAAATAACTTTACTTTACTTTCAAAGAAAGATAAACATTAATCTCATTAAATAAATAGTTATTTCTGATTTTTGGCAGGTACTTATGGTAAGCATTTCCAGGGAATATACGCAGAGTACAGTGCCCTGCAGTGCTAATTAGCAATTCCTGACATTTAAACATAATTTTGAGATTATCATGATGCTCTCAAGCGATTAAAATTGATTGCTCATTTGGCGAAAGTTCACGTTGTTCGGTAATCACTGGGGCGCTCAATCTTATAAAACGCAACCATTTAAAGGCTGCCAGATAAGTCAATTCAGGCAGCACTAATTTCCACTTTGCTAATGAAAATCTGGTTGATGTTATCTGTAACAGATCACTCAACTGCCAGCTCAACCAACAACCCACTCCCCCACATACCTAACCCTCAGCCCACTTACCCACCTGATTACTGCTAAATGGTGCTAATGAGATTTGCATGTCGTAGTTTCCGCCGGCTGTTGTCCTTACCCGCCAGACGAATCCTTTGAGGGAGCCATTTCCCCTGCTTTTAGTGTGGAAAAAGTTAAATAGATTTCCTCGAACAATGTAGAACAATAAAGATATATTTGGTTTGATTACTTAAGGTAAATATAAATAGTAGTTGAGTGTCTAATCTCCGCTAAGCCAGTTAGAAAAGTTATCTCTAATTTGTACAACTAAACAAAAGTTAAGCTAATGTCGCAACATCTGATTTAAATTAGTAGGCAACCGATTCCGAGTGAAACCACAGCCATTAAAAGGATATTTCAAAGACTTTCCTTTGGTTAATTTCAACCAACGCTTGCACAAAGGGAAGTCCAAGATCTCTCTAAGAAAATGTAGCCTTTGCTGGATTTGGCAGGAATATAGACAGGATGCCGGATACTGGAAGCACGCAAAATATATAAATTAACATTCTTTTTAAGGACTTTCAAAACTTAAACTCACATATTAGTACTGAAGAGACCATTATGAATGGAGGCAAACAGCCTATCTGCACGAATACAGGGAAGAGTAAATTTCCGGAAAGAGCTCCGAAGCGTCCACACATCATGGCAATGGCAACCACAACGGTTCTACAAATTGATATTTACAAATTAATATATATTTTCATGATAAATAGAACAAATAACTCACCTTAACTGGGTGGGAAAAAGAGCCACAACAGCGCCCAAAAGGGAGGAGACAGCAATTCCCGTAATCGTAAGGAAAGTTGCAGACACAATGAGTGTCATTAGACTGCTGACGGAGAAATAAAGTAAAAGGCCAAAGGTTCCCGACAGAAACAATCCATAAGCTGGTAGGTAAAATGTGATGCGGTTATTTTGGGTAAAATGTAAAATTTGAAGAGCAACTTACTCATCATGCGCTTGGGACCCAGGGCACGGATTATTCCACCAGCAAAGAAGTAACCCACAAAGCCAGTGGCCGACACAATAATGTTGTTCAGGTACATGTCCATCGATATCACTTTGGGCTATAAGATATTAAACATAAATATTGGAACAATAAATCCTTCATTTTCTATTCCTATTAAGAATAATGCTTCTAATCTTCTAAAACCAAAATCAAATCCAAATAACTATAATAATAGTTTTCGTCAAATTAATCAGCCTATAAAACTCTCTTTAGAGGGTATATAACTTCCACAATTATGACCGATTATGGTAATCTTTTATTATGTTATGCAGAGATAAGCGAGATAACCACGTCAGGATGATGGGGCGTTAAGTGAGTTGTCAGATAAGCCCGACCCACAGATTCCCACCTGATACTATCTTCAGATCCAGATCTGTTATCTTAACATCTGATACCTACCTCGGAACAGGCGTCGGCATAATTCAAGGCGGTCTCCGCCGTCTTATTAACGCTGAACTCCAGGATGGTGCACATGCTGGCCTGTACATCATCTCCGGCATGAAGGAATTCGAATTCCGCCATGGATGCAAAGAGCTGTGGCAGCCACAAACGGATAGTGTTCATGCCCAGGAAGATGCCGAACTGCATCACATAGCAGCAGATGGACAATCCAAGGAGCGGCTTCATGAACAAAGGTTTCATCTGCTGTAAACCAGATCGAAGACTCTCCGCCAGAGTTCGAGACTGTCGCTTTGTGGGGACCTCTTTGGTCTTCTCCTCAATGGTGTAGATAACCTCGTCCTTGACAGCCTTGCGATTGGGCACCTCCTGAATAAGGGATTTTATCTGGAAAATAAATAATTTAGTATTCATTTTTTATGTTTAAACATTTTTTCCATTTAAAGTTTTTCTGCACTTACTGGATAGGTGTCCTTGGGCTTGCGGGAGTTCACGTGGTAGATCTGCTTAAAAGCCTGGAGAGCTTCCTCGTTGCGTCCTTGGGCCATCAAAAATCGAGGACTCTCTGGCATGCCACAGAAAATCAGACCACTGACTAAACTCGGGATGCCCAGAACGAATAGAAAAATCTGCCAACTGTGGACTGAAATATAATTATTTTACATATTAAGTTAGAATCTTAAATTCATCTTAAAAACTTACTTTGCAGGCCCCAAAACTCAAAGTCCCAATCTCGTGGGAATATTCCCCAGGCCAGAAGAGGCAGTGAAACCGTCGCCGTAGAGGTAACCATACCGACGATCATCAGAACGGAGGATCGGTGCTTGGGTCCATGCATTTCCGTAAGATAGGTAAACAGCACAGCAGCTGGCCCATTTACCCTTTAATTCACAATTAACTATATCAGAAAGTAATTTTAAGAAATAATAAACTCTACTTACACCAATCCTCCCAAGAACTTGAACACCACCAGCATTGTGAAGTTCTGACTCAAAGCACTGCCAAAAACACACACCGCATCGATCAGATAGCCCCAGTAGAGGATCTTTTTGCGACCCTTGGTATCTGCTAGATAACCCCAAGCAATGGCCGATATGGTCATGCCGGCATAGGCCACTGCATTCAGCACACCCTTGTCCTCGAGAGTCAGGCGAAGATCACACTCGGCAATGGGCAGGATGTAGGACATAGAGCTGGACTCAAAGATGGCAGCACTTTGAGCGGGAATGGAGACAATCAACAGCATCAGATTGAAGATGCCAAAGCCAGCACCTTCGATAGCCTTATCGAAAGTGGCAGGACCTTCTTCGGTGGGTGTAGCGGCAGCCTCCGCTGTGCTATCTGAATTCCCATCCGCATCATTGTCATTTTCCAAACCTGAAGCCAAAATATATGGAAAAGTTCTTTTATAGCAGACACTAACTAATCTTTTCCGAAAGTTTTGATAACTTAAACTTTGTGACAAAACTTTTCCACACCAAATTAAGTAAGTTAACAAATACAGATTACACATCACAGCATTATACAACTCAATTCGCATCCCACATGGAAAAAGTATTTCACTTCTTTCAATATTTTCTTTTAGTCATTTTTATTTTGTAATTAAGATCTCAAATACTATCTTTTTATTACTTTACATCACATATACCTATGTAATAAGAAGCAATTCACTTTATCAAGCACTTATCGCTATCACAAAACTCGTTTTATTTCTTATCCCTTAGGCACTGCATAATTAATCATAAGAACAGCTTTTTCATATGTATATCCTTAGCCTTTACTGTTTACTTTTATAAAATGAATTTTATATTCTTAATTTCTAGTCACACTATTTTAATCACAAATAGCTTTTGTATATATCCTTTACCTTTGCTTTTCTCAGGATCCACTTTTTCAATATTCTTTTCCGACATCTCAGCGATTACTGTTTCTCACTATATCTTTTCACAATTGGCTTGCTCTTGAAATTGATTGTTCAATTAATTCGCTGCAATTCTTGATTAAAATGCGCGAGCACTAATTCTTCAAAGAGTTCACTTCACCAGTATATTCTAATTTCGACCGACACTTGATGACACTTGCAATGCTGCACGAGAAATGATCTCCTAGAGTGAAAGGCACCTGCTTTTATCGGAGTTGCTCTTAATAAAACTGGAGATTCACTCAACTACAGCTGTCTTATCGCGGGCTTTACAATCTCAAGAAGCTAATAAACTTATAAAATCACGTTTACTTAGAAAAAACGCGTTGCTCTAGGAAAAAAGACACAGTGGGTTTCAAAAACATAAGTCCTTTCCAAATAGAATCCTTTTTAACCAAATTTCTGTGTATAAAAAAACGAAGGATTACCATTCTGTTTCATCTGAACAGTCATTCTGAATACAATGGGCTCCATAAAATCTTTTATTTGTAAATAAACACTGTACGATCATATTTAAAGTAACCACGATTATGTCATGAGGTAGCAACCATTTTCTAAACTACAGAAAATGCGTGCGATGCTCCCGTTCCCGCCAGAGTTAATGCTGAGGACTTTTAATAACCATATAAAAAATATCAATCTAAAGATAATATATTTGATTTATGACCTAATTAATCCAATTTGACTACGTCATTTCAATTGTGAAATTTTCGGATGCTTAAGCTTCTCAACTTTACCTCTGCCCATACGACAGAGGGGTGATCTTATCTGTGTTAAACTTATCTCCAACATGACTAAACACTTTAGGACCAAATGAATGAATTACTCATAAGACGTGGAAGATTCTCATCACACAATTTGAGTTTTATTTCTTACACTAAAAGCAGTTATAAATATGAGGAGCTCTTTTTCCAAGACGTTCACAATGATTGACACAAACTCGAGTGCCTACATCCAGTCTTCTTTCAAATCACTCGATTGCATCCACCAGCTTGCACAGCATGCGATCGTGCTGATAACTGGGATCATTTTTGGCCGCCGCATTTGCCTCCAGAGGATCCACTTCTGTCTTAATCTTTGCCCCGCCGTTCTCGTCATCATCTTCCAGAACCGGCAGAGCTGAGAAAGCGGTGTTAACAATTTCCCGCACACGCTCCAAGTGCTTCTGGAATCGGGTGGCAGTCTCCACGCGCTGTCGCTTCTGCATTTCCATCATGACGCGCAACGTTTCTCTCGCCTGATGGGGTCGAAACTCGTTCAGCAGGTGATGCATATTAACGAACAAAAGACTCAGATCGTCAATCTGTAATATTCAATAGTTAGAACTATATCAGATATTCCCGATTAAAGAAAGCATACTGAATGCTGAACTTGTATAAATGCTAACCTTCTCTGTGCGCCGCGGACTGTCAGGATTCAGAATGAGAAAGTCGATGAGGTCCAAGAAGTTGACCAGCAGTGAATGGTTGAGCTTCTTGAGCTCCTTGCGCCGGTCAAAGTGAATGGGGATTAGTCGCTTGATGTTTTGGGACTCCAAACTGCGAATCATCTCGTCATTGTTGTATTGGATACCAAACATACTGTAGACTTCATGCTGCGAGGGCGGCGGCGGCGGGCGTGGCGCACGGTTCCTTCGGATGTTCTCCTCCGTGTAGTTGGCGATGTACCGCTCGGGCGGCATCGGCAGGCTGGAAACCTGGGTCTCCTGGTTGGACATCTCGGTATAAACAATAGCAAAAATAAATTGTTTTGAAAAGGTGATGACAATCTTAGAGCTGGAATCACTCGCTTAATGATGACACTATCGTAGTATTTCTTGGACTAAAAAATACTAAGTGTTTGGTTTGGAGCTCCACTAAAGTACTAATATAGTAATATTTATTATAGAAAAAGAGATTTAAAGTAATATAAGGTTAAATAATAAACCATAACCAAAGAAATTTAACAATTTAAATACAAGTTAAAACAAAAATACAAAGTATTAAATATTTAGTATTCATCGCAACCTGACAATATATATCGACCACAACTATCGATAAGAGTAGGGTGACCGTGCGTGCATTCCCTAATTAACAGCATTGCCGTTTACATTTTTCGCTCGTCTCTTCTCTCATTCGCTACTCGTTAGGAGAGCAAAACAAAAATAAGAAATACATATATCTTGGGGTGAATAGGAAATTGTCCCTGCACCGATTCGCGCCAATTCCTGCCAAGGAAATAAAAAACAAAACTTAAAAATAATACCAAGTTGGAACTAAGTAACGCGAACCATCGAAAGAACGCCAGCGTGCCTCCACCATTTTGTTTAACCCACTCCTCCTCGTGTAAATTTTTGTTCGTGTGGGTGCTTGCAGTGTTTGTGCAAAGTGCTCCCCATAATGCCTGTAAAATGTGCAAAACCGAACTTGAGAAAGACATTTCGTAGTTTCGTTTAGTAAGCCATGGATCGGTTGATACCAGCAGAAGAGGGTAAGTGCCTGGGGATAAAGTAAACAATCTGAAAAAGGCCCCGGGCAACGAGCATTCATTCCCATTGATTAAGTCAGCGCTATTTCCAGTGTACCGCGTGGTGTACGTGTATTGGTGTGTGTGAGAGTGGGAAGAAGGCAGAAATAAACAATAAAGCGGATCTGCGATTGGGTGTGCTGCTTTTATTTAACTAAATAACTCTCTTTTTACTCTTTAAATAAAGCTTACCTCAGAGAAGATTGGAAAATAATTGTGGAAATAGCCCGTAATCGACCTGGAACTCAAGTGTCAAAGTGCATCTTCACCTACGATGAGCAACAGGATCTCCCCTCCCTAGTTGTTCTTCTCGAGGAAATTTCAAAAAACAGCGACTATTCCACAGACTTACGAATATCCTTGGAATATGTAAGTGCCAAAAATAACAAATGACCATTGTCTTTTATCGCCCACTATGTTCAAAAATGTTAAAAGTATAAGACCGGTTTGAATTTGGTTTTATTTTGATTCTTATAAGATTTAATAATCAATAATTGCCGTGTTCCGGGTTTCTAGAATGTACATATATATTGCGTAATGTAGATGGGCATAACATAAAAAATCCATACCTCTCATTTACATATAAAAATAGTAGCTTTAAAAGTTTTACTATAAAAGAATTATACTTCAGACCCTGAAATTCTGTTAAATGTGTTATTTATCTCTTATAGCTTCTTCATGAATTATCACGACACTGTTGGGGGAGTCAGCATGTCTCCCGACGGTCGGCCCTCGTGGCGGCGGGAAGTGCCATACAATACTGTGGAAAAATCTATGGAGATCGCGTGGAGTACGTGTACCAAGTGGTGGGTCATCAGATCGAATCCCTTCGATCTTCAGAGTCTCAGAAGGATACCCCCAGCGGAAGCAATGGGTAAGTTTAAGTCAAAAAAACAATACTAATGATAGTTAAAGATAAAGCCATGTGCTCAGCGATTGTCGCCATTATGTCTGTCCGGGCGTCGCCTCTTATCAGTTTAAAAACCGCTTATCGAGCTTTTCCTTACGCCCTCGTTTTCGGCTTTGTTTACGTTAATATCGGTGAAGCCGGCTTCACTTCCCGTTTAATCACATGCTAATGAATGAAGGAACACGTTGTTGGGATCTCTAAAGCAAATAGCAAACAGCGTACTTAAGAAAATGAGTAATAAAACAGCCAAAAATAAATACAGACGCATTAGGTCATTCATAAAAGTAGACAGCAAGAAATCTTTGAAATGGAATACCCATATTTTGAATATTTTTTTTTTTTACAAATTAAACTGAATTGGATCTTATAATATTAAACAATAATTTATGTTTAGTAACATTAAAAGTGAATACATATTTAAAGTTAAATTAATTACGTAAATAGAGTACACACTTTGTAAATTAATTTTATTTTTAATTCAAATTCAATTACTAATTTACCTCATTGTTGCAGACCGGAGAGCAATTCTACTAAGCCGGAGGAGCCGCGCAAACGTCGCACCAAGAAGCTAACCAAGAAAGAAGTTGATCCCTATTTGCTCACCGTGGAACCGCGAAAATTCAAGATGATGTCGGACGATAAACGCTTCAACTTGACGGGCTTTGTGAAGTGCACGAGGAATCGGACAATAGAGTACCTTTATCAGGATCACACGCCGCCCAACCTATGGAAGCATGCTCCCGTAGTGGATCCCCACAATCCCTACGACCAGGATGAAAAGAAGCAGTACAAAATGTTTACGTATCATGTGGAGCATCGATATAACACACTTCTGCCTGATATTCCCTTCGAACGGTTGAATCTGATCAAGGAATATGTGCACACAAATCAGGTCAATACCGCGGAGATACTAAATGAGCATATGACTACAAAGGATTACCTGGATGAGTACATTGCGCTGGAGAATCAAATGTTAGCGTCCCGATATGGAGCCACAGTTAGGACTCGAAGAAGAATGACAGAACCGGCGAAAAGAATGATGGAAGATACTAGCGAATCGGAGCTAACGAAAAAGTTGAGACTTGAGGAGGATCTGCTCATGGATACGGATGAAGCTGCGCCGCCAGAGACAATGGAAGTGGATCAATCATTGCGTACGGGCGATGGTTTGCAAAATCAAATATCACTGGACTCGGGCCTTGGCGAATCAATCAACACTAGTCAGGACAACACTATTAATACCACACTAGACATGAGCCAAGTGGAGAACTCTACCTTAAGCGTTAGCCAAGTAGAGAACTCAGCCTTTAGTGAAAGTCATGCACAGGACTCGTCCTTAAGCGTTAGCCAGGTTGAGAATCCGCCGCTGAGTAGCACTTTGGCTATAAATGAGTCCAGTGTCCTAGACAGCACGAGACTGCCCCCCGCTAAAGATGACTCCCTAGAGGAGCTGTTACACATTGATTCCGGTATCGGTATGGAAGAGGTTTCCGATATACATACGCATGCAGGTAAACCAATGGCAATCCAACGCCCGCCAAGCGTACTAAGGATAAGTGTTTTTTTAATCTTTTGTGCTTATGTTTTTAAATACTCACATATTTCTTTTCCTTTGGTTTTTATTTTGGCACTTGATCCCACACTTGCATCGTTGCATTGCATTTGTAACGGCAGGCCAGTCTTTTGACGATGAAGGTGTTGTTCTTTCAGATTTAGAAGATCAGCGCCAGGCAAGCCCCTTGATGCAGTTAGATATCCATTCGGAAAAGCCGGAATCAAAAACGGCTGAAGTCATTGAGATGGATGCCGATATTGTAATGAATGTTCCAAGGGAGGTCTGCTTTCCCATTCTCCTAAATTTTATGGGCCTTCCACAAAAAAATCTACGCCGTAAATGTATTTTTAAACTTCCAACAGAGTTTGACCTATTTAAGGAATCGGTGAGTATCAAACGTCCCTGATTACTTAATTAAAAAATATATATATTATTCAAAATTTTGTTTATTTCATATTTTTAGCGTCTTCCTAGCAGACGAGAGGGACAACCAAAAACTCAAACTTCTGTCAGAGCTACAGTGTTACGGGTAGAAAAAGAATCTCCAAAAACAACGGAAAAAGAACCCGGCTCTCCAGTTAGCTTAGAGTTTGACGAGGATTATAGTGAGATACTTTAAGACACTATCACTGTTCACATTTTTACAACAGTCTTTTCTAGATTTCTTGGGCTTCCGGCAACGTCGTCCGACTTTTGATTCTGGTTTTGACTTTGAGGAAATGCGAACCAGGTCAGGATGTGTTTCTACCATTGGAGAAGTTAAAGTTGAGGTTGAAGACGTTACTGAAAGCAAAGAAAATAAGACAATTAACGAAACTGCAGCCGAAGCTTTGAAAGAGGCAATAGATCCCAGCATGGAAAGTGGTTTGGGAGACTCAATAATGTCGAAACTAAATGAGACCTCAAAACTTGAGGATTCAGAAAAATCTAAAACGGAAAGCGGATTGGATGCTTCCACGGACTTAGCAATGAAGAGCGGATTAATAAGCGATAAATTGGACGTTACCACTGAGCCAAAAACAGTGGGCATTGATGTTTTAGAAACCACTCAACTTGACCAATCAGCATTCGAGATTTCTATGCTGCTAGAAAAATCAACCATAAATGACGAAGCAGAAGCAAAGGATGTGCCTGCTGATATACCAGCGCCAGATGATGGGATACAGGATGGTGCTGCCGAAGACTGCTATGAGTCGGTACGATGCGATTCACCACTAGAAATTGACCACTGTGATAACACCGATTCCAGCACTATGGTAAATATATATATACGATATAAAAAAGAAAATATTAACGTAATCCGTATAGGTTCGTGACTGGCACAGACGATTGGCTCCTGCTCTAGAGGCAGCCCATGAACGGCAGAATTTTAATATTAAAGACTTGGGTACTGAGATCTTAGACGTTTGCCAGGAGGGCGATGGGACAGCCACGTTAGCCGAAGTCATGGCTGACAAAGATCCTACCGTCATGTGTCGCTATATGTTGGCTTCACTAGTTTTGGTTAGATAATTTGTTAAACTGATATGAAGTCACATATTAATAATTCTTTTTTGCAGACAAATCACGGAAACGTGTCCTTAAATTTTGGAAATCGTGATAAAAGTAAGCCCATCGACATGTCTCAGTTTCATATGCAGCTAAAGAGTACAAAGCGAATGGAAATCCATCCTGAGGATGACGTGGGTAACATAAATGCAACCAAAAGCAAACCGGCAGCGAAGACTTCGGAAACGAATAGCTCAGATGACAATATGAAGGCAAGGACGAGTAAACCGGCGCTTATAAAAAATAAACGCAAGTCGACGGAAATGGATTCACCAGAGGTCTATGCAAAAACCGTTCGTTTGATACAGCCCATCCCAAAGATGCGGCAGACTCCCTCTGATGGCGACTCGGGGATATCTTCGATGGGCACTTCATTGGCATCGACAACCCGACCTAATTAGAAGTAGCCTGGTGACGTCTTAAATAATTATTAAACCCCTTAGTAGACCCTTGGCGTCCCAGTTATCCTAGCCCCATATACGAATTATATAAACATTTATGTTGTATTATTTTCAGGCCCAGCGAACAATACCCTTTTCAAAGCAGTACAACAAGATCATGAGGCTGCCTTAGGTATAAACCTTGCCACATTATTTTTTCACTCCTGTACAAATGTAAGTTTAAGATTTTTAGTTTAAACAGGCTTGCAAAACATAGTGTACTTTAGATTAAGCCTATGTATATGTTAAAAACAGTATGTGTGTAGAGTAGTAAACCAGTATTATCTAAGCTCGATTTCCAGAAACATGAATGAGTTAATGCGCTTTTTAGTTCTTTTTATTTGTTCGAATTGCAACTTTTTTTTTAGTTCCTTTGTTTTGCATTTGAATTTTTTATATTTTCTTCATTTCTATTTATGTTTTGAACATTTTTGATTTCATTTACATTACGCACGACTTTATTTTTATATTCTTTTGGTTCATTTATAATTTCTAAAATCTTTAAATTTAAGCCACCCTTGAAAAAAATATACTTGGCTTTGTATTGACGCAGGAAATGTTGTGGAAATCCGCATGAGCTGATAGTACTAATATCAAGTACCTGATCTCGTAATGTACAAAAGCATAAAATTAGATTTCTTCACATATAAGAACACATCAGAAATTATAACACAACCTGTGCAAAATGTCGCCTAGAATACAGTGTATATATGTATGTATTTAGCAGAGTGCAAGCGAATGTCTATTTACAATCAGTGTAAGGTATAATGTTTTTTCATAAGTATAACATAAGCTCTGACGAAATAAAACAAAATCATGCAATCACTTAAATACGTTTTAATTAAAATTCTATTCCGAATCACTGCTGCCGGATTTATGCTCCTCCTCTTTCTTCTCCTCAGTCTTGTAGTGGCGATATTCCTTTTTAAGCTCCCACATGTTTTTGTGCGGATTCTTCATGTTGTAATCACAGACATCCTTTAGAATCTCCTTGAGATAGCTGATGGGCTGGTTGGTGATTTTGACCAGATCCTTGATATTATAGTATTGGTGCTTTTCGAAGGCGTGGAAAAGCATGTCCATCACAGCATTCTTATCGTCTCGCGCCTTTTTGCCCTCGGCCTTCTTACGCTCCCGATATTCGATCTGCAGGAATAAGAAGATTAATACACAGGGCTGATACAGACCTTATGTTGGACTTACATTGTGTGCATGATCCTTGACAGGTTTGAAGTTCTGAACAATCTTGTCGATGGGCTGGACTCGGCGCTGCGGCTCCGATGCCTTACGTATAGATTCCAGTTTTAGCTTCATATAGCAATTGTCGGCGATGGGTCGGCACTCCAGCTTCTGGACAATTCTGCCCTCCATGTACAACTTTTCATTATCTGACTGCCCTGTTGAAGTAGAGTTCTCTTTGCCATCGGATGGAGCCATATGTGAGAATACCCCGAGTGTTTGCTTGGTGACCTGTGACACGTCCAACACGTGCTCCGTGGGAATCTTCTCATCAGGATCCAGGGCTAAAACGGCGGGCGTGAGAGAGAGTGACACCTGTGCTTTTTGGCCAGGAGACTTGTTAATCCGCAGCTTGCCCACGTCCATGTTCGTGGGCGCTTTCTCCCATTTCTGGGCAATATATTTCGGCACCTTCACCAACCATACACCGCGTCCGGCGTTGGACAGGTCCAGGTCCTTGTCGATTATCTGCGTTTTTTCCTTTTCGTCTTTGGACATTTTGTTTATTTTATAAAATTATATTGGAATTTACAAAGCCACTTGTACCGTTTTCGGCTTTGCTTTTTGTTGTTGTGGAGCAGAATTAGTGTTACCAGAGCAGCTATAGTAAAATTAAACTTCTTAAGTATATCTAGCATTATTTGTTCTGGAATTTCCTAGGGCTGCACAACTTTGTTATTTGGCGGGAAATTTTAATTTGAAATAAAATACGCAAATAATTTAATTTTCTCTTAAGTTTGTCATATTTTTAGACAACAAACAAATTTTAATTGTTTCCGGTTTTCTATATTTAATATTAGTAATTTAAGACCCGAATCCTGGTGAATTGGTTTTATATTATTTTTATTGTTTCTTTTAAATTAGGTTGACAGCATGATGATTGTGTAGAATCTATTCCTCCTCCTCGTCCTCCTCTTCCTCTTCGTCATCGAGATCTTCTTCGTAGTTGTTGCCACCAGTGGGGGTAACATTGGAGCCGAGCTCGATGACCGGTTCCTGTTCCTCAATGGGCGTGATAGGCTCTTCGACAAGAGGCTCAGTGGCCTCGGCGTCATTCTTTTGGATGGCCTGCAGCTCCTGGGCAGCGATCTCGGATTCCTGGCGCGCAATCTCGGCCAGCTCGGCAGCCTGACGGGCAAGCTCTCCCTCGCTTTCCTTTTCGATTTCCGCAAGGCGTTCCAGCTCCTGCTCACGAAGGCGCTGATCCTCCTCCAGACGTGCTTCTTCAGCAGCACGAGCCTCTTCGGCAGCCTTCTGGGCCGCTTCTTCAACAGCCTTCAAGGCGGCTTCTTCAGCAGCCTTTTGGGCAGCTTCTTCAGCCAGACGAGCCTCTTCGGCAGCTTTAAGAGCTGCTTCTTCAGCAGCCTTCTGGGCGGCGGCCTCTTCTGCTAGACGTGCTTCCTCAGCAGCCTTAGCAGCAGCTTCTTCGGCAGCCTTTGCAGCAGCTTCTTCGGCAGCCTTAGCAGCAGCTTCTTCGGCAGCCTTAGCGGCAGCTTCTTCGGCTAAACGAGCCTCTTCAGCGGCTTTAAGGGCAGCTTCTTCAGCAGCTTTCTTGGCCGATTCCTCTGCAGCCTTTTGGGCGGCAGCCTCGGCCAGAAGAGCTTCTTCGGCAGCGATTTTGGCAGCCTCTTCGGCAGCCTTCTTGGCCTTGGCAGCAGCCTGTTTCTCGGCCTCAGCTGCCAGGCGTTCCCTCTCCTCCTTCAGAGCCCTTTAGAATTTCAACAAAAATAAGTCCCATTGCAATTTTAAGCATTAGAAGAATTACCCACCTCTCTTCCCGACGCTTGGCCTCGTCGGCTTTCTGGGCTCGCTTCTTCTCCAGGTCAACTTCATCGAGAGCTTCCTCGTTGACCGTCAAAAGACGCTCCTGGCGAAGACGCTGCTTCTCCTTAGCCTCAACATCGAGTGGGTCCTCCAGGGGCCTAGGGGCAGAAAATTTTCTAGATGGGCGGTTAGGATCCAACTCGGCATCTGAAATGTAAGGCTTGTCAGAAGAACCCTTACCACAGTGTGTATGAATTTCTATCTTATTTCTTCTTTACATAAATTATCCTTTATTTTTGTTGTTCACTCAGTTTTTTATCAATTACATTATCCTGTACGACTAATACTTACTATTCGTTTCGGCGAGTGTTGGTTTGCTTAGAGATGAGGCAAGGAAAATTGCAGATACAGTAGACGCCAATGGTTTAGAGTATTGTGTGGCATTAATGGGAATTTTAAAAAAGTTCTGGGTGTGAAGAATTGAACCAAAATGTGTTAAATGGGTTAAGCATACATACATATATACATCTCAAAATGCAAAATAGTACATAAAGTAAGCTGAGGTCTCGAAGTGTTGGATTGTGTAATGTATAATATTTTCATCATTTTAAGTTTATATTTCTGCATCAATTCAATTATTATTTATGTACAAAAATATTGTGTGTGTTTTATATAATTTTCACTGAAAAATGAAATATTCTTTAACCCACTGAAGATTCAGACTATTGCCCATAGAGAAAGATTTGAGTTTAGATCAGTATTTACAAATTAATATATTGGTACATATTTGTAAGTAAATATCCCTAAAATGTGTTTACAATATGCATGAACATAACATTGGTTAAACAAAATTCGCGCTGACGTCCATATCTTAAATGCCAAAAAATGATGCACATGAAGTATTTATTAATTCGAAATCAGTGATTATGAAAGTATATAATTTAATAGTCAGCTTTTTACTTAAGTTACAAACAAATTGAAAGAGAATGAATAAGTATCTACATTTTGGTGAGTCACATGAAGAAATGTTAGTATCACAAGTGATGCGCTGAATTTATATATATTTTTTTTTTTGGTTTTTTGCATTTTATTTTCAATCTTTTAAGCTGTTCTGATTTGACTTGTGTATAGATTAGTCTGAGTAGTGAAAGCGCCAGAGTGTGTCGATATCAATTGTTCATCTTGTAGATATCGGCTAATTGTCTACCACGCAAAAGAAAGTCTTTTAGATTGGTTTATTTAAGAAAGAGAAGTGTATGTCCATACAAAAATCAGGCATGTTATCATTTAGGCCTCAACTTCAACAGCTTCAACTGGAAAGAATCAATCAATCATAAAACGTATAACGTTAGTGAAATACAATGAACTGAACAATTCAGGATGCAGCAACCAAATATGTAAGTTAGTTACAAATGAATAAACTAATTTAGATTCTATAGCACTGTATTTTTTTTCTTCTTATTTTGTACTTTACTAATTACTATAGTTGAAAGAGATTTCTGAAAGAATAGTTTTGGACAAGTGGAGTACTTAGGAATGCAAATTGGGTATATTTATTATAATATTGAATATTGAATTCAAGCCCATAGGTTCTTTATAATAACAAGAATTGTAATTGTCTTGCGTGTAATGTAGAATGTAAATTATTCTTTGCTTGATTTGATTGTATGAAAAGTGTCTTTAATTTCGAGTTCTTGACCAGAATCAAGGAAAATGACTTTATTCCACATGGTAAATAAGATTTATAAAAGAAAAAAACGCGCATATCCTTGTCCTTAAATATGCTCCTTTTAATGAATGGCAATCGTTTGGCGGCAACATCTATTACATTTATGCTTGAGTGATATATACAGGTGTCATATTCAAGCGAAATGTAAAAACACGAACAGTACTTACCTTCCTTCACAGGATCATGGGATTTCTTATCACTCTTCCAAGTCGGGTGTCTAAGGTACCAGGACAAGAGGTTAATATCATTTCGAACTTTGTCCGAATCGTACAATGGACTTCTAACATTATAGGCCTTGTCACCGCAAATCCTTACTGATGCAAGATGACTTTTACCTTTTATTATTTAATTATTTAAAAAATGGAATTTAATAACCATTTACTATACAATAAGATTAGCTAACCACAGTTGTGAACGCATTACATAGTGCAGTAGTGTTAGAATTCGAATTTTAGAATACAACTTACCAACATATTTTACAGCTGGTCTGGGGTAATGGGAAATATTGTGAACTTCCTTGGCAATATGGCGAACGGGATTTGTGACACGGGCCACATAAGCATCTAGAGCTAGTTGAGAAGTCGGCTCATAGGTGTAACTAAAAATGTTTATTAATTTAAATTTCTGTTATATTCTCGACACATTCTTTTAAATATTACAATAAACTTTTTAATATTATTCCCACAAGTCATAATATTAGACGAACAAACAAGATCTAGGTCATATTTCACAAATTTATAAGGGCAGCAATCATGTGCAGGCCAACACGTCGTATGTGTAATTTTAACGCCCAAAAATATAACGCATACGACGTGTGGAACGAATGTAATTATATTCTATGCCAAGAGCTTGAAGAATTTAAAAACTGCGCCAAGATGGATATAATCTGATATATATAAGTATATATATAATTGGCTCCATTCAGGTGCTTTTATAGCTATTTTTGGCTTTCAAAAGGCCATTTGAAAGCTAGAAGGTGTTCAAGGTCTTCTAGAGAATTCCCATTAGATATTTATAAGTACTACTTACCCAGTGACTGGGAAGGGAGTGCAGCTACGTGCACGGCGCACCACGGGAGTATGCAAGTCACGAATCAGAGATTGCGCCCGGTTGCGAATCCGGCTTGTTTCCTCAGAGAAGGTCTGTAATTTTGATGACACGTTAAATGACGCCCTACGACCAAATCGACGAAAGCGAGGACACAGAACAACACAAGTCCAAAGTTCTGGGTGGCTATAAAAGCTACGTGCTACTAAGTACGATGGACCAACTTACGGTGAAGGGTTCAGTATTGAGGTAATTGGTCAGGGCACGAGCACCGTATCCAGGCGGCAGCCTCTTCAAGTAGGCAGGCACAGAGCGAACCGGGCTGGTAATGACCCTCACCGGCGAGGAGGTGATCCTCAGAGGCGAAAGAGAACTGCGAGGGGCATACACCCGGGTGATCGTGGTCGGGTTGTAGACGTAGGACGGCGTGTACGTGGTGTACGATGTCGGGATGTAGGTCGAAGTGTAGGTCGATGGCAAGTAGGTGGGGCTGTAGTAGGTCGATGGCGTGGTGTAGGAGTAGGTAGTGCGCTCCGGCGATGAAATCACTCGGGTCGTCGTGCGGACAACGCGAACAGGCGATGGAGAGTGTATGACACGGGACACCACTCGGGCAGGTGAGGTCACCACACGGATGGGCGAGGTCACCACACGGGTTGAGCCATAGATGCGTTTGGGCACCGAGTAGGTCGAGTAGATGGGGTAACTCGACTTGTACACCTATTTGGCAACATTTTCCAAAAATTAACATAACATCGAATGGGCATAGCATGATGATTTTGATATTTATGATCATTAGCGGAATGAGAAAGCAGAGAATCGAAATAAGAACAGAACTAGAACAGAAACGGAAACATTTTGATGATGAATGCTTCAGTCAGAAAGTTTTTGCTGATATATGATTTCTTTTTAGTTTCATGAGATGGAAATAGTCGATTTGACACTTTACCATTTAGTGAATTATTTTAATTTCATAACCGATAAGTATGATAGAACTTATGTATGATCTCAGATTTGGATCTTGTTTTATATTTTAATGGGTTCCTCTTGGGCTACAAACTAAATAAGACTATGATGTGAGGGCTTACTACTAACCAAGTCGGCTTTTTCCAGTGACGATGATGTGATGGATGTGATTGAACAGTGTGATAATAGTCAATAGAAAAGAATAGTAAACCATAGAAAGATGGATGACGAGCGATGTTGGCGATTAAGATGAAAGCCAAATACTTACACGAGTTACTTTCTGGACCGAGGGGTACTGAAAGTAATACAAAATACGGCATTGGATGTTTTAGTTCAAAAAATATGACAACTTGCATATTCCTTGACAAACACGGTGTTGATTTCTGTTTGTTTTTTTTTTGTTTTTCTATTTTGTGTCTTCAGTATGAATATCGTATCGACCTTTTGAACTCATTGCAAGAAATAGTAATGCTAGGTTTATTTGAGATAAGACCGTGTTTATTTTATTGTATCACAAATATGTTTTAACATGACTGCTTGAAGGTTGCAAATACACAGAGAAATTGTTTTCATTTCAGTTAATCTAGTCTATATGCGAAACTATTTGGTCATTAGTGGGGATTAGTCCAAGTCAAAACAAATACATCATCATCGAAAACATCGTATACATATATAGGCACTCAAGGTTAGCGGTTGTTAAGTGGATTATTTGGTATATATAAATGTATATATATATATATATATTCAAAACAATGACGTATTAGTGGGCACCATAATAACATTCAAAGCAGTGGCCAATTGCCGCTGCCGTTCCGCTGATGCAGTGCATCCTACACGTGGTAGGAGAAGTGACGGTATTTGGTGCCGCCGGGCAGGTTGCCGGAAGTGGTCGAGGAATAGCTGTAGCCGCCGGGTCCGGCGCCAGTGGTGCTGGTCCGCTCTGTGCTGTAGTTGTAAGAGCCACCGGGACCGCTGCGCGAGGTCTTCTCCACGGTCGAAGTGTACGTGGAGCGTTCCGGGCGGTACGAATGCGGGTTGCTCGAGTCGTAGCTGCTCTTCTCCACGGACGACTTCGAGGTGTACGAGTAGTCCGAAGCGGCCCGGCTGCGGTGCGAGCCCGGTCTGTCCGTGCACAGGTCTAAGCGTGGAGTCTATAAATTCCGATTTGATAGTGATATATAGATAAGGTTTTGGTTTTGGTTTTGGTTTCGCATTGGCAACACAAGCATCATTTAAAGTTAAGGACAAGACTTTCGCTATCTCTGCTCCACGACTACTGCTGTATGCAAATGGCCAAATAACGCAATGCGACTCAATCGGGGGAAATTGAAACATGTTCGAACTGTTTAACTTTAGAGTTTAATGCAACCATCTATATGCACACAAAATGCTATGATTCTACGGATGAAACGTTAGATACATGGGTACACAGAGAAAAGACCATGGTTGGGTTGAAAATTACATTGAAAAAGTTTAAGAAACAAAAATGAGTTCATGAATTTAAAGAAGTCTTTAAGTGAAAACTAAATATTTATAAATATAACTACAGGTCCTTTTTCTCTGTGTAGTATAAAAACTTGTAAACATTTTTAGTGGGTTAACACAATGTGTTTATGGAGTACGTCTAAGTCTATCATTATTTTGTAAGATTTTTCTGTTTTTTTTTTGTCTGTTTTATGTGTTTTGGTTATGTGTTCTTAGTTAAGACTATAATCGTTCGACTAGCTTTCGATTGGGGTTCGGGTTTTCGATTATGGGTGAATGAGGATGCTCCCCTAGTAGGAGTACTTGGTGACCATCGCGCCCGATTTCTCGTTGCGGTAAGTCTCCCGACGAACTGGCAAGGATTCGGAGGCAGCGCGATGGAGACGCGGCAACTGGGCGTCCAGACTGTCGCGGAAGGTGCGAGCGGCGGTATTACCGCCCGCCTCTACAGTGTCGATGTGTTGGCGCACCATGCCCAGGATACGTGTCCGGTTCTTGTCCCTGGTCGAGACATACGGCTCAATGGGCTCGTAGGCCAGCTTGTAGTCCGGCTTGATGGCCGCCCGATTGATAGGATCGAGGATCGACCGCTGACGCCGCTCAAGATCGGGTCGCCGCACTCCGAAGGCGGTCACCGGATCCGAGATGAGCGACGGCCGCGGCACGAACGGAACTTTCTCCCAGTCAATTGGTGTTCTCTTCGTTCTCTGCAAAGCCCAAAAGTCCACAAGTTTGTTTTTAATTTCTGGGTCAGCCGGGTATTAAGCTGTGGTTATTAGGTGGTGCAACGAACTGCTGGCGGTGCTGTGGGAACTCAACTGGGCGGTGCGGTGGGTCTAATATACATACACAATGCGTGGGCGGGACATTTATATACAGCTTCGTTGGGGCAGTGGTTGAGTCTGAGATCGTTGTACTGGGTGGGTCAAGCTAAATCCAATATTCGAACATCCTTACATTATGACACAAGCTGCATATTTACAGATGTAGCTTGAGGCTAGAGTGGACCAAAGTGTAATTGAAAAAGACTCATACGCAACGTTGGCTTGCAATAAGTTAGCCTGCTTAATGGGTTTACTTTGATGTTTAATTTAAGATTTTGTACTTCCAAAAAGGTCCACCCTAGTCTACATACACACATGTATATATGCATATTGATACGACGTAGTGTGGTTGTAAGTAATGTGCAATGGGAGCATTATGGAGTCACTGCCAGCATTAAGATGGAACACAAACAGCAAACGCTTATTTATTTACAGCATTATAGCCAAGTTAATATATAATTAAGCCTTTAATCCTGCATTTAATCCCTAAATACCAAGCATCTTTATAATATTATATTTAAGAGATAAACACTAAAGGCATATAATGCCTCATTTATCAAATCATTATCATTATAAATCATATACAATAAAGTTATGTACAAATAACACAAAAGTGTTCAGACAAGATGGATTTCTTGGGTAGATTTGATGTACATATATATCCTTTCTGTGGATTATCATCACATTAAACTGTCTGAAAAATGGCTGTTTTGTATATTTTTTTTTTACCATTTTTCTTCTAATTTTTGAACATTTTGCCGTTTATTTGTTGTTGGCTTTGTAGCCATGGCTTCGGTTTATTTGAATATATTATGGAAATCGGAAAGATATTTTTAGGACCAGCGAAGAGCGAAATGCGCGCGCATATAGTATTACACATACAAAAAGCAAAACCACGGCCCGTACAAAAACAAATCATCGAGAGAGTTGCCTCCGTGTGAGTTTCATCGAGAATTCGCATGTGTTTGGAATTCCACTCGCCTATATAAGCTAAACATTTTTGGGCACCAGACCAGACGGACCTCCACATTTTCTATTTTTCTTTCCTTTTTTCTTTTTTTTTTTTGTAAATAATAATAAAATAGATAGAGAAGAAAATGTTCGGCCTCCGCAAAATTGTGAAAATGTATTCGCGTTTTATATTTGGGAGATGAGTAAACACGTATATCCGAAAGAGATATGAAGATCATCGCGCAGCAATAAATTTTGGGAAAAAATTCAATTTCCCACGAAATTCTCACGAAAATTGCAATGTTTTCACACTCGCATAATTTTGTCAAATAATTTTGTCACATATTTTGAAGATTTTCGGTCTGGTTTTATTATGGTTATGGACTGTGAAAGCACATAAATCACACACACATATATATATACAATATATAGAGTATACAACAATTACATATGTACAACCATTGTGAAAGTTATTAAATTGTTAGATATATATGTTTATGTATGATATACTAGAAAAATGTTTACACTGAACCTGAAAATACTAGTTTGGCAAATATATATACATTTACAGAACATCTAGATGATCATAGAATAAACATTTTGAGACCAAGGACAATCAGTAGCTAGTTATATGTATACTGTAAGTTCGATACGATATTCATAATTGGTAGACACTTTACATTCAAACGTGTTTCAATTTCTTAAATAATCTGTTCGCTTGTCAAAATGTAACCATTGAGTACAGCAAGTGGGACACAAGCGCTTAAAACTGAAATCTTGTGATCTACAGATTCGATTAGCTATTAGCTAACAACGGCTTTTCAAATTTGTCAAATTTATCCGCAGCGTTTGTATTCTCACAGGTTTTGTCATTTAATGTAAATTTGGAATTTTGAATTTTGATATTGAAAACTCTACGCACAGATATATTTCACAGATTTAAATCAAGGAAAACCACACTACCGTATGTCAAGTAAATAATTTCATGTCGTTGGGCTGGCTTACCGTAACGGCGTAAGAAGTCGTCACTGGCCTCGAGGTGTAGGTTCTGCGAGTCGTAAATCCACTTTCGTAAACCATTTTGCGATTTTTAGATTTAGTTCTGAAGTTTAAATATTATATATTTTCGTTGGATTTTGGTTCGGATATATCGTCGTTGCGTGTTGTTCACTTGACGCCCGTTCGAGTTGATCTGCCTGAGAATGCCACGGAGCACTTGCTTATAATTTTTTGATTTTCAAAATTTTCACAGCCTTCGATCCCGCTCTCTCTAATGCTCACCCTATACCTCTCTCTTTTTCTATCCATCTCCCAAATAAACTTATTTTTGGAATTAAGAAACATTGACATCTCTCGTCGCAAAAGAGCGAGCAAATTCTGTTTACATAAAGCCAGCACTTTTCATACAGTTGTGTTCGGAAAATGCCTATATACAAATGTACATCGTCTTGTGCCCACAGGATATAAGAGCCCTTTTTTTTGAAAACAAACGTCACGGATGTTTTCCAGTATCATTATATTTTTAGATCTAATACTCATGGTTTATCTTAAAATACATTTATTGATGATGAGATTAAGTGGCCCTTTTGGCTAAGGTGAGAAATGGCTTGATATGTATGCCATTTATTTATTTTTAAATTCGACACAAGAATTTTTGAAATTAATGAGCAATTATTGAAAATGGCAAACATATGCATTTAAATTGCAATTATAAACATTGGCTGAATGCAATATGTAAATATTAATGATGCTAAAAATACATTTATGGACTCTTTATGATCTCTAATAAGTTAAAGTTCAATATGATTTTAGTGTCATTAAGCCCATCATTCAAAATATCATCGTACATATCATCATGTTCATTCTGGTCAAAAGATTGATTGACAAACAAACATGCATCACGCAGCAAATACTTTCTCAATTTATGAAGGCATCTATGAGATACACAAAAAAAACAAATAAGGCATGAAATTAAAATCCTGGCAGCAATTTATGTTCGGTGGGGGTATCACCTGTGGACCGGACCCTGAGCTTTCCACACATACGTACAAAATATCTGGAAATGAGTTATTAAAAAAATACAAAAATGAAAATAAGATAAAAATAAATGTTGTTTTCCAACAATTTGAGGCCAGATTACTCATACATTCTTACAATAAGATCGGAAACATGTATTCGTGAACATATAAATAAACTGCACATCATCCTATAGCCACATATTAAATCGGCTGTGTAGGTGTCTGCTTGTATATAAACAAAACCATGGCAGAAATTCAAAAAACCAAATTCTTTATGACATTAACCTTAACGAGAGGCAATGAATGACTCGTAATTTCAAGGCTGCCAAAGTCACTAATCGGAGAACCAAATTGTCATTGAGCACTGACTTGGACAATGCTATTTGCTTTGAACTAATTAAGTGTAAATGGACATTGAAAAATGAATAGAGAAATTAATTGTTTTTCAGGATTTGGCATAAACACATTCCACAATTTACGATTAACATGGAGTTCTTATGTTGTTTACTAACAAAGTGTTTTTGTTCTTAAAATAAACTGTGGTACTATATCAACAGAAACTTATTTATTCCGTACTGTTACAGCATTTTTAACTTTAAGCCTTAAAGTAAACAATTTAAAAATTGTAAAAATGAACAAAAAATATATGTAATATTAATGTTATGTCTGTACATAGTCTAAAAGTAAAAGTTGAGAAAACGATTTTCATAAATTTGCTAATGCTTATTTATCTTTGACATAAATTATTTATTTATTTTAATTTATTATGAGACTCGGAGGTCATTATCTGGTAACCTCGAACTGTAATCTTTAGATCTTTATAGATCTTGGGAATTCATATAGATTTAGTGCTGCATATTTCTATGTACTTATATCTGTTTTCCTAACTTTTAAATATTTCAAAAACATTTTTTGTAATAATTTATTAAATATGATTATATATTATGAATTATTAAATTAATGATTAAAGTGTTCCCTTTTTAAAGTAGTCTGTATAGTTGCTTTGAGATATTTCAAATCATTTTAAATAATCAATGCAAAAGGCCATAAATTTAGGCTCTTTTAAATATTTATAAAAAATGAGCGACAAAAAGTCAGTGACTTAATACCAGAAATCTCTTGGTCGGGTGCCCCTCATAATGATGCAAGTGGCGCGCAGGTGCAAACACTTCCATGTGTCTCCAGTCCCAAGTCGCGATTTTGATCCATTGGAGTACATAGATAGATAGACGACTCTTGGGTTTCAGATGCATGGCCGCTCAATTTATCCGCCCAGCAAGCGTGGTTGTTTGTTGGCGTCTTCGCCGTTTTTCGTGGCTGCGATAATTTTGTTAAATAATTGAGTATGCAATGAAAATTGCGCATTACAGCGACATAAATACAATGGTTGGGTCTTTCACTATGAGGGTTTACTGTGGGAGTGTGTGTGTGTGGAAATAAGTGCCTATATGGTTACAAACACCTGTTCATTCGTTTTGCTAGAATGAGTTTCTTTCCTCACTTTTTCCCAAATACACGCATAAACGGCATTCAAATCCGCACATTGCTTGACATTTTGTAATTTGAACAAATTGCTTGAATTTTTGGTTAACTCCTATATATAGTGGAGTAGGTAGCAGTTGAAATATTAGTTTGGAGCAGAGCGAAAGACACATTGGAGTCACGATAGAAACCTCAAAGGACTACTTCTTCAATATAACACCAAAAAAGGATAATAAATCAAAGGAACAATGAACATCAATTACATCGTCATATTGCAGTTGCTGGGAGTGATGGTTTTGCTGACTTATGCAAATGCCATCCCGAAATATGAAGAGAGCCATAAGTAGGTGAACTTTATGTACCAAAAATTAATACTGATATTGATATTACTTCAGGTTCTATGCGGATAAAACCCAACGGGATAGGGGTTACTACAATGAAAATAAGACTCAACCGAGTGATCCTCAGGCAGCTTCCACGAAAGACAGATTGGAACGTTTGGGATATACCACTGGCTATGGATCTCTAAATGTATGTGATGGAGTTCAGATCATTATTTTTAAAGCTAAAATTGATATTTTAACTCCTTAGGGATATCCTGGTGGTACTGGACTTTCTGCCTACAATCCCATTAAGCTCGACCTGGGCGGAGTTGTTTTGGGCACACTAGTGGGCATTGGAGCCATTATACTGATACCCAAAATTCTATCCGCCTTCCATGGTGGCTATGGAGGATATGGGCGAAGTAAGTACTATATAGTAAAGTTATATATTATTTAACTTTCGTTTTCTTACAGGTGAGGACAGTGACCTTACACCTCTTAGCAGCATGATAAACAAAATCGACGATGTTCTGGGCCAGAATAACATTGACTCAACAAGTTGCATGCAGCGAGCTGTCTGTGGTTATGTTCGTTCCACGGAATATAATATGAAGATAGGATCCTCAGATCAAATGGATGAGTTCATTCACATGCTATCGGAGTAAAAAAACAAACTTTTCTTAAATATCAAGAAATATATATATATATTTATTTTCAGAAATGCTCTAGTAGATTACCTGTTGGATGGAACGGCTATTAAAGAGGCATTGGAGCATGGCAAGCGATCCAACGACAGAGCGTGTGAAGAGGTCTACTCTAATTGTCCGCTGGACAGTAAATCAGCAACGGATATCCTGATGAAGCTGATGCCAAAGAAAAACTCCCAAGGTAAAGGAAAATCCTCTGGAGTTTCCCGAGAAAAGAAGGCTTAATTAATGTTAACTTGATGAATGAATTTTGCGTTCAATAAGATTGTTTTCCATACACTTACAACCAAATATTTTCTCTACATTTAAATAAACTCCATTGTGTTATCTTTATTTAACTAAGTGTTTTTGTGAGTTGTTTAACAAGCTTTACTAAACCAATTTTATAGCCTAAGGCTATGAATAGTAAGAATTATTTATATTTGAAGACCACTACTCAGAGGACTCTCCTTTAGCCGCGTTGCCGCTCAAAATAATTTGTAGTTGCTTTTCCTGCTGCTCAATTAGGGGCAACCATTGCTCTGAAGGAGCTATAAATTTGGTAGGTTCGAACTTTGGAAGTTTACCTAGGTTTCCAAGAACCGACTTGCGATGCGCTCTGTTCTCCATCATAATCTGCTCTAGTTTATCCACCAGATTATTGGACTCCTTGATCAGGTCATCGATGGACTGCAATAGGGCATACCAATCTATTTTTTGGTTGCCAATCAGGGAATTACCCCTCAACCTGAAGGGAAAGGGAACAAAACTACGCCAGGGCTTAAACGATTCGATTGTATATGGTATAAAGTGACGCTGCGATTCCATTTCCACCGCGTCATCATCGAAATGCCAGGATGCCAGAGTTGGAGCCAAGTTCATATTATTCGCAGTTCCCCTCAACTGATTCGATTCCTCGAAGTTTAGTCTACGTATCTTGGCAATCTGATCGCCAAGTCTCTTTTCCACATCGGAGATAATTTCACTGCCATCCTCGTCGGATTTGGGAAGGTACGAGTTGACCAGATCCTTGTTATAAGCCTTGGGTAGTAGAGTTTGAGTTTGCCGCGAAACTGTAGCCACACTGTCGGTCATTTGGGACATGGAATAGGTGAGTACATCTGAAAATATCTTCTTAATATTTGGCCAGAATATATTTTAGAAAATACTCTTACACTTCTCATAGCCATCTTTCTTTTTTGAGTACTGTCCATCGGTTAGAATGCCTATGTCCTTGCTCAGTATTAAATCCTTTTGCACCCCAAAGCTCGCCTCTTTCATGAGTTTCGTGGGCACAAAGTCCGTCTGCAAGGCCACATTGGCCTTGCCAGCTCTAAGTCGTCTGTATGGAAAATTATTCAGTACTACTTAATAATAGTTATTTTGTTCAACAACCTTGAAGCATCAAGTAACTTGGCCCGAAGCAAGGCGCTTTTGTCGGGTTTGGTAAGCGTGGAAACGCTAACTGCCCGCCAAGGAGGTCGCTTAGCCTCATTTTCCTTTTCCTTCTCGGCAGCCAGATCCTTCATGCGTCTCCAACTGTTTTTAGCTCTAAACAATTAAGTATAAAAAAAAAATGGGAAAACAATTTCAAAATAATAAGTTTACTACTGACCTACTCAATGATGAGCTATTCCCACGAATATTCAAATGCGGAGTACCTTGCTGGTCATCCACACTTTGCGTCTCGCTGGCTTCCGATGATGTGCCACTGTTGTTGGAGCTGGTACTCTGCTTTTGCCTGTTCATGGTAGCGATTTTGTTTTTGCCTTTTTAAACTTTAAATGTGTGTGGGTGGAAAAACTTTGCACAACGTCTCTATTAGCAGTCAATACATCGATGCATAAACAATTTAGTGCATCCACGTTGCTATGGAGTCGACTAAAGTGGTTGGGGATAGGGGGACCCGGATATCGACCAATGGATAAAAAGGAATGACAAGGCGCCAAATAATTCCGAAATTTACACTTGTTAAGTAGACAACAGTGTTGACATTCTAGCGATATGGCTATTTCTCTGGCAAATAAAAATAACCAAGCCCTAATGCAATAGTTTTAAAAGCCTCATACAGACATAACAAAAACATATTTTATTATTCAGTTGCATTTATATTTTAGGAGTTGTTATAAAATGCATTAAATATGCGGAAGACATCCCCATTGTAGTTTTCCAAACGCGTTCTTCCAGCATCGTCGATGCATTCAGAGAATAAGTCGTAGTTCTGTCTATGGAACCAATAGTTCTTCGAAGTGCTATTGGCGCTAAGATCGAGTGTATTCAGTTGCAGCACTCCAAAGTGGAAAGTTCGTCCGTCGGTCTGGACACTTTGCACGACAATAGGCTTGGGAAGAGCACCCTTTACAGAATCTCCGTGTAATTGTTTGGCTCGTGCTGCAGCCACAACAAAAGCTTTGACTAATGTCCTTGCCTGAAGCTGAGAAGTTGTGACCTCCGATCCATGGGCATTTTTAACCAGGTGTTTGTTAAAGACCGTGAATATAGTGTGCGGATGGGAGCAGCTAATGTCCGTGCGCAGAGCTAAAAGAATATTTTTTTTAGATTCCTTCTAACATATAACTACTTAGTAACTCACGATATAAGTTTTCCGTTTGGTAAATGTGGTGCTTCGGAATCGATATCGTAGTCTTCATGGGGTAAAGATCAGGCAAATCTCCTTCAAACTTTCCTTTAACAGCTTCGATGGCACGATTGGCGAAAACTACCTTTTCAGCATTGATGGAGAATCCAAGCAGATCACCATCCTTACTTAGAGAGATTTTAAAAGCGGCGTTGTCTAGAAGCTTTCTTCGAATAGACACTGAACGACCTGCCAATTTTTCGGTTTCGTGCAGGAGTTTGTTCACCAGCAAACGACTGAGGAAAACAATTTAATTATTTTGGGATCTCTTTGGTTGTAAAAGTGGACTTACTTGACCCTTTCATGGGATATTCCATAAGACCGGGGTAGGTTAAAGGCCGGTCGCTCTGTTAATCTCACCTTGGGCAACTTCACTTGCTCTGCATCGAGCACGTGGGATGCTAGAATTGCATGTCGGATACTCTTGTCTATGGAATTGGGCAACTGCTGGCTGGTGAGGGCATCCTCGATCTGCTTGGGAAAGGTCTGGATCTCAATGCAGTTAGTCAACACCTGGGCTTGTTGCAATCCTCCAATTAGCACACTATTGTCGGTGTAGGAGTGGCAAACGGTGGAGTGCCAGTCGGCGTGACTGCTATCTTCAGGAATCGTCTTTTCGCGGGTGCCAACAATGTCCACCCTTTAGATTAAATAAGATGCGTGAGATACTAAAATTAATACGTATTCCTTTTCTTACTCACAGTTTTCTCTCTACTTTGGCGTTCACTATATCCTCTGGATTCTTCACCTGAACCCCCAGTTTTAAAAGCTCGGCGGCAGCGCCAGTTTCCTTGGGCACTCGCTTTCCCTGGACCAGCCAATGCTTCTTGAAGTGCCAGCCAATGTGCTGGGCACATAAGGTTTTTGTCAGCCTCATTTCAGTTAGGTTTTGGCAATGTTTTCGTTCAATGAAATGGAGCCCGGCGGACTGGTCTGGTTATGAAATGTATATTAGAGATGTGAGATCTTTGGTCACCGCTACTATCGCAAATATTTTCGGGTAAAAGTCGCTACTCAGTGACTCTAGTTAAACTAAATTTACTCATCTGAGTAAAAGTTCAAAATCTAATTAAAACAAGTTATAAATACTTTTTAATAACCTGATTGATTATTTGATACAAGATAAATGAAAAGTTGATCTGTTATAAATTACATAAAACATAAAATTTGAATGCTAATTTCTTCATTTAGAAATCATACAACATTGTAAAGCAAAAGTACCCGTGGAATCTATCGTCTAACAGTGCCACCACTATTTTTCAGTTCTGGTCACACTTTTGCTAATAAATAAAGAAAAGGCGGACGGTTTTGTTAAAAAATTAACAAAATTAGGTTACAATTTATAAGGTAAGTGTTTGAAAAACTTCCAAAAATCTATTTAGGAGGACGGTGAATCTTAGTGATCTGAATACTCGCGTTTTAGCCGGTCACTTTCTCCGCAAAACTTACGACACCACGCCACACGATAAAAAATGCCGCGATACAGGGAATGGGACCTGGCCTGCAAGGTGTATGTAGGCAACCTAGGCTCCTCGGCCTCCAAACACGAAATAGAGGGGGCTTTTGCAAAATACGGTCCATTGCGAAATGTGTGGGTGGCTCGCAATCCGCCCGGTTTTGCCTTTGTGGAGTTCGAGGACCGGCGGGATGCAGAAGACGCAACGCGTGCCCTGGACGGAACACGCTGCTGCGGGACTAGGATTCGCGTGGAGATGTCATCGGGACGATCTCGCGATCGCCGGCGCGGTGAAGGCGGTGGCGGCGGCGGCAGTAGTGGACGTTCTGGATCTGGACGATACAGGTAATTACACGACTAAAAACTACTTCTCAAGGTACTTGACTTAATATACCTTCCGTATGGAATTCATGGATTTCCAAAATGGGGTAATTTCTTTAGGATTCTGAGCTCACATCAGCGGTACTGTGTCCAACCGCAGAAGTTAACATAACCCATATCAAAAAGTATACAATTTGTAATCAAAATTAAATTGAAATGATCGCAAAACATAAATTGCTAATTGTATTTCCCGCTTTTTTCGCACGTGATAAAAAAAGCCTATGAAAGAAGTCCATTTAATGGAAATTTTTTAGCAGGTTTTTTTATTAAGGTCCAAATGACCTTTGACTGCGAGTTTCATGACATTCCTATTTGTAAATTTATAGTATGTTTTCTCAAACCAAATGTACAAACTGTATACATACATATATTATCTACGATCAAAGCCTTTAGTGGTTGTTAAATGCGAGTTATCGACACTTTTTCAGGATAACTCCTTCGGCTAGAACTACTTCCACTGCTACTTCTTCCTTCTACAACATCAACAATCTACAACAGCAACCATCTTCACAGCCACAGCCAGCAACCTTCAACTTGCAACTCTAAATTATCCATGTTCAGCGTCACAGCCTCACAGAAGTTTTGATTAGCAACCCAAATGATTTCATCCTAGAAGAAGCATTGCAGTCGCCAAAAGAGTTCTACTTACGAAGTTATCCTGCGTATCCTTCAAATAATTGCTTACAATTATTTTCTTTAATTTAGTTGCCAATATTAGGTCTTGTTTAGACGGTTTAATGATTGAATATTCATTTAAGGGCCCGCTTTCTCAAATTCTGACTCCGATAAAGAGAAAACTGGTCTTAATCGTGTATAGCGCAGTATTACATATTTGTCCGTCCAAGTTTGTCATTGCGATTTCGCGCTTTTAACAATGTAGAAAGCTTTAAAACAAAATATGCGATATTAGGGTTAATATAAAGCATCGACAGTGTACAATACTACCTAATTGGGTTCCAGCTTGAAAATAATGGATTTACTTTTTTAGAACAGAACACTTTGCACAGCTTTCATTTGTGTTTCGCTCTGGTAATTAGTGTATATAATAAATCAAATATTTTCTAGCCTGCACAGTTACTTTTCAGCACTTTGTAAGTCGCGTATGTACATACACCTCTTACTATTTTAAGCAGATAGTTAAACGAAATAGATTAAATTGGTAAATAATCTTATCTCATTTACCAACGCGTTTATTTCAGGTCCCGTTCACCACGTCGCTCTCGATCGCCCCGCAGCCGCAGCTTCTCTCGTGATCGTCGAAGTCGTTCGGATTCTCGCGACCGCCACTAAGATATTTACAAAAGGATAACATTTAAGCAGTGTCGCAATCAAACAAGAAAGCTGGCCAAGGCCGACTTTTTGTTAGGTATGCCTATGTTGATTGCGATGTAAGTAGATTTTCTTCAGATGACAATATAAATCTTTCGATGCATTCTTAAAATTCCTTTTTTTAAAAACAAAAACAATAAAGACGCACAATCAGCGAGATTTGATTGGTTTCATATATCATCAAAATGAGTTTGTCTCCAGCAAAAGGGGATGTGCTTAATGCACTGTTTATTATGTGAGAATTGACGTGCTACTGTAAAACTTTTCTTAGAAGTATGTTCGGGTAATAATTTAAACAGGCGCACGAGTGTAAAGATATTATGTATACTAACAAAGGTACACTTTAAACTTAGGAGAAGACGCAACACAAATTCGTTGCACATTTCGCACTGGAATAAACCTTACGTCTAGTCATTGTTTATATCCTCGCTGCAGGACTCTGAGCCCTAGTACAAACTGGCAGATCGGATTAGTTATGGCGGCCCCTAGCGCATGCGGTATGTATTCGACTCCTGAATCTCGGACAGTTCACCCTTGAAGTTTATGTCGATGACAAAGTCCAGGTCGCGGTTGTTCCGCTCGTTGGGCTTCATCTGGAACGTGCCGGTAATCTCCTCGTTCTTCTTTGCTGTCATGTGATCATCTAGGTAGAAGACGGTCTGTTTCCAGTGCGTATATGTGGAGTCGGGAGACGTGCTGAACCCAAGACGTTTGTGGCACTTGGTGAACTCTATGTTAAAGTAGGTGACTAACGCCTGCACAAAGTCGTTTCGTTTGATGCACAGGCTGAACTTGGACGAGAAGTTGAGATCCGCCTTCTGCACTGTGTAAAGGTCAACCTCTTTGACCATGCAGGATGTAGACACCACCTGTTTGGGGTCGACCACGTCGACGAGCGGTTCTGTCACAGCCACCTTGCGAATGCAGCTCATGTCGAAGCCGTATACATCGTCCCACCAGTTGATCTTCTCATCCTTGTACTGTCGGTCCTCTATAGCCGTGATGTACAACGTACCTCGGTCCGGGAACATCATACCATCCTTCTTCAGCCACTTGTCGCGAGCGTACAACACTGTATCCAGCATAGACTCGTAGAAGAGGCAGTAACTATAAGAAGAAAAGTAAAATAATAAAAAAAACGTTAGACTTCGACGATCAAAACTTCAAAGAATCATTAACTATGTAAAAGACATTACCTCTACTGATTTTAAATGTTTGAAAACAGTAAAAAAAAAAAAACATGCTACCCCATGGGATTTCATTGTCATCCCTTTTAAAATAATAAAGCCTTTCGTAGGGTGATGCATTTCTATAGTCTCTTCACAAAAAAGATCCCTCTTACTTACCCCATCCACTCGGAAATTATGATGTCCACGCCTTCAATACCATTTGGAAGCTCAATCTCCTCAATCTTGCCCTTAACAACCTTTATCACATCCTGCAGATTGTTGTCAATGACCACTTGGCGGGCAAACTCGATGATGTTGGAGCAGTCGACAGCGATTACCGTAGCAGCACCGGCTTTTGCAGCGAACATTGACAGTATGCCTGTACCGCAACCCACGTCCAGGACGGTCTGCAAAAATGAGATTCCCCAATGAGGTGGGCTACAAAACGAGGGAAACCCCAGAAGTAAATCTAACCTTGCCCTGGAACAGATGCTTGTTGTGGTACATAGCGTTGCGGTATGTGACAGTGCGCACTTCGTCCTTGAGCATCTCCTCGTGGATCCCGAAATGGGCGTAGGAGTCAAAGTAATAATCGCGGGACGTCATCTCGTCGGCATTGGCATTGGGATTATCTCCGGTAGACCCCTCCGCGGGCAACTTCTTCGCCACATTGTTTGAGTTCGCATTTGAATTGGGCGTGATGCCGGTCGCCGATTCCACAGCTGCCTCCATCGGGATGTCTGTGCTGGCCTGCGGAAACGATCCGTCAGTGATCGAGCCCTCGATTAGCGGCAAAATTTGGGTAAAACTTACCATTTTATAATTTTTTCGGCGTCTCTTTGGTTTTTCACGTCGAAAAAATAGCGACTAAATGATGGGACTATTTCTACAGCACGCTAGTTTAAAAAGTCGCTTTGCAATACTGCTCTCTAGAGTTGAAGCAAATATCGATGTTAATTCGATATTATCGGCAGGTTGTGATTTTCAAAATTCAGAAAGTTTTAGATAAGGTAGTTAAGCGTGCAGCAGCAGTGAATAGTTTTAAAAATAAATAAAAAAAATTAGACAAATTTTGATCCTATTTCAACGATTGCTGCAACATTTCGCTGTACATCATAGGGAAAACATCGATAAATTCTAAAGAAAATCGATATACGCATAATTTTTGACCCACCTCTAGCTACCGCTTTCCCGGCAATTTTGGCGGCAAAATATTCGCACATCGCATTTATAAAACAGATTGAATAAAGGAGCGAGGCAGAAAGTCGCGTTTATTTACGAAAATATCTTGTGTTTATTGTTATCATTATTCAAAATGGAAGGCTTTGATGATGCGGGCGTGTTCTTTTCGGATAATTTCGGTGGAGAAAACCAGCAAGATGCACAAATCAATTTGCAGGCGGTGAAGAAGAAGTACAAGGAGTTCATCCGCACCTTCAACGAGGAGAACTTTTTCTACAAATACCGGTGAGTAGATTGCAATTCCGCATCCGAACTCTGATAAAGGTGATCTTCTTGCAGAGATACTCTGAAGAGGAATTACCTCAATGGACGCTACTTCTTGGAGATCGAGATGGAGGACCTTGTGGGTTTCGATGAGGCTCTGGCAGACAAGCTGAATAAACAACCCACAGAGCATTTGCAAATATTTGAGGAGGCCGCCCGGGAGGTGGCCGACGAGATTACGGCTCCCAGGCCGGAGCACGAAGAGCAGATGCACGACATCCAGATCCTGCTCAGTTCCAATGCTAATCCCACTAACATCCGCCAGTTGAAGTCTGACTGCGTCTCAAAGCTGGTCAAGATTGCCGGAATTATTGTCGCAGCCTCAGGAATCAGTGCCAAAGCCACAAGAATGTCCATCATGTGCCAGTCCTGTAGCACGGTCATTCCGAATCTGAAAGTAAATCCAGGTCTGGAGGGCTATTCCCTGCCTAGAAAGTGCAACACGGAGCAGGCTGGCAGGCCCAAGTGTCCGCTGGATCCATTCTTTATAATGCCCGATAAGTGCAAGTGCGTCGATTTTCAGACTCTAAAGCTACAGGAACTTCCCGACTTTGTGCCTCAGGGTGAGATTCCTCGCCACTTGCAACTCTTCTGCGATCGTTCCCTTTGCGAACGTGTGGTACCCGGTAATCGTGTACTTATCCAGGGCATTTACTCCATACGCAAGGTCGGCAAACCATCTCGCCAGGATGGTCGCGAAAAGGCTGTCGTTGGAGTCCGTGCTCCGTACATGAGGGTGGTAGGCATCACTGTCGATTCTGAGGGTGCGGGAGCGATCTCACGTTACAGCAACATCACCACTGATGAAGAGGAGCACTTCCGCCGCTTAGCTGCCTCCGGAGACATTTATGATCGTCTCTCCCAATCCCTGGCACCCAGCATTTTTGGTTCGCGAGACATCAAGAAAGCCATAACCTGCATGCTCTTTGGCGGATCCCGTAAACGTTTACCAGACGGTTTGTGCCGTCGTGGAGATATTAACGTATTGCTGTTAGGCGACCCTGGTACGGCCAAATCGCAGCTGCTGAAGTTCGTGGAGAAGGTGGCTCCCATCGCTGTCTATACTTCGGGCAAAGGATCCAGTGCGGCTGGTCTAACGGCTTCGGTTATGAAGGATCCCTCAACGGTAAAAAGTGCTTATGTTTTATCTCTCATATATCTTACTAACTAAATAATTATTTCCTAGCGCAACTTTGTCATGGAGGGTGGTGCTATGGTCCTGGCCGATGGCGGTGTGGTCTGTATTGATGAGTTCGATAAAATGCGAGAGGATGATCGTGTGGCTATTCATGAGGCCATGGAACAGCAGACCATATCCATTGCAAAGGCCGGAATCACGACCACTTTGAATTCACGCTGTTCCGTTTTGGCGGCTGCCAACTCCATTTTCGGCAGATGGGACGATACTAAGGGCGAGGAGAACATCGACTTCATGCCTACAATTCTTTCTCGTTTCGATATGATATTTATTGTCAAGGATATTCACGATGAGTCTCGGGACATAACGCTTGCCAAGCACATCATTAACGTACATCTCAGTTCAAACAAGTCGGCGCCTTCGGAGCCGGCGGAAGGTGAGATATCGCTGTCAACGTTTAAGAAGTACATTCACTACTGCCGCACCCATTGCGGCCCACGACTGAGCGAGGCTGCCGGCGAGAAGCTAAAAAGTCGATATGTTCTTATGCGCAGTGGAGCAGGTCAGCAGGAGAAGGCCTCTGACAAGCGACTGAGCATTCCCATCACTGTGCGTCAGCTGGAAGCTGTTATTCGAATCTCCGAATCGCTGGCAAAGATTCGCCTGCAGCCATTCGCCTCCGATGAGCACGTGAACGAGGCTCTCCGTCTCTTCCAAGTATCGACACTCGATGCTGCCATGACCGGTAGCTTGGCCGGCGCCGAGGGATTCACTACCGAAGAAGATCAGGAGACACTGAACCGCATCGAAAAGCAATTGAAGCGCCGCTTCGCTATTGGATCTCAAGTCTCAGAGCAGAATATTTTGCAGGTAGTTATTGAAGTGCAAAGCTTTATAATAAATAAGTCTAATTATCTAACTTTATATGTTTGTTTCAGGACTTTTTACGTCAGAAGTATGAGGAACGTACCGTGATGAAAGTTATTCATACGATGATTCGTCGCGGTGAGCTTCAGCACAGAATGCAACGGAAGATGCTCTACCGTATTTGCTAATCACTGTTATTTACATCATTATTCACCCATCGTTGAATGTTTCATGAATCGTACGTCATATATATTGTATTTTCATTTATATCTTTAAGAAAACTATACATTCTTTCTACTTATGAGACAAATAAAATAATTTAAATCTTGAATATTTTTCTCTTGACGTTTAAATTTGTTTAGAATTATCCTCCAGAATTTTGTTTGAAATTTTCTAACGATAGTGGAAACCCCTAGGTATTTCTAGTTCATAATTCAGACAGACCGGCAAACTAATCGTTACATAAATATCCATGATTGTTGTTTACATTTACGAAATGAGATTTTCAGCAAGATCTCAATTTTGTTTGTTGATGATGCTTGAACAGAGGCACAGAGACCCTTTGGTCGGCCTCCAAATTTCCGCACAAACCGACAATTTCGCTCTACATTCTGCTGTGTTTGCCTACGTCATTCGGACAAATCACAAAAACCAATCATATTACCCTGGCTGTTTGCCAATTTTTTAAAAATATTTTTTCCTCTGTTTGAGAACGTTTATTACTTCCTTTTATACAAAAACCCAATTAGTATATTTGCGCGTGCACATATACTTACAAACATAATCGAAAGCTGAAATATACTCAATATGTGCACGAATTTTCAAGAATACGTAAGCGCGTTACGTATACTTCTGGCCATTTAAATACAATGGCGAATATAAGCATTTCGAATTTATGAATTTCCGGAAGGAAATCTTTACAATCTTGTTTACCACAACATTATATATCTGCAAAATGACTGTATTATTTTGAGAGACGTAACAATAATATTTATTTCAAATAAATTTTTGCCTAATGACGCCACTTTGCTGCGTTTTAGGTTCCGAATGACGTCAAGGTGCTTTAGAATTTATAAAGCGAAAAAATTGAAACATGCTGCTCAACAATCTAAATGTTTTCTAAAAATTCCAAAATATCATAGACTGAATAATATTGATGGAAAACAGCCAGCAGAGCTATACAAATAAATATAATTTATTTTGTGACGAAAATTTCCATTTGAGTCTAGTAGCGAATTAAACACATAGTATAAATGTGAGATGCCTGGCTCGATTTAATAATATTGTGGTACTTTGAACTTTGTAGCGAACCCAGGGTCAAGATAATTCAAACATCAAACGATATGAGTTTAATTGAAATTCATATTTCGATATTGATGCACATGTGTGTTCATATTTTTCAATTACCTCTGCCTCTGTGTCTGTTCATCATCGTTTCCATTAACAAAGCGATGCACCCGATGCTCTTTTCATTCCACACGAATATATATGTAGTATATATACATCTATGGAACTGTGTGTATCTATAAGTTCGCTTTTCACCTAAACCAATTTACTTTATTTGTTTTTCCGCCACCCGCTACGTAGACCAAGCTAATGTAAACAATTTTCCAAAAACAGTGATTACTGCGTGATGATTTGTTTTTCAACACGACCCGAGCACGAATCGAATATATTGAAATATTAAACGATAGATCAGCAAAATTACGCAACCGATCACCATTATTATTTGTCTGTTAATTGGGTTGCACATAATTGGGAACGTTGAGGAAATTAGATAATTGTTTCCAACGCGCCTGTATATATTTTGTAGAAACAAAAATTCTTGAACGTCATCAGCATCCGTGGATTCCTTTCCCAGTCTCGCGGGAGAGAAATGGATGGCAGTCGGTCCGCCAGAGGTATAGATACAAAAGGCCCATGTAAGATACGTGGAGGGAGGTGGGAGAGACCAAAATCGCTGAGTGGGGCCTTTGTTTTGTGAATGAAAATGAAAATGAAAATTCTCGCCGTACATATGCCAAGCAAGCGTCTGCAGTACGTCAGTACAATTTTAGATCTCGAGCGAGCAAGTTCGTCCGGAATAAACAGAGGTACATCCAATGAAAGCCGTCATTTTTGGGCATTAACGCGGACTCCAGATTGCCCCAGGAAAACCACATTTTTTGTCGCAGTGCATCAGAGGATCATGTACATTTACCCGAGCTCCCCGGAATCAGCATCGTCCTTGCAGTCCGAAGAGAGTGCGGCCATCAAGATCCAGGCAGGATTTCGTGGCTATAGAGTTCGCAAAGAAATCCATCGATCCAGCAAATCAGCAAATCCTCGCCTATCCAATCCGCATACCCGGAGAAATCAACGCCAGCGTCCAAAAAACAACGCCCTCATGGAAAACCAGGAAAATACGGGAAATTCCCGACCCAATATCGATGAACAGAAGGTGACTTCCGAAAATGGAGGAAAATCTGTGGAGGATCGTTCGGCCACCAAGATCCAGGCAGGATTCCGTGGTTTCCTGGTGCGAAAGAAGCAGAAAATTGCCACCGATGCGGCCGTTAAAATTCAGGCTGGCTTCCGGGGATTCAAAACACGCAAAGAATTGAAACAATGCGAGCCCATTGTGTAATAATTTTTAGGGCGTTGTTCTACAATTCGAATTTCTACTGTACATACAAATATGTGTATTCAAAACCTACCATTTAGTTCAATACGTGTCGTGTAAATAGTTTAATATTAACTGATAGCTTCCAGAAGAATAAAATACTCTTACTCAAGAAACCGGAATCTTGAAAGACAACCATTATCCATTAACGATATCAATTTGTTTGTGTTTTCCGTAGGCCTATTTTTGGTTTACAGTGCTGTATGTATACGCTATAAAATACAGTGAATAAACATTTTATTTAATCGAACATAAAAGCCTGATATACACAGGACGGGAATTTTCCGAATCGGAAAAATTCAAATGATAGTTGTAAAGATTGTCTCTAATATAAAACCAACTCAATAGCTGGTTGGTATTCATTCAATTTAGTACAATGACCCATGATGCACGCCCATCCCATAAATCTGTCAAATCCGTTTAATGTTTATAACAAAGGTGGCAGCCATCCGCTCATCCACAGTCCGTTTAAATTAAATACATTTAATTTGAGGAAAATATATGTTATGATTTACTCCCGGAAGCCTTTCCGCTTCTTTGATAACAAAAACATTTTCGATTATATATATTTTATTTAGATATAGTTCAGCGTGGATACCTATTATATAGATTTTTTATTTCCTTTTGTTCCCCTCGGCGCTTTTTATACGTTTTCGCATATGTTTGGGAATTACTCTGAAAACTTCGCAATCAATTTGTACGGGCATTGAATTCTGACGCATTTTCAGCCACCTTAATTCCATGTCAGCTTTTGACTTTGTCTCACCTGGAAATAAATTACATTTTGCCTTTTAATAATAAGTTGGTGTTGTGATTAAACTGAAAATAAACTAAAAATATTTTTGAGAAATTCAAAGAACCTTTTAAGTTACAGAAAACAGATCAGTTAATGTTTTGGCTTTCAAAAGAATCTTAAATGATTTATGTATGCGATGGGTTATAGTGGCTAAAAGTTGGTTGCTATGTCATTCCCTTCCATTTCCGGGTCGAAATATATTATAGCATATTTTTAGATACCTTCCGAAGTCATATAGACTTATGCTAAACCAAGTAACCTGTATAAACTCACTTACCAACAGTTTTGCTTCTCTGAGTCCTTGAAATCTTTTGGGATTGTCCTCCACTGGTGCTCACACTATTCTCTTCATCAGGGGTAGAATCATTACGAAGCGCATCTCCACGCTGCAATTTTTGACGCCTAGCGGCCAGATTGCTCTCCAAGCTGATGCCCTCCAACTTCCGGGGGTGACCCTTGCGCTTTCGGGTGTGCGTCCGATATGCAGCCTGAATCTTTTTAGCAGCTTCCTCCTCAATGAATCGTTCCAAGGATTCGCTGATGGCATCGTTTCCAAACGAAGCCTTAGTGTCCAAAGTTGATGACTTGGTTCCGGCACTAGCCCGTCGCAATCTTCGCCTGGTAAGGAAACCACGAGCTCCAGCCTGGATCTTTGTGGCCGCCGAAACAATGGTGGACTCGGTTTCAGTGGATGTTCCCATATCATCCGCCATGGCGGTATCTATGTCAAAGTCTTTGCTGCTTTTTTTGGGATCAAAGTAATCGGAATCCGTTTCGGACAAGGAGTAAGCCATCATCTTCTTGCGAATATTCTCCGAGGTCTCATCGTCCAAACAGAAACTCATGGCGCTATTAATGGCCATACCATCTTCACCTTCATCTATGGTCACAGATCTGAAGAGTCCTCGGGGATCATCGCCAGCGATAGTGTAATGCCTCATCAAATGCACCCTTCCGGATTCTTCTTCATTGAGCAAGTCCTTGACTTGGATATTTTCCGCCTCACCGAAAACCACGGAGTCACTCTGAGCAGAGCTCTCCCTGGTCTCCTCCCTCTGCAGACGGTTGTATACGATAATATCTCCATCTTCGATGTCAATGCTGGATTGCTCCTGCAAAGAACTCATAGGTCGGACTACGGGTTCATCAAAACTGGGATCTGCCGAGGAGAGCCTCTCCTGGGACTTGGAGTCTCGCAGTTGGGACATCTTTTCAATAACTTCCTCTGGTTTGGACAACTTAACAGTTGCCTTCTCTATTGTATCTGTGGAGAGCGTGTCTAAACCCATGGTTTCCGATATGGAGGAGTCCGTATTCTCAGCTTTTTGGCCAGCCACTTCTGGTTCTGATTCTCCCTCGGAAAGATTTGTCAGTGAAGCGCATTTTTTTATACAAGGTTCCTCTATAACTTCTTTAAGATGGCTAGCAATTGGATATGGGCCTTGTTTCGATGAGTACTCGATCTCATTCTCCAGGAAACTATTAACCAACTCTTGAGTTGAAGCAATATCCAGAGCTGTATAAGATATAAAGATATTATACGAATTTAAAGATTGTTATACCAAACTTACACTGTACGATGCCACCAAAATCGGATTGTGACAACAGTAGTGGATCCTCCACTGATCCAGTCCCAGCCTCAGATGCCTCTGTTAAACCTGCTAAACCAGAAGAGACTGCATTATCCTTTTCAGATGAACCCTCATCGATTTTGGAATCAGGATTTAATTTAGATTCAAGCGAGCCATGCGATCTATCTACTATTTCAACTGATTCTACTTGCGTGCTGGTTTTACTTGTGATTACATCTGGATCCGGATCGGTTGCTACCCCAAGAGGTCCTCCAACGACTCCCTGGCTTGGTATTATGCGAGTTGACCCCACAAACCATTCGGATTTGGGTTGGATCTTTGAAGCATCTTCACTGGGTTCTTCTTGAACCAAACTTTCTGATGGTGTGGTTGCAGTTGGGTAACTTGAATTTTCTATGGCTGTTATCTGTGAGCTGGTAATAGAGTCAAAGGAGCTCATATCAAAGTTTTGTAGCTTTTTTCTTTCCATATATTGTCGAAAAGCTCTTTGTATTATAAGAGCTGCACTGGATTTCCCCACATGTTCATCTTTTATTGGATCATTGGCTTTAGACTGAGGATCATCTGTCTGTAATTCATATTTTGTTTCGCGCTTTTCATGATTTATAGATGAACTGGATTCCACAGATTTAGGTTGCTCTTGGAATTCTTTTTTCTGTAATTCGCTTAAACTTTCCTTATTATAGGATCCTTTCGAATGATTCTTTATTTCTAATGGTTCTGCAGACTGTAATTTAGTAAGAGATTTTTGTTCATCGGAATTTGAATTAGCGGTGTGTACTTCTTGAAAATCATCTTCAGACTGTAACTTAGCTAGAGGTTTAGGTTCGTCAGAAATTGAACTTAAACTGACACTCTCTAGTTCTTGAAATTTATCTGACTTTTCAGATTGTAATTTAGTAAGAGGTTTTGATTCATCAAAACTTGAAGTTGGGCTAACTTTCGAGAGATTCTTTATGTCTTGAGACTCTTCCGACTCTAATTCTTTGATCCTTTTCGGTTCGTTACTTAAATTTGTCAAATAAATTGGTGTGGAAATGTTTTCCTCTACCTGTACTAAATCTTGAAGCTTATCAGTTTTCAATTCTTTGGTAGTTTTTAGGTTGTCAACTGGTTCTGGAGAATGAAATGGCATTGAACTAGATATTAAAGGTTGCTTAACTTCCTGTATCTCTTCAGATTTTAATTCATCAATCACTTTTGGTTCTTTAGATACCTTTGCCAGATTAACTACGCTTAAATTAGCTTCCTCCTGATTACCATCATCTTGTATTTTTGGATCTTGGGGCTTTACAGAATCTATCTCTTCTGGCTTTTCCATTAATTTAAGATACCTTCTGTAAGCTCTTTGAATTTTTGTAGCCGCTTTATTTTGAGCAAGTTTTGAGTCATCTGAGGTCTGAGTTTTAATGGGTTCGATTATTTTTCTTTGGGAAAACAGCCTAAATGCCTTTTGGATAATGAGTGCAGCGTTTTCTTGTCTTCGAATAAGTTTTTCATCGGCAATCTTTTGTTCTTCCGTTTTCATGAGATATCTTCGATATGCTCTTTGAATTTTCTGTGCAGCAAGATTTTCTTTAGATTTTCGGGAATCATCAGGGGAAACTTTAATAGCCTTTTTCTTTAGGTTGCTCCGAAGCCACTTTTGAATTATTTTTGCAGCTCTGTTTTGTTTTTCAAATTCAGATTCGCTTTCAGGTTCACTCTTTAAAGATTGCTTATCCTTGAAGCGCTTGTAAGCTCTTTCTATGATCTGAACAGATCTTAAAATATTTAAAATATCTGTTTTGTACAAAGATTCGTAATGCTCAGAGTTACTTTTTGGCTTTCCAAGATTATATTCAACATGGTTAATATTTCTACTTGATAGCTCTTTCTGAGCAGGCTCCAAGTCCGTGCTTTGATTAACATTTTCCGTGGGTTGGTCATTTTCATTATCTAGTTCCAAAATGGTTTGCAGTTTGGATCCTCCTGTCTGCGTGTACTCGGGATCGCCCTCTGATACTTCTATAACCTCGATTTCCTCTTCATTGGAATCAATATCAGATTCAGGGGAAATAGCTTCATTGGTTTTTACTTCTCTATTATCTGTTTTAGATTGAAACTTTTTTGGTATTTTGTACTTGGGTTTGCCATCATCCGCATTGAATGAAACGAAGAATGAAACTGAGTTCTTGGCCTTTGGCTCTACGTTTTCTACGATTTCTTTGGGTGTATAATAACTTGGAACTCTTTGTGCGGGAATGATAGGTTCTTCTACAACCGAAGATGTTACTTGGCTTGTATTTGGTTTTTTAGTTTGAACTGGGGGTTGAGTGGTTTCTACTTCTGTATCAGTGGATCCCTTGGGTTCCACATATATATCATACCAGGCGCCATCGTCGTTGGGATTTTTGAATGACTTGAGCTGCAACTCAGCTATGGGTGTGGGCACAAGTCGCCCCGATGTTAAGGTGCCAATATCTTTATCTTTTACACTAGAGTTAGATAACTTCTTGGTGTTCTTTTCAATCTCAATATGGTTAGTAGGTAAATTTTGGGTGCCAATTAATTGATTAGATACAAGCAATGAAGAGTTTTTCTGCTAATTTAAAAACAAATTTAACAAGTTTTTCGTTTATGATTTCTTACCAGTAATTACATCGGGATTTAAGGGAACAAGGGAGTTGATTATGTTATTTAGTTCTTCAGCTGTGTAAGAGAGAATTTGATTTGGTTTAGGAAAAGCACTTTTACTTTCAACTCACTCTTTTTATCCTCAATAATTGCAGCCGTGTTTCCCATAGCTGTGGAGTCATCTTTATGTTCCTTTAGGTCAGCAGTTTCATCAGTTTTCGTTGATAAACCATCCCCTTCAAGCTGAGTGGGTATGGGTCCTTCATCTGTCATGACCTTCTCTAAAGCAGTTTCTGAGCCTAATAACACATACCCTTTAAGATATAAACCAAATCTAACTGAGGTTGATCTACTTACTTGGATGTTCCACGTTTCCTTCGCTGATGCTCTCATTACTCCTATTGATTATGGTTTCTGATCCATCTACTTTAAATTAGAAAAAATTAGTTTATTTTATAAATTAAATCAATATGTATAACTTGAAATTACTCTCTTCTTCATCTGCAACATTGGGTGGTTCTTCAGTTATCTTCTCAGAAGTTACTTTACTTTGTATCTCTTCCAAATCTTGGGACTTGGGCTTGTCCTGTAACTCTCCATTTACAGTTTCGAACTTATTTTTACCAGATAATCCCACTTCAATAATAATGTTACATTTTAAAATTAACTTTACCAAAACAATTTATATACTTACTAACTGCAATGGCAGTGTCGCCCATAGACATTGCAGGACCGAGCTCTTCTTCGCTGTTGGTGACTCTTTCCAATGAAGCTTTTGAAGGTACACTTTCCAGGGAATCTGAAAATACTTTTTCTGATAAATTTATAAGATTAGTTGGTTACTAATTTATAAATACAATACTATTATTAAATATTATTATACCTTCTGAATTCTTAGTCGAATGAATATCTAATTCCGTAGTTTCATCAATCAATTTACTCTCTTCAGGTAAACTTTCTTTGTTCACTTCTTCAGCTTCGACTTGGAAACTTTCTGATTCCGTAGATGACTTAACTTTTATTTCATCAGATTCACCTTCTAACTTACTTTTGTCAACTTGCAAAGGTTCAAATTCTATTGGTTTTGCTTCTTTATCTGATTTTTCAGAATCAGTTCGGGATGTTTTTGATTCCATAGTTGACTTCATTTCTTCTGCAGATTTATCATCCTCAATTTGCATAGACTCGGCTTCTGCTAGTTTAGTTTCTTTGTCCAATTGTTGAGGTTCATCTGCCCCAGCTGATTCCGTAGATTTCAATCTATTAAATTCACTATCCAACTCACTCTTGTCTACTTTCATAGATTCGGATTCTATTGGTTTTGATTCTCTATCTGATTGTTCAGATTCAGTTCGGGAAGTTTTTGATTCCATAGTTGACTTTATATCTTCCGCAGATTCACCATCTACTTTACTATCCTGAACTTGAATAGATTCAGATTGAGTTGGCAGAGTTTCGTTTTCCAATTGTTCAGCTTCAGCTGGGAAACTTTCTGTTTTCGTGGTCGACTCTACATCTACTTCCGTAGATTCATCACCCAGCTTTTTAAACTCGTCTTGCATAGAATCGGAGTTGATTGGTAAGGCTTCTGGATTGGATTGTTGGTCTTTAACTGGTGAGCTTTCCGATTCGCCGGGTAATATTTTATCACCGAATTCCGCAGATTCTTCATCTATTTTCAGATTTTCCTTTTGCTTCAATTCGATAGATAGAACTTTCTTTTCCGATTCTTGTTCATCAGATTTTAAGCTTTCTGATTTTTTAATTAATGTTTTACCTATATTTTATAAGGCTTTGTTAATTACATATTTTTTAAGTTTGAGTGCATACTATTTACCTTCTATGACAGAGTTTTCTGTAATGGTTTTTGTATTCTGTTGGAGTTCACTAGGTTTGGGTATTATATCTTCTCTAACTTCGGTTTGGTTCTCAGGTCCTTCTGAATTGAGAAAATATTATTAGAAATTAGTTATATTTTTAAATGTTTTTTCATTATGTTTTCATATTTTCTGCTCACCTGTTATTTCTGCTGGATTTTTAAAGCTGGAAACATTATCTTCGATTTTTAATTCAGTATTTTCTGTGAGGACATCAAAATTATGAAAATCAGGATTGGAACTCTTTGAATTTTGTTTTTCTTTGCCGTCTTCAGCGGGAGAAGATTCCTCAGTTTCTAAACTTTCTTGTCCAATTAGAATCGTTTCTTGTTGTGATAGTTCTGTGATATCATTTTGTAAAATTTCTGTTTCTTTCAGCAAATCATCTGATGGAAGTTTTTCTAAATTTTTTTAATTTGTAAGGAAAAATATTAAACATTTAGGCACTAATTTTTAAGAACTAAAACTTACTATCATCATTGCTCTTCCCTTCCCTGATTTTTTCACTTTTCGATTCTAATTGATCAGTTTTTGGAGCACTTGAAAGTCCAGCAACCTCTTTATCTGCTTTTAATTCATCATTCGATGCCGTTTCTTTCTGAATCTCTGTTGAGGTTTCAACCTCTAAGCCTTCAACAGCTAAAAAATTTAAGTTTTATAAAACTTTTGTACAAATTTGTAATACTTACTTGACAATTCAGAAGCTTGTGCAGTAGCTGTAGTACTAGGCTCGAGAGATTCTTCTTCATTTAGCAAATTATCCTTTATAGGGTTAATGTTTTCTGAAGCAATTTGCTTACTTTCGGTTATCTGATCATCTGTAATAAAAGATTTAATTTTTAAATCATTGTTTTATATAATAGTAAGCCATTTCTATCTTACCAACTTCTGGAACGTTATCTAAAGTTCCTTCTATTGTAGTTTCTTGATTTGATTCATCGATTTCTTCTACAGTTTCAGTAATATCTGAAATTGTTTTATCTTCTGTTTTTGGTGGCGTTGTTGGTTTATCTTCCAATATAGGTATAGTTTCCAAAGAACCATCCAGGTTATGCCCATTGTAGGCCTTCATTTCACCCTGATTTCCAATCCCTATGTTTTCCTGGGTTTTCAAGTTGGTTTTTACGGGTTCTTCATCTTCTAAGCTTCTCTTTTCTCGAGTTTTCTCAAAGGACTTGTTTTCATCTTTGTCTAATGAGTTGCTTTTATTATTTTCAGCTTGACTAGGTGTGTCTGCAGATGTTTCCAAATTTTCATCTAAAAGTTCTAAAGGAGTTTCTAAAATAAATAAAATTAAATCAAAAGTTTTTGAAAAACAAATAAATTATGTAAAGTACCTTGCTCAAGAACTTCTTGATTTTGATTAAGTAAAACCTTTTTCAAGCTGTCATCTTCCGCGTGGGTAATATTTTGAGAGTCTTGCGATTTTGAGTCGTCATCAGTTAAGTTCTTATCTGCAAGCACTGCTAAAAAATGATTAATGATTCTACACTAAACTTAAAAATTAAATATTAAAAGTACTTACCTTTAGTGTCTTCTTGGGTTGATATGGATTCTTCGGGAATATCTTCGACATGCTCAATTTCAATAGAAACTGTAGGGGTAACTTCGTTTTCAATTGGAATTTCTTGAGATTCGCTTTTGGTTTCATTGGGTAATTTATCTTCATTATCTTTTTCATCAGCTTGTAAAATATCAGAAGAGGCATCAGCCTTTTTTGTATCATTTTCTGGTCCATCATCACTTTCTTTTTTCTCACCATGAAGTAAAGAACTTTCTACAAATTCACCATCCGCTTTTTTAACATTATCTTTGGTTAAGCTTTCAGTTTTAGTTTGATCCTTGGTTGTATCTTCTATATTTTCAGTATAGGGGTTATCTTTAAACTCGGCTAGGACTTCCGGTGCCGAATCTAAGCTGGCTTTATTGGATTTTAGTTTGTCTTCGTTTTCCAACTCAGTTTGTAGTTTGTCTTCGTTTTCCAACTCCGTTTCTTCGCTACCATTTGTATCTTTAAGTTCGACTTGAGGTATTGATTCTAGATCTAGACTTGATTTAATTTCTTTTATGATTTCAGGTTCTTGAGCTTGATTTGGGTCATTATAATCTTCCATATCAACAGACTGCAAAGCATTCACTTCCAAATCCTTTGATTCATTTTGTAAGTCCTTCAAATCTGGCTTGTGAATCATACTTTCGATTAAGGCGCCGCTAAGAATTTCTGAAAAATATAAAATAAAAACCAAGTTACTAGAATTTCGATTAATCATACGATATTCGCCTAGTTAATTACCGCTTTTCCTTAGCTGAATCGATTTTTCTTGGCCCTTAATGGGTTCCGCGAAATACTCCTTCTCAAGGCCGGCATCAACGTTATTGTTCTCCACTTCCTCGTCTTCGTGAATTATTTTCTGATGGACACGTTCCTCGTAATTGGCCATTCCCAGTTCAGTAGATTCCGTTGAAAGGAGTGCAGTGGAAACGGATGTGTAGGATCCAGTTTCTGAAGCATTGTCATTGAGTTCCTCGGCATGATCTGTGGCTGAAGAAATAGTTCTCTTGGCTCTATAACGTGCCACCATTCTTCTGAAGGCTCTTTGGATTATGATGGCGGCTGTTGCTAAGGATACTGTGCCGTTTTTCAATCGATTTTGCTCCTGCTTCTTTTTCAAATATATGCGATAATGTCGCTGAATGACGACAACCGCTTTCATATAGTCAGCAGTGTTAAATTTATTATTCTTGCTCCGGACGTCACGTGAATTTTTAAGTTTTTCAACTCGCTTCTTTGCCAAGATACGACGAACTTGTCGTTGAATCAGGAGTATAGATGTCATGTATTCCACACTATTGCATTTATCCTTATCAAGAGCAAGTTTTCGCTCTTTGAGATATCTTCGAAAATGTCTTTGAATGATAACAACTGATTGCAAATAGGAAATTCGGCTGGAAAATTTCGGTTGGTCTGCCTCAGCTAGTTTGGTATCTGTATAAGCGGAAGTCGTATTCTCCACATCCTTTTTATTCGCACTTAGGATTCGCCCACACTCGCAGGTTACCTTCGATACAGGAGTTACGTTTTCTTTGCCCTTTAATGACTTTTCGTATGTCGAATATTTGGTGTACTCAATTCGTCCCGACTTTTCTTTGGATATCCTTTGAAAGTACTCCTGTGCGAAAATGTAGATATTCTCTGGTTTTTCTCTTAGAACTGCCTTGATAAATTGCTTAATGAGATCCGTAAGTGTTTCTGGAATTATATTGAACACCAGGGAAAGGGGAACCTGCTGACGTATGCGGTTCTTCATAATTGTTTCATACGTTTGCACCGGCTCGTATTTTCGCACCATTTTATTGGATTTTTCACCAACAATCATATTGAAAAAGTTGGCCGAAAAGCCATACAAATCAGCCGGCTTTTCACGTAACACTTCTTTGGTATAAACCTTCATTAGGTCCCGCAGACCCTCGGGAACTCTTGGTAAACTCGTGGTCGTCATTTTAGTATTTTAAACACCATGCATGGGAAAATGTTGAATCAATACTGACCAAGAAAGGTGTCCGAATGTGCCTGGAAACCTCGGCTCACTCGGAGTTGCCATGTCAACACCTTGGGTGCCAAAACATATCACCACCAGCTGACGTTGCCATAACTTGTTGCTTTCACAGATTTGTGGGAGTTATAGTAATAATTATGGGGTTTATTCTTGGGTTCCTATATATAGGCTACCAAAAGGTTAGGCTATATATATTTAGGGGTTATCCAGAGAATATTTACAAAGAAAAATAAATTATTTTTAATGCAGTTTACAAGATCTTTGGGTTGGCTTTTACCTTTTTTCAGTTGAGTGAAAAATCCATTTTACTCTACTGAAAGCTGTAAAAACTAGCCCAAAATCAACAATTTATTTTTTACAATTAATTAACATCCTCTGAAGATTCAACAATTCTGCAAATTATTGGAATATCTCCCTCATGTGCGATATTATTATTTTCGGAATATTTCAAAGTCTCGCGAATGAAATTGTTTTTGAATTTTTTCCAGTCACAAGTTTTGAGAAAGTGAGTGAACAGGGCTTCTCTAGATGGAATCATGCACTCCATATATAAGAGTCTTCTTTCCCAGATATTTCCAGGATTTTGTTTCTTTTCCAGCAGAAAGAATCTAGGAAGTGTAAGACACTGTACCGTGGTCCTGGCCATTATAACTCGGTGCTCCATTTTCTCGCCCAAGCCGAATATGGCTCCAAAAGTTAAGGTACCGACATCGATGAAACGGCTTTCGAAAGTAGGTATCTAAAATCAGAAATAAATATGTTATTTAATGAATAACATTGCAATTGAATATAAACTTTTGTAGTAGAAATATTTATCCAGGAACTTACGTAGGACTGATCACTGTCCGAGATTAAACTAGAGAGTGAGGATGAGAAAGGATCATCACCATCGTAAAAACCTCCCACATAACTGTTCAAAACTGGTGCAGCTCTGATCTGTGTGCTCAATTTGACCGAATCAGATGAACTTATTTCAATCTCATCATCATCATCATCTTGGCAAAGTTCCCAATAATCTTCATAAATATCTTCTTCGGTTACCTCCTGGGTGGTATGAGAAAACGGAGTTATCTCCGATTTACGAGTCGAACGACGCCAGGTAAAACGCTTTTTTGGCGGCTGTTCTGATTTCCGTAAGCCACATGACTTTTCTATATCCCTTAATTGCATTTTACGCATCTGTGATTGTTTAATTTATATTAAAATAATAACAAAAACAATAACCAATTGTGCCCGGTTGTAAACTATACTAAAAAATATATTTTTTAAATTCCTAAAATTCAATTTACCTTTCGACTTTTAATGGTATTATCACCATTTTCCTTAAAACTGCTACTCGAACTTTCTATCAATTCCAGAATATCTCTTTTCGAGGCGTTTTCAGACTTGGGTGGACTGGAAAATGTTGATCGGACTCCATGTTTAAACAATCTCGACACATCGCCTTCCGATGTTGTCAAAAGTTCATAAAACTTTTTTCCCTTTTTAAAAGTAGCCTAAAAAGAGTCTTAATTAGTTATTACAAATTACCAAAACTACATTCTGCTAACCCTCATATTTAGGCACTGGAGTATCAGACATTCTCCACTTAGCACAAAGTGGACATTGGTCATAGATCCTATATCTTCAGCGAATATGGTATCCAATGGCTCGAATTGCTTAAGCCTACCATATCGGCAGGCTTCCACGATCTGAAACATATTTAGAAAAGCGTAATGTTTAAAAAATGTTTCTAAGAAAAAGTAATTTTCAATAATGGGAACATTATTATATTTTTTTATATAAACATTTAAGTACTGCTGAGCATGGTTAGGGAAGTTGCAAGTTAAGGAAGATGAAATTCTGTTTTAAATTATGATCAGAAAATAGTTTCCTATGTTGACAGTTTGTGGATAACAAAGGGTATTATCCATATCTAACTAACTTTATTTAAGTATAATTTATATAAAAAAATAATGAATTAAGAAATTACATTGTTTAAAAGTAGGTCAAGCTTTTGTAGATTCAATTTGCTCAGTGTTCTGGGTGCTCAAGATGAAACGATCTAAAATTTTACTCACCTGTTCATTATCGAGAAAATCAAAGTAGTCCAGCGCCTTGAGGGCCCGCTTCTTCTCGTCCCAGGTCTTTGTCATGTAGGACCCAAGAACCGACTTAAAGTCATAGTCGAAGAGGACCAGCAGTTCGCAGTAAGCTGCAAAGTGAAGCGTTCAATAGTTACTGGTGAACTGTGCAAACTGGCGAAAATCGGGCACATGGATTCCATGGAGCAAGTAGTGCTGGTGCTGGTTTCTAGTGGCGTGCATCTGTTTTTTTTCGAAAGATTGCCAGCAGGGGCACGAGGAGTAACAGGCACAACAGCCAAAAAAATCAAACCAAAACGAATGGAAGCAAAAGGAAGGCGCGGGTGTTGTTTTGGGCCAACCTATATATTTCGACTGAATACTTTATACTGAATACTGAGGATTGGTGGGTAAATTCGTGACGAATGCGGGTTGGTGGGGGGTATTTTGTTATTCATTTTGATTGAATCGAATTAGGACTTAACGTTGTTTATTGCTGATTAAATTGGTGGGTACAGGCAATCGCAAATGAAGCAACAAAACCAAACAAATTCCCAATAAACACATTCGTACATATCGCGTGCCAGGGTCTATGTATTTCCCATTTATTCCGACATGAGCCGCAAATGTTGCAGTTTACCTAATTCATTTTCTTATCATCTTTAAGTGCGATCAAATTGCCAGAAGAACGGAATGTATTCTGGATTTATTTTTAGTTTTTTTTGTGTATGAATTGAAATAATATGGGTCTTAGCATGAACTGCTGGTCAAGCAACCTTATTATCACCCCAGATAGGCTTTCTTTGGAATTCAATTTAAAAAGAAATGCCTTATCAGCTTTCAAAATAAACAATTAAAACATATTAAGTGTTGGTATAAATCAGAAAATTACTCACTTGCTGCTTTGAATGTGTAACTTCGTTTGATTCCCTCCAATAACTCCACGTCGCCCATCATATCTCCAGGTCCAAGAATGCCTCTGAGTGCATCCTCGTCCTCCTTAAAATTAAAAAGAATATTTAAATCAGAAAGAGGTATTCTAAACATTTACCCTTTTGTTTTCCTCTCGAATCATATGCACTTCTCCTGTTAATATGAAAAATACGGTAATGGGATTATCCGATTGCCTGATTATATTCCGGCCAGCATCGACGGACATTAAACGGATTACTGGAACTAAGCGAGCTCGGATTTTCTGAAAGGATTCTGGTTATTACTGCTCAGCTTAATAACTAAATTTGCTTTACTGGAGAGAACCGGGAGAAGCAGGGGATCCTAGCAAACAGCGTACATAACTTCATTCTATCCGGAATTGTACGTATTATGTGAGGTATGCGAATCAACGATTTTTCCTGTGTTGAGAGAAAGCCCAACTTACGCCTTGCTCGGACTCGTGTTGATAGATTCCTTGTAACGTTGGAGGTGATCCTTGGGTCGTCATCGGTTTCCTTAAACGGATCATTAAGACTAACCATGCGGACAACCTTTTTGAACAATCCCTTGAGAGTCTGAATTCTCTTTGCCTCTGCGTTATTTTTTTGACGTCGATGCATTTCTGCAAAATATAAACAAAAAATATATAAAAAATGTATGGAACCGAACAAAAAAGTGTTTTATTTGAAAATTTTGAAATACTGTGTAATGGGTTCTACGACAAAATAAGGGCATGTTTAAACTTTTAGCAGGTTTTAGGACACTATAATAGTTTTATTTTTAAATTTAAGTAACATTAAGAATAGATACAATGTTCTTTCAGAAGATGTGAAAAGTGCTATATTAAAATTTTGAAGGTCTTTTAATATTTATTTTTGTATTTAAGAATATCGTTCTATCGTATAATGTCTGCACGTGTGGCAAAAACAGTCCGGAAAGGGCAAAATTCAACTTCAATCAAAATTTATTTTATTTTCGGACTAACATATAAATCAATCTTTCATTTGTCCAATATTTTTAAATATCTAAAAAAAACGTCCAAGAGCAAGGTCGCCATAGAACTGAGGTCAATTAAAATATATGGTTATATCTATGTGAGCAGCACAAAGAGCACGTGGAGAATGTGCTCCATAAGATTAAATATATACAAAGTGAATACTGACAATTGGAAGATTAGAATAATGTTTTAAAAAAGCAAACATATTTATTATATACTCAAACGGTTTTAAATAACCGTTATCAATTTCCCAAACCCTTCGCCAGAGATGTCAAATTCAAGCCACCGCCACAAAAGGGAAATTTTCAAACAGCTGGTCTGTTGTCGTCTCTATTTGAACGGCAAAAGGGGAATTTTCCGTTAGTTGCTGTATAGCTCGTGATAAAAAGTTTATTTTAAATTTATCGCTTGTATTAGCGTTTTGAAATTCTAGACTTAAAATGACTTCCAGCACGGAGGAGAATGCTTCTAAACAAAGGAAACGAAAATGCAAAGTGAGTTGGCTATAAATATTTGTTCTTTCACTGCCAACCGGAAAATGTATTTTTTCTTAAGCTGGCCAAATCGAAAGAGCCCGAGAAGCGATTAATTGGTATTGGATTACTGCCGGTTATGATATTTCTGGCCTCCACAGTTACCGTAGCAGTAATGGTGAACCTACAACCACATACCAGCAAAATTTTCCCTTGGAAATCAACAGTTTCTTCACAATATTCCCAGCAGCCACCGCCCACATATGCGATCTACAATCGGGGTTCCAAAGAGGATCATTTGGTGCACGTGATAAATGTTCTGCACAAGTTTGGTTACCAAAGAGTGGACCTTAATGGGAGTTGGAACCTTTTGTGGGCCCACCATTATCCGTTTTCGACCATTGAAAATCTCAAGAATCTTGGCAAGAATCAGGTGGTAAACCATTTCCCAGGCTGCGGTTATCTCACCAACAAGGTGGACCTGTGCACTACTAGGCTTCCCTTTCTGCCACGTGCTTTTCGACTACCAGAACAGCGGGAAGAGTTTCTAGACTACGCCAGGGATAATCCCCAGGCACACTTCGTCCAGAAACACAATCAGCATAGGCATATTAAGGTGCGAGCACCCGCTGAAATAGCTTTTGGATCCAATGATTCCTTTGTTCAAGAGTTCGTCAAAAAACCCTTTCTGGTGGATGGCCACAAATTCGACATCGGAGTTTACGTAGTTATCACATCATTTAATCCTCTACGAGCCTACATCTATACAGGAGACGTAAATTTCCGTTACTGCCCTGTGAAATACCATCCCTTTGATGCCGAGAATGTAGGCAAGTATGTCGTCGGTGACTACTTCCTGCCCACCTGGAAGATTCCTTCACTTCGCAAGTACTATAATAGCTTTGGCGGCGGAATGCGTACTGCTTTTGAAGCGTATGTCCGAGATCAGGGCAGGGATCCAGCCAAGATTTGGCCTCAGGTGGAGTATATAATCCGCACAACGATTGCAGCGAAGGAACAAGACATTGCCAACATCCTACGCGCCTACAAGACGGACAACTTTTTCGATCTGATGAGATTCGATCTGTTCATTGACGAGGATCTTAAGGTTTTTCTCATGGAGGCCAACATGTCTCCCAATCTTTCTTCCGCTCATGTTAAGCCGAATTCGCTTTTGTATGAGCAAGTTCTGTACAGTGTTTTTAATCTGGTCGGAATTAGGCCGTTCGCTGCCACAAGTGGCACTTTGTAAGTAAATATTAAAATATATTTATAGAATTTATGTATAGAATATATTTATTTATAGACCTTGTGAAAGCAGTGAAATGATCACCGCCGATAAGAACTTGGCCACCGATTTGAACAAATGTGCTGCTTATGATTGCGACAAGTCCTGCAACAAGGAGGAGTGCGAACTGTGCCTGCAATGCCTCAGTGGATCCGAGTACGAAATACTGCAGCAAGCTCATCAGGAGCACTTGCACCGCGTGGACATGAAACGGATTATTCCCAAACCAATTGTAAGAGAAATATTAACTACAAATCATAACTATAAACTAATACGATTATTTTTTACAGCACGATCTTAAAAACTTCAATCTCATTGAGGAAACTAAGAAACTGACAAAGAAGAACGCTTGGATGACTCGCTGGTTCTATAACAAATGCCAATTTGATGCTGCCTGGTGCAATTAGATAATTTTATTATGATATTTATGTAAATACTTTTTGTGACTAATTAACTTTTTACACTCAGTATGCAAGTAAGTTTATATTAAACCCATTAGAAATTTCCCTAACCGCTTCACCAGAGATGACAAATTTAAACTACCGCCATTAAAGGGAAATTTTCCAACAGCTGTTGTGTTGTGGCTTCACTTTGATTGGCAAACGAGAAATTTCCCTTTCGTTGCTGTGGAGATCGTGATAAAAAAAGTTTGTTTTAAATTAGTCGCTTGTATTAGCGTTTTGAAATAGCACTTCTAGACTTGAAATGGATACCAGCGCAGAGGGCAGTGCTCCTGAACAAGGGGATGCTGAATGTACAGTGAGTTTGGCTACAAATAGTAGTTTTTCCATTAATGAGGAACTGAAAACTTTCTCTTTTCTTAAGTTGGCCAAATCGGAAGAAAATCCCGAGAAGCAATCAAATAGTATTGGATTACTGCCAGTTATGATATTTCTGGCGGCCACAGTTACCACTGCAGTTATGGTGGAGCTACTGCCACATACCAGCAAGATTTTCCCTTGGAGTTCTACAGTTTCTTCACAAGATCAGCAGCAGCCACCGCCCACATATGCGATCTTCGGTAGGAGTTCCACGGAGGATCATTTAGTACATGTGATAAATGTGCTGCAAAAGTTCGGCTTCCAAAGAGTGGGCGTTAATGAAAGTTGGAACCTTTTGTGGGCCCACGATTACCCTTTTCCTAATATTGCAAATCTCAAGAATCTAGGCGAGAATCAGGTGGTAAACCATTTTCCAGGCTGCGGTTACCTTACCAACAAGGTTGACCTTTGCACCACCCAGCTTCCTTTCCTGCCCCGTGCTTTCCGACTGCCAGCTCAGCGGGAGGAGTTTCTGGACTACGCCAGGGATAATCCCCAAGCACTCTTTGTCCAAAAGCACAATGAACACAGGCACATCAAGGTGCGAGCACCCGCCGATATAGCCTTCGGATCCAATGATTCCTTTGTCCAAGAGTTCGTTCAGAGACCTTTCCTGGTGGACGGCCACAAGTTCGACATCGGAGTCTATGTAGTCATCACGTCCGTTAACCCTCTGCGAGCCTACATCTATACAGGAGATGTCCTGTTCCGTTACTGCCCTGTGAAATACCATCCCTTTGATGCCGAGAATGTGGACAAGTATATTGTGGGAGATGACTACCTGCCCACCTGGGAGGTACCTTCACTGCGAAAGTATTACAATCGTTTTGGTGGCGGCATGCGCACTGTTTTTGAGGCCTATGTCCGAGATCAAGGCATGGATCCCGCCAAGATTTGGCCCCAGGTTGAGCACATAATCCGTACAACGATTGCGGCGAAGGAAAAGGACATTGTCAACATCCTGCGCTCCTACAAGACGCACAACTTTTTCGATCTGATGCGATTCGATCTGTTCATTGACGAGGATCTTAAGGTCTTTCTCATGGAGGCCAACATGTCTCCCAATCTTTCTTCAGCCCATTTCAAGCCAAATTCGCTTTTGTACGAGCAAGTTCTGTACAGTGTCTTTAATTTGGTCGGAATTAGGCCGTTTACTTCCACAAGTGGCACCTTGTAAGTTTTAAGTATAAATTTATATACTTAGCGCTTATGTATAACATTTATTTAATTGTAGATCTGGTGAAAGCAGTGAAATGATTACAGCCGATAAGAACTTGGCCACTGATTTGAACAAATGCGCTGCTTATGATTGCGACAAGTCTTGCAACAAGGAGGAGTGCAACCTGTGCCTGCAATGCCTCAGTGGATCTGAGTACCAGATGCTGCAGCAAGCTCATCAGGAGCACTTGCACCGCGTGGACATGAAACGGATCATTCCCAAACCAATTGTAAGGAAACATTGACTAATAATCATAACCAGAAACTAAAAAGATTATTTTTTACAGCACGATCTTAAAAAGTTTAATCTCATTGAGGAAACTAAGAAACTGACAAAGAAGAACGCTTGGATGACTCGCTGGTTCCATAACAAATGCCAATTTGATGCTGCCTGGTGCAACTAGATAAATTTAATATATTATTTATGTAAATACTCTTTGTGACTTAGTAACCTCTTATGCTCAGCATTAGTAAATTGGCCACCGATTGTGCTTAGTTGCAAAGTGATAGAATGCCTTTTGGCCTAATGGCCACGAAGTCATTAGAATTCAGTGCAAATTGTGAACTTAAAATAGTACTTTAAGAAGGAGCTTGCTTTGCTCTAAAAGTCCTTTAATTGACATGTACAAATTATGAAAGCTGTCCTTAAATTAATTCTACAAAAACTTAAGTAAAAAAGGTTCTCTTTGAAGATAATTATCATTTTCAAACTTATTTATCTACTTATCATTTTAATACCATGTTAATAGTTAATGTAGTATTTTATTTCTTATAATTGATATGCTATGATCGAAAATAAAATTATATGTTATAGAAATTACAATTTAACTTACAGCCTTTTTTCGTTAGCCAAATAACTTACCGCTAATGGTCAAACCCGTTCGCTGCGGCAGGTCATTGTCCATTTAGCCCGGGACCAGAGGGCCCGTTCCAAGCTGTAGTTGTCGCCAGCGTCCTCGGCCATAATACACCTATACACCAATATCGACTATGGCGACACTGGCAGAACAGAACAGAGCTGAGTAGAGGAAAACAGAACGTTAAAGCGATGCCGGCTCATTTCTGCATTGCCCTGGCGATGGAACGGCGTACACTTATTGCAAACCGATAAGACGCGAGATATGTCAATGTCAAACATAAACATAAGCAGCGGAATAAATACACATGGGCAGTGGCAATCAATGCCGCTGTGCTCGCAGAGAATCGCGACCTCGTCGCAACCCGGGGACCATAATCGGAGCTACACGAGGAAATGTCAGGTTTGATAAAATATTGGCCGGCACACATTCTTACTCAGAGTGGAGAGACCAAGAGACCAAGAGACCAAACGACCAACAGTCCAAGATAGTCCAGAGTCCAGAGAATAGATGGATGGATGGGACTCGGGAGTCTCAAGACTCTCCCCATCCCCCATGACGCTGAGCTGATCGGAGTTGAGCTTTTTTGTCGAAATGGAGATGAAGACGGCGACGAAGACGCTTTGTCGGCAATTACTTGTGGCCGGTGTGAAGCGATGGATTTATTGCCCCAACAGCTAATCAACCAGCTGAATTTATCGCTGACTTCATTCGACATTTAGAGGCTCCATACGCTGTGCATTAGTTGTGATTGCGCCATGGGAAAATAAAATTAAAAAAAAAAGAACAGACATGGCTGGTTAGAAAAAGGGACACTGATCGGTGGTTCGATCGACTGATAGGTGCAAATTGCTGCATGATAAAAAGTTATTCCCTCGAGACCAAATCAGTGCATAGAGAAGATCAAGTTCTAGGAAACCCAAAGCCGAACTCCATTTCTTTGAACTTCGGTACTTGAAAGACGTTTAAGCTTCCGTTTAACGGTTAGTTTTACCCCCGTATACTCCACCCCGCGCCCGTACAAAATACCAGGCGTAAACAACTTTTTCTTGGTTTTGGCTGCGGTGCCATCGTTCCGTAATTAATAGCGGCTCATGCGTGGCAATTTAAATAGCCGCTAATTGTAACCACCGTCAAACAAAACCAGTTAAAATGCCAGGAAATGGCCACCGTGCAGAAGAGGCAGCGCCATATAGCTGGCTATACAGCCATCTACTACATGGCCAGAAGCAGCTGCCTTGCTTCTGCACACTCGCACTCCTCTGAAATTTGTAATTTTGCTCTTAATGCTGGCGCATATTTCATTTGCATCTCGTGGAGCCAAGAGCCGAAGAAGTTATCCATGGAGCCAACCAAGAAGCTTAGACACAGCCGCAAATGAAGTACTCTGCAGGATGGCTAATATGCGACCATGGGCGAACTGGTTCATTACATTATAATGCCTACTGCACTTCGTTTTTTTTTTTTTTTCGTTTTCATCTTTTACTTAGCTCATTTTCAAGCTTATACTTAACACCAAAGCTGGCTTTATATTGGGTAGGTTTTCGGTTGGGTTTAGTTTTTGGTTTCCAGTATGCAAATTCTTTAGAGCCAACATCTGTTCTCCTTAAGGTCGTTACCTTGATGACACCACACCGTTAAACGAGTTGGGATCCCGATCTTGATCCCATTATTTCTCATGCATATTTGCTGCTCCTTGGGCTCGTAATCTGATATGGGTACTTAAGTTTCCATTAAACCAAAAAACTGATTGCTTTTAAGCAAGTATTTCCTCGGGAAGTCAGGATTTTTTCTTTCATAAACTACTTGTTTCGATTAAATAAAAAATCTCTTAGATAGCTCATTACTTTCTGCTCTGTCACACCCAGTCAACATCCTTTTTTAATTGATTCAAACATAATGATCTCACATCGCAAGTTTGAAATCTTAACCTTTTTTTTTGTAACTCGATATGGCCAAAGTAAACGTTATAAAAAAGTGTAGTCTTAGGATCCTGTTGGTTTAAGAATAAAAATTACTAAGTTAATGGTGCAATGCTACACTTTTAATGCAGATTGTAAAATCAGAGAGGCAAGCTGCTTTTATAGGATATACAATTAATTAAGATGAGAGGAATGCAATGGAGTTCGGTATTGCAGTAAAAGTCATGCGGATTAATGCTGTTTTTATATAAGAACAACGTTGTTTTAACTAAGCATCTTGATGCAATTTAACCCCCTGATTGGTTCGAAAACTAGTGATTACCAGCGAGTACAAGACAGAATTGGAATTGCTTGCCAGATAAATGTGCGGGATAGGATTTGGATTGGGCTTTTGATACTGAACATTGGATACTGGCTGATGCGATTGGGTCGATGTGATGATGCATCTTAGCCGCGGTGCAAGCAAAAAAAAAAAAGGAAAACACAGAAAACAAAGAGCTGCAAGGGACTAAAGAGGCAATGACTATCCGGTTTGGTGGCCAAAAAAAAAAAAAAAAAAATTGGAAAAACTGAAAAACCCAACGGATGGCAAGTTCGTTGGCAGTGGCAACTGCAATGCGATGCGATGCTCATGGCCTGGATCAATTTCAATGCCTTCTTGCATCCGTTAGGTGACCTCGAGAACTTCAAAGAATTTGAATAGCTATTGAAAATTATGGTGCATGGATGAAAATGGCCAGCGGCCAAAGAAAAGTGTTTGGAGCTGCCGGTTCCCATATCCGAATTATGCTCTGGCCCAGCTATGGCAACTCCAGATCCTTGTCTTCCTCTACACAGATGTGCTCCTCAGTACGTATGTACATGCACTCTCGAGTGTACTTACTTGACCCTAGGAGTCTCGGGTCCAGACTTTCCTCGGGAGATGAGATACTTTACGCTATACATTTATGCAGATAAATGCGAGGACGTCTTTATTTTGCAACTTAACAAGGGCAGACCCAGAGACTTTTTTGCGATTTAATATGGAGTGGAATTTTGCATATTTTTTTTCTTTGCCAGATTGAAGTGACTTTGATTAACAAAGAACAAGAAATGTAAGTAAGAATATGGAATATGGCGAGTCTAGAGTCTTAAATGCAAATGAGATTTAAGGAACTTAAAATAAAAACAGTCTTGATTTGCTTTTGGATGTTGTAAAAATCTCCAATCAATGTTTTCAAATCCCTTTTAAACATAATTGAACCCATATTATACCCTAACCAGAATTTATGCCAAAATAAAAATGGGTCGAGCCCCCAAAAAAAGAACTCACTTTCGGACGCAATATTGATCTATGTTCCATTGCCAGGAGATCGATTAAATATCAGGCGAAAGGGAAAACGCAGCCGGAACCCCCATGGTGGCTCCAGTTTCGGTTTGGTTTGGCAATCGCCACCCCATCCCCCACTCGGCAGCGGAAAACATGTGCCTATTGACAGAATATTGACAGAAGCTATTTCACTTTTCGGGGTGTGACAGACATGCCGGCGTTGCCTTTGCCTTTGGATTTGCCTTTTGCTAAGAGCCGTTGCCGTCGACGACTGCACCACCCACCACCCAATTACACTGAGAAAATTAAGGGGAGTTTTTGTGAGGAATACTAATGTTTTACAAGTTGATGGAGAATCTTTTTGAGATGTATCAGTTAGGAAGTTAAAAGTTAAACCTATGGATAATCACCTTATCAATCATTTATTATTCCAGTGCAGTACCTACCCCATCCTGCCCCATCAACTTGCGGCGTACTGGAGATGGAGAAGGCGGAGGAGACCAGGGGAGCTGGGTTTCCGTCTGTGCCAAAAGTTTTGACTGCGATTCAATAAACAAACGGTATTATTAAATAATGCGCTCGTTTTGCAGCGTCGCAAGTTTTTTGGCCGAGAAATCGGTTCCGCTGCCCGATTTGTCTTATGCATAGCCGCCAATGCAAATGGATTAATATTCACATATATATATATAAGGTATATATATATATGGCCATATATCCAGGGCTCAACGAATCGCCGCCAAATTCGGCGCGGCTCTGAAGTTGAACGGCGCTCCGGTCGGAGGTGTTTTAATGAATGTTGCCAGGATACAGGTGCCAGGTGAGGCCATTTTGTTATTTTTATTTGCTTTGACAGTCGGCACTTGAGCACCGGAGGAATCGGAGTAGTCGGAGTAATCGAAGGAACCGGAAGAGTCGGAATCGGGCCGCGAATACTCGTATATATATATTGGCCAGTATTCGAAAGGGTGAACAACTGATCGGAAATCCCGCCATGCGGACGCCCTTTGCCAATTTCGATTTTAACTTTTCGCCGGGCTGCCAATGTTTGGAAACGCCAAACCGAATCCTTCGTCTGGTGTCCATCTCGTGTCCCGCCGAAACTTGTCCCACGCTTCTGGTCATCATCCATGATAGCCACGTGCATCAACACATACTGTCGGCTGTTCTCGAGCCACGTGGTGAGTCCTCTTCCACGATTGACCCTCTCAAATACCTCCAGAGTGTGTGCAACAATTTAGTTGGTAAATAGATTTGCATATACGCGCTGCCAAGCATGAATAAATCGAAATGGCCCAAGTATGTAAATTGCCGTAGATATTTAGGTATGTGACTGGGCACGAACCTTCTGAGCAGGTGAGCAGGTCCGCACCATTCTATGAGCCACTCAAATTAACGCCCGGGAAATATGTGGCGTGCGACATTGGCACCTCTATTATGAAGACTATTTTGATGCACGATTTGGGTGAAGAGATAGGGAAAAACTACATTTAACTCAAATTGAAACTAATGGTGGATTTCAAGCTGAAAGTAAAAGTGTTTTTTATGGAGTTTTATGGTGGAAATGGAAATATTTTATAGGTTAAACGAAGAAAAGTTTCCAAGACCATCATTTAGACTAAATTGGATGGGAAAAATGTACAAAAATAAATGTTAAAAACTACTTCTTATTAAGCAGAAGATCTTAAGTAGTTTGGCAAAAATTGCAATTCGCTAAATTCTTTATTAAGAAAAGAAAATTAATAGGCAAAAATCACCAAAAGTCTTGCCACTTCCAAACTTTATTACTTTTTCCTGTGAATAGCATTCATGGGCAATATGAAAATTCTACTACAAATTCTACTAAAATTCTAGTAAAAGTACACTAAGCATGTTGGGCCATTAAACTATTGAAAGCTAGTAAACATTACTAAAAATCAACCATTATTTGTGCCCTTGAAAGCCAGTAATATAAAATTTCTTACTACATAACATCCTATAGCTCCATAAACCCAAGGATAAACAGAGGTCTTGGCCCCATAAAACATATTCCTAATGCCTAATTTCATTTTTTAAGAAAGTTTAGGCAATTCATAAATCATTTTTTATTGGAAAAATGTTAGCCACTCTGGGTGGCTGACCTCAATTGGGCTACTTAGCTTGGATGCACGTGAAAATCCAATGAAATCTCAGTGAAATGGCCATTAAGAAAGAATTTTGGATTTGAAATCTTGTTGGGGGTCAGGTGCGTGGATTGCGTGAATGCGAGAATAAAATGTATGGTAGCCAATAGGGAATAATTAAGTATTCCAATATTCTTGCCACAAACGGCGGTCTGGGTAGCTGGGCTCGCATGCAAATAAAACCTCAACAAGTCAAACCGGAAACCCAAACATTTCGTTCACTTTGTTGCCTTTCACAAACCTACGGCAAATAAGTGCTGAAGGTGTAGGTGTGGAATAGCTCCTCGGATTTTGGGTTTTCGGATTTCGGATCTTAGTACTCGGGGCTGGTCAGAAATAACAGCAGAAAGAAAAAACCGAATGCAAAAGAGCTCCCAACCACCTGAGGTTCTTTACACGTACCCCTTCTATATATGTAATATAAACCTGGGAAAATGTGTGTATATGTACGAGTATGGCTAGGATTCATGCCACCATTCATCCTGTTGTATAAATTAATGGAAAGTCCAGTCCAGTGGCGTGTTTTGACCATGGCCGGTAACCATGGCGTTAGAGCTAACGGTCGAAAATAGAGAGAGCGGCGAGGTCACTTCGGGAATATGTATGCAAATTGGACTAGGACTAGGGTGTCTCAATGACATTCACCGGAATGCCACAATTCTGGCCTTAGTAAGAACTATTAGTTCACCCGAAACACCTTGTAAGAGTATACACTTTAGGACCGGACTTTCGTATAAATCGCGGCTTAATTCATTAATTTACTCGGACATTCTCAGGGGAAGGTTATAATTTCGTTCGACCCACGACTTTCCAGTGGAGTTTCGTCCCCTTTGCATGCAAATCAAATTCAAAGTCCTTTTTAGACGTGGTCAAGACTCCAAGCTGAACGGTAGCTTGCGGGTAAAAATAAATTTACGGGTTTTTTCTATATTCTGTTAATGTATAACAAAGTGTTAAATGATGTTAAATGTTTAAAATATAATTAAGTTCACCAAAAGTAAATCAAATTTAATAATAAATTGCTTAAGCTATGACGTGTTAAAGATTACAGAAATATATAATACTTAATAACTTAATTCTCTTAAGATATCAGTTTAAATCCACGCATGTGTAATTACTTTGGGTCAATAAACTTGGCTCGAAAACACGACAAGGCTGTCAGAAGAGCGAAAACATTTCCAACAAAAGCCAGATTAATTATTTTCAGGCAGTGAACTCTTTCTTTCTTTCTGCTTTTTTATTTTTCCACACCACCTCATTCTATTGATTACCCTAAAAATAATTTGAGAAAGTGCTAACTGCTGGGTGCCTTGGCGGATCTAAAGAAGGTTCTACCAAAATTTGATTTTAGCCTTCTGCCAAAGTGTGTGTTTTTGTTAGCCCAGATAAGCCATCTGGTCAGAAGCTAGCTTCCTAAATGGAGCATCAGCAAACAGTACTCGTGTACGTGTGAAAACTTTCAATTCTTGGCTTACTACGAGTAGTTACTTGTCGATTGAGGCTTTTAGAAGTAAGTTTTAAGTTCTTGGTAACCCAGGAATCACTCACACAAAATGAAAGCCTCTAAGATAAAAAGGCAATAAAATGAAATTGCACCAATGCAGAGTCTAATACCAATTCGATGCCACATGTTGCAGGCTGTCAAAGTTGCCAAAGCGCATCGCGTGATTTAAGCTATATCTAAACTTCCATGCGGATAAAGTTAACATGACAGTGAAAGCCCCCAAAAAAAAAAAAAAATGAAAACTTAAAGGCAAATATTGAATTTTGTATAACAACATGACATTTGTTTTACTGCTGTCGTGTATCTTCTAAATCGAAGAAGAGTTTAAACTGAATGAAAGGATAATGAGGCGGAACAAATCGAGAACTAACTAAAAGGAACTTTAACCAAAATGAGGTAATTACTACGTGTTTACTTTACGTGTTTAAAACACAAAATTATTGGAAAAATCCCATTGCACTTGAACTTAGTTACTACCTATATTTATTCGTACTTAAATATTCATGGGTAATTGGTAATGGTAATGGACATTTTACGTGTCCGATTCGATACCTTATGGACTCCTTGTGGGCCTCGTCTGTATTTGTTTTGGCCGCCTGGTTGGTCGCAAGGTCAGGCCATCAGCGTAGTCGTCATCATCAAAATTAATATATCTGTAGGTCAAAAAAGGTTAGATGCCGTTAAGTTGGTGTGTTCAAGGTAAGGCCTAATCGAAAGCCCATAAAGTCCAGGCTCAACTAGTGGCTTCGATTTAGGGCGTAGCCAAAAAATCTTTCGGTACATCGTCGTCCTCATTATTGGGTTGACCTTATTCAATTGAGCCTGTTGGTTGGAATGGAAGAGTCAGGATAGTTGGTTAGTTGGATCCACTGGGATAGGTACAACTTCGTCATCGTAAGACGTGACTAACCTGGAAAAGTGTGTCACCACGTGGGCCCCTTGGCCAAATCTCAAGCTCCAAACGCTCCATGCACACGGAGGTTAATATGAGAAATGGGTTCAACATCTGCTCCAAGTTCTGGTCTTGGGTTTTTTTTGGGCCTGGGATACGATAAACTCGTTTAGGTTGCCGCCCTCATTGTGTTTTCTTTTTTGGTTTTTGGGTTTTTCCTTTATTTTCTTGGGTATAAATATCCTATAGACAGGCAGACAGGGGCAATGGAAAAATATTTTAATGTACCTACGATAGGCTGGCTGGCTGGCTGGCCCGGCGCTCTGCCGGCTGCATAGATGCAGGTCACAAGATAAATAGCACAGAACACGATTACACATATTGAACAAGCTGAAAACATGATCGAATTACTGCAATTTCGTGTGTAGCATTTTCCGGGCCGACAACGCCACAGCCCAAAAGGAACACCAAACCCGAACATTGGTTCTGTAAATGTTTTAATTTGTTAGGAGGGGGCCCTGGACACCCCTGAACACCCCCTGCATCCCCTTTTAACCAAATTAATTAACTAAACATAGGTCATTAATCGAAAACATTGTCGGTTTTAAATATTAGCATAGTCACGGCTCAGTTTCGAGAACTATTAAAAACAATGACCTTTACAATATGTTTCTTCTCTGCTGGCAAGAAACCAAATCTAAATTAACCATTTCGAAAGATAACCAGATTTAATATCTTGTAAGCATTAATAATATATAGCAACCCACACCTAGAAGTAAAAAATAACAAATAATAACGACACCATTTCAAGGAACATTAAAAATTATTATAGTTGTCTTTAACGAGAGTGAGTTGTAATAAATAATATCCACACCTCTGTATATTTATTACATAATTTCGAAAACAAGTCCATTAACTCTTAACAAGGAACTATTAAAATATCTGATAAATAAAAATAAGAGGATTTTTAGTATGTTAATCCGGTACTTGGCTGTATTTAAATTGATCTAATTATTGTTTTCCTTTGCTTTGATTTTGCGTTGGTAATAAATTTTGAAAAGTTATCACCGATATATAAAGTGCAATAATGACTTCATGGCTTTATTCTTCCATACTACGGATTATACGACTGTTTTAGTGTCACGAAAATGGCCATACAAATTACCATCTATTGTATAAGCGTTGCAAATTTGTGGCCAATAGTTAAATAATTGAAAGAAACGGCATTTGCATGTGCGAACGCAACCGAACACAAGAGCTCCAGGATTAATTGCTGGCTCGTCCGCTTCCGATAGTTCTCAGGCTTGTTTATTATTGGGAATATATCAAGGTTCATACGAGTAGATGTTGTTGTTGTTGTTGTTGTACCTACCGGCGAGCGAAACGGGTTTGCTGCTCCCACAAAAAAAAAAAAAAAAAAGAGTGGGTTTTCTTCTTAAAAGAGCAAAAAACTCTCTCAAAGAGCGAGTGCGAGTGCGAGAGCGAAACCGGCTTTCTGCGTCTTTGAATCTCTGCCTCTGGCTGAGAATTCTCCCCATGCAGATAAGCTCCAATAGTCCCCAGCACTCTTTCCGGACCATTGGCGGCGGCAGTAGCACTTTGTCATCGGCGCGATTTACACCAGACACGGATCGAAATCTGAATCGGTCGATCGGCTATATATGTAACTAACTAACTGGTGACTTAAATCGTGATCGCGATCGGTATTGGAATTGGAATTGGAAATCGGGAGATCGAGAGTATATGCGCTGGCCAAGTATAATTGCAGCAATTTAATGTCAACGCTGAACTGCTGATGCTGCTGTACTTGTACATTTTTCTTTGCCCTGGCAATTGGAGATCCTCCAGCACTCGTCCAGAACGTTTAGCGAAATTCGCAAAAAAAAAAATTAAAGAGAAGAAAAACAAAAACGTTTACCCCCGAAATGAAGTATTGAGTTACGCAAGGAATGGTTTCCTAGTATAGTGACTGACAGGTCGGGATCCCCATTAATTTCAAAACGATCCGATCCGATCGATCGATCGACTTTGATCTAATCCGAAGGCAAGGTCGTTCGAGGTTCATTCAAGCGGAGCACCAAATTGGTCATCTGAGCAGCTTAGAAAACACGGATCATCGAGAGCGGTACGGTTTCGGTTTTCAATCGGTTTTGTTGTCGGTTTCTCAGTCTCACTCTGCTCAGTCAAAGACGCGGAAGGATAGTTATTTAAACCCAAAAAAAATACGCTGAAAAATGTACCTTTAAATTAGCCATGAGGCATCGGACTTAAGACATGGACTATTAATATTCAGTGCGAGTCCAAAAATGTCAATCACTTGATTACAAACGACAAACAAAATCCAGTGAAGTGCTCGAATTCGGGTTGCATAAATAAAAGCGACCACATGGAAAGTTGAAATTAAAAGTCAGACTGTGAAGATACGACGATTTTTCAGCGGAGTTCACACAACGCAGCTCTTTTTTTAAAGGTATAATTGAACTAGTTTGTATGTACATATTTAATCGAATCACAGTTGGTGTGTGCGAGGGAGAAAATCAAATATATAAAGTATATATAAAGCAAGTCTCTTCAGAGGGGATAAAATAATAAATAACAACTCTCCTTTGTAATATTGTGTTAGCTAATTTGAAAAGTAATAAAAGCGTCTGGCTAAATTTTGGGGTGAAAAAACTTTCAAAGATATTCACACCTTGTTTTTGGCTTTAATAAATAAATTAACACTTCAAATATCTAGGAAAGATTTGCTATTATTGGTGGTAATAAAGTTAATATTAGATATTTTGCTAACATTTCTCACTCATTGTAAACAAATCTTGTTAAAAGTCTCAGAAATTTCCAAAATTTTACAATCAAAACCAGAGCCAAGTTTAGTTTTTGATGACTTATCATTTATCAGTTACAAAATCTTTCAACAACCAGCTTAATATCACAATATTTCCAACCAATCTCTGATCTCCTTGTATAGTTTTCCCGTAAACACCTACTTTGAATCTAATTTGGGGGATTATCCGCCATAAATACTCGAAACATCAAGCCATATGGTGAATCTAATCAAATTGTTCAGTGGTCGTTTGGTCCATGTTGATGGATTACATAACGATGTACATTCATCTGCAGCCAGCAAGTAAGCCACTGTTGCTGCAGGAACTAGCCAAGTTTTCTATATATATAGATATATATAGATATATATATATATTGAGAGGCACACGAACATGGCTGCTACCAGCCAACGCAAAAGCAAACGCAAACAGAGACTCAAACTGAAAAACTCGAAGTCGAAGTCAAACTACATACCTGGGCACTTAGTTACCTGAATGGCTAGCAACAACAACAACAACACCGGAGCGACCTTGCCTGACCCACTTTACTCGGGGCAGTGCCAAAATTGACAGCTTTGCGGCATTTTAAAATTTATGCTGCAGAATTATCCATAATGGCTGTGTTTTATGTGCTCTGCCCGTCCGTCCCCGTGCGTGCTCGAGCATCGAAAATGCACATTCGTGCCTCGTTTAGCTCTGGCTTTGGCTCTTTTCTACTGTTCTTCAGTCTCGAAAGTTGTTTTGTTGTTGTTTTTTGTAACTTTTCCCCGTCCATCGATATGCCGCTTGCTTTCATTTATAAAAAATCCGACACGCCGCTGAGGGGTGCAGTCATATATATATATATCTGTAGTCGGTAAGTCATTTAGTCAGATGGGTCGACGGTCTATGATTTATTTTGTTGAGTCGAAGTCTGGCCTTACCATATTTATTAATTGGGGGGCAGGCTGTTGGCCTCTCCTAAAACGCCAAATTAGACTACTGGAAAGCCAAACGATCGCTGCATCCCGATTAACAGTGCCCGGAGACGGTTAAAGTTAATTACATTGACGGCAGATCGACGTCGTACATTGGCGGTACATCGAAATCGCGTTCGTTGCCTCAGTCTTTCGATTGCCGCAAGGCAACGGGACGCACATCCACGTACTTCAACTTCTCGTAATGGCGACTAGTTCTCTACGGTTGCCCAACAGTATGGAGTCGTTAAAGTGTCGTTCAACCGGGCTCTTAAAAACACAATTCGGTGTCTGAAGCCTTTTGGCCAAGACCGCATGCAGAATGAAGAACAATAAATGTGCGAAGGCACATAAAGACATATATTTATGCTCGACGCCCACAATGTCGCCGTTGCAATGTCTGGCTTTATACTCTGACCGCTCTTCGCTCTTGGTAAAATACAAACTCTTGGCCAACTCTCAGCGCGTCCCATTTGCCAAAGTGGAAATAAATTTTTGCTTTATTGAGGAGAGCAATTATGGCCTACAACGACGCGGCGATCCCTTGCAAAAGCTGCAAATAGATTTTCTGTTCTTCAAAAAAAAAAGCCCTAGCCTATGCTCCAATCCAAAGCCTCAATCTTGGTCTTTCAAGCACTGAAAGAAATTATAAAAAAATCAAGGATGTGAGGTTATTAATGAAAGATGCTTTAAAGATCTTTCTCCATTTGCTTAAAGAATTTGTTTCTAGATTTCTTAACTCCAAAATCTCATAACTTTCACAACATTTTATTAATGTTAGGATTCATAAATAGTTTTCTAATACACCACATAAACTACTCAAAGGAGTTCCCTAATTGAAAGATATAACCCATTAAGCTATTTTCCTAACAAATAGCATTCAGATAACTAATAACTTTTAGTGGCAAAACGACAACCATTAAAAAGTAAAAAGAACTGCAGTACCTCGGTTAAAATTCATAAATTTTATTATGCGATTTGCATATCGCATGAATGTGAAATGACGAATCTTGCTTTGATCCTTCATTTCGCTGAGTGCCACAGAGCCAGAGGCCTTTGGTCCGCCAGCCAGCCATCAGTCACAGTCTTTGTCTGGCCGTCTGCTAGGCTTCCTTCATCCGTTGACGGTTGGTAATCCACCAGACAGAGTCGAAGGCAAAGGCGTTTTCTTAACGTATCTACATACATATATATACTCTACAGATGGATGGCTGGACTCCTACGGAGCAAGCCAGGGCTATGGCTGTTAATGCAGCTTTACTGCAATCCAAACAAGCATTAGAAGACCACGGGATGGGTATTTAAACCGTGCTGTGGCAATGCGAAAATAAATGTAAATCAACTTGGCCAAAGAGTGGCCTGAGTGCATTTTCTTATAAAAGTTCACATAAATTAAGCCAATTAATTTCGTGTCTGCCAACGGCCCGTGGCTGGGTGCCGATAAAGTCGAGATTCAATTTGAGTACTCAACACGCTGCCGGCGCGGAGGATCGGATCGCCGATCGCAGTGCCCCGGGTGGAATAGGAGAACTCTGGATGTCTGGATCGATGGCAAAGCCCCAAAAGGCACCTTTCTCTCTCTCTCTCTCTCTCTCTCTCTGTATCTGTCTTCGCTGTCAATCCCACGCACCATTTTATGAGGCTGCTCGCTGGTATTGCTGTTATTGCATTCATTGGAGTCTTTTATTTACATTTTTATTTTGTTATTTTGCGCTGCGTTAGCCTAGGGATCGTAGGAACCGTGGCCCCAAAATAAAGCGGCAGCATGACGGATAGAAAAAAAACAACAAGAAGTAGAGTCGACAGGCGAGACGAACCTGGAGAAGGCGCGGGCGATGACGTTGTAGATGTTGGGGTTTCTTAATATTTATCAGACGATGATGTTGATGGCTGGATGGGATCTGGGATCCAAGAGCCTAGACATCGGCGTTGGCGTTGGCACCCCGACTAATCGAATAGAGTCGCTGTTAGTCCAGCCCCCGTGGTCTGCCACCATCACCACGACCACATCCGAGTTGGATGTTGCAGTTGTAGCCCCAGACCGGCGAGACCCAACAATACATTGTTTGTGCTCTTCATTTACAATCGACTGTGAACTGCAGGCCATATTACTGAGTCTCTGAGAGCCTGGCTATATGGAACCTTGTCTAGGCCGCAGTGCGTTTCTTTGTTAATTATAGAAAAAATGGCTGAAACAAAGGCAAAAACTAAGAAACAACGTTGGCTTTCAACTATTTGAAATTGTTGAGATGAAAGGAAAACATCACAAAGTCGGCCCCGACGATAATTAGAAAATCTGGGGAAACGGCCATAGTTCAACGAAAAGGTTTTTACTCATCCATAACGCGTATACTATGAACGTCTCTCCAGAAATTGTGATGATGGTGATAAGTGCCAGTGTTATTAGTCTCAATTAGGAATAATTTAAATGGTGCCTTTGGTAATTATCACATTAAAAGAGTTTAATTTATAAAACAAAATTTTTAGTAAAAGAAATCATAATTATTTTGATCTATTAAACCCACTTTTACCCCACCCTTGGCTCATATTTAGTGAAGAATTCACAAATTGCATAGAAAATTCTTAGAAAGCACTTAGGTATTTAAGTCAACATTGATCTACGGATAGCAAAAACCAGTTAAGGTTGTTAAAACTGCACATACAAGGCAGGGCCTTAACATCATAATTACTTTCAAAGCTAACGGCAACAGGGAACATATCAAATTTCTATGTGAAATATATTTTTAGATTGGTTTTCGGGATATCCAGTGGTGACTTTTAAGTACCCATCAATATAACATTACCACAGGCCATTGAATAATCAGTGTTTGGCTAAGCACTTTATGGACCGCAATTAAAATACAGGAATAATATATAAAAAAAAAAAAAAAAATGCTTCTCAGACCTCAGACATGCAGTAGTAGTTATCCCAGTTGTTTCCATTTTGCTCGGCTATATTGCCTTTATGCGTATTTATTTTACCCAGCAAGGCGCACCCAGAAAACACGCCCGCAGCTGCGGCAATAAAAACTTTATAGATGCAGATATCTACGTACACTGCAAAAATCGACTGCAAATACATGAATCTATATATGTGTGTAAAATATATCTATGTATAAGTGTATGCTGTAGTATGCTGACGAGCTGACAGACAGACAAAAGCCCAAAGACGGAAAGGAACGGCCGGCGGGTTTGGAATCGGGTTCGGGCTTAGGCCCAGTCCCAGTCCCAGTCCCAGTCACAATTCCAGACCACAAGACCCAGTCCCAAACCCCAAAAAACCCCATCCCTAGGTCCAAGCCCCACCCCCTGAGTGTCCAAACAGGAAAGGATAGACGGGGCTTCTAGCTTGGTGAAGGACGGTCGACGGTCGCATGGGGGACACGAACGAACCACGAAATAAACGTTGATTACGAGTCTGCGCCGCTAGCTGCCTTCGCCGTCTGCTAGAGATTGCACTGAGAGAAAATTATAGTAATTTGAGGGTTTCAAGAAAGTCTATTAGGATATTAAATAAACGAGAAATGTTGAAAAGAGTTTTGTTTTTAACTTAAGCCGTTTCCCTTTCCCAATTTCTCACAGTGCAGCAGTTTGTTGCTGCCCGCTGTCTGGCTGCAAGCTCTATTGTCGTGAAGCAGATTAGTTTGCCATCAGGTTCAACTTTATTTGCAACACAAATTTTCATTCTACTTGTGTGCGCAGCCACGGCGCAGTCGCAGCCAGTTGCAGCCCAGCCCGAATCCAAATCCGAGTTCGAATCCAAGCCAGGTCTAAAAAAAAAAAAACGAGGCAAAAGTGCACAGCTCACGAAGCTGCGTGCTGTGGAAGTTGCAGTTGGATTTTGAACCGAAGCCAGGCCAGGCCAGGCCAGCCCGAAAATTGAACAACGCCCAAAATCTTGTTTTTACTCCAGAGTGAACTCACGAGCTTTAGTTTTGTGGCGCGCCTGGTTTTGGAGTGGGAATATCTCCATGGCAGACTCCATAGACTATAGCCTGTAGACCGCAGACTAGACCAGAGACTAGACCACAACAACAGACTTGGCCCAACAGCAGCAGGAAGACATTGATCACTATTTGCGGGTCGAAGTTTACATACCCTTCACTTATGCCTGGCCAAATTATCCAACAGCTTGGCCAATTGTCAGGCCATAAAAAAGGAAACTATTTCATAAACAAAATAGAAAACCTAAACAGTTTCCCTTAATCTGACTTCCTGTTTTAAATCATTATTTTTATGTTTCTTTTTCTTTTATTGATATCCTTTATTGGATGACTATAAAAGAGACCTTAACTAAGCAGGAAATCAAATTGGCCAAGCCAGCCAGCTGTAGTTAATGTGCCTCGTAAGAAACAGGAACTGCATTGTTGAGTAGAATACTAAAAGGTTGGATTACTCAAAGAAGGTTTAAGAAGATATCTTAGTGGACTTTGGTATCATACAGGATATGATCCTAAGAGTAGTTTTTAATTATCAGTATAAGTTTATGAAATTAAACCTTAGCATTAAGTACAAAAATATAAATAAAAACTTTAGCATTTACTTAACTTCTTTGTACATTCGCAGACCTAAACAATTGCTTAATTTTTAAACAATCCCACTAATTAGGTCATCAATTCAAGTAAACAAGGCTACTTTGGCAGGCATTATTGTTCCCAAGTGTTCAGCCATTTCAAAGGCATTTCTGAGTAGCACAAATTAAGCCATTTTGGGTGGTAATAAATTCAACTGACTCATACTCCTTACTGCCGAAGAAATGTAGTCTTGCCTCAATCCGTGGCGTTATGTGAACGATTGTTTAATCCTATATATAGATAGTAGATAGCAAAGAAGTAGCAAATAGCAAATAGCAAATAGCGAAACATCAAGGCGTTGGCTGGAGATCCAGCTTCAGCTCCAGATGGAGACCAAAACCCAAGACCGGGCCAACTTCATTGCCAGTGGTAGATTGTATAGTAGTTGACCAGCCAGCCAGCTAGCCAGCCAGCTAGCCAGCTAGCCAGGCAAGCTGTCTGACTGCTCCGCCTGGTTAATATGTGTTAAGAGAAATTCGGTCAAATGGCACAAATATTGTGGAGTGGAGTGTGTGTTACAATTGTTGCGCAACAGCAGCCGGGAACTGCGAACTGGGAACTTGGACGTGGACATGGATGTGGATGTGGATGTGGATATGGTTGTACTTGTGGATGTGAGACTCAAACTGGGCCTGGCGATATACTTGCAAATGAATGCATTATCGGGCATTCGGGCGCACATTTGTTCGCCAGGCGACCAACCAACCAACCAACCAACCAACCGACCAACCAAACGACCACCAAATGTGCATAACACACAGATTCATTATGCTGCAGCCTTTCTAAGCCAAATGCGGGCAGCAGCAGCCAGAAAATATTGCAACACGCTGGCGACCAAAAGCGAGGGTGTCGGGTGGCCATAGCCTCGCCTCCAAAACTCTAAAACTCTAAAACTCCAAACAGCAAGCTCCAAAAACTCCAAGACTATAAACTCCAAGTCGAGGCTGCCTGGGATCCGGCTGACATAACTGGTCATTGGCTTGTGGCTAAGGACTCGACGATGCCACTTAGATGCAGCTGCACAAACTGGAAATTGGCAAATACAGCTAGCACGAACGGCGGACGGACAAGAAGCCAAGAAGAAACCGGATTGCCAATAGCTCAACGCCGCCGAGCTGTTCGCAAAAAAGTCTGAGCTCGCAATTTAAGCAGCCGACATTCGGTTCGTTTCGGGCCAAAAGGAACTGTTGCACGGCAAGAAAAGAAAAAGCAAAATTTTGATTTATTAATAACTAAAAGTATCACTTTCTTGATATTCATAAATCATATATTGTTATCAGATTAATACCTTTCTTTTGGATTAACAATGAGATGAGATATGATAGCATAGAAAGATGTATTAATTACCAGTTTATAAAGATAATATATCAAAATTTTCATATAAAAACAAACAAATTGATATAAGATTTCACTAAAATTTTCCTCCCAGTGCACAACCACTGCTGATGCTGCTGTCTCTTGGCCAGTTTTGTAATTACGTGGGGCACACACGTGAACGCTAAGGGCCAGCAAATGCGGCCAGCAAATGGTCCCAGGATTTGGTCAATGATTCGCCGCGGCTACTGTCTGCAGGCTTCGCTCGATTTTCCTGTAATCGAGCATCCAGAACGCTCGTTTCTTTTTCCTTTCCTTTGTGTGTCCATTGGATTGCCACTGGATGTCGGAACCCCATAGTCCGAGACCCTCAATTTGCTCAACTGCTGGGCAACCTGGCACTTGGATTGGAGTGCAAAAAAATGAAAAAAAAAAAGAGGAAAGAAAAGCGCTACACTGTCATTTCAACACCGTTTAATGTCCGCTGTCATTTGTGTCAGCGTTACGGTCCGAGTTTTATCATCTTTCACGCTGTTTGTACTTACCAATTTGAGCAATTTGGGCTAAGAAAACGAAAGCCGTCGCGATCTATTTGTTGATTTGTTGGCTGCTGTCTTTTTATTCCTTCATCTAAGTAACCAAGTCAGTTAGCCATGAAAAAAGCGAGAACAATCACATTCCCTAAGGTTTTATGGAATTTTCATTAGAATAACGAGTTTTAAAAGCCAGGCAGCCAGGCAGGCAGCAGCCAAGGCAACCAACAGCAGCAGCAACTAGACCAGAAACGACAACTGAAGAATGTTTTCGTAAGAGTCTCGGAGAAATGCGTCTAAAGTACCGCTTGTAATTGTCGCACATGATTAAACGTAATAAAATTTTTTCGCGTTTTAGACAGACAGAGACGTGACCGCTTGAATGACCGCGTTACCAATTCCAATTCTGAGACCAATTCAAGAACTCCGGGTCTCCGTTGATGATGATGGCTCAAGAACGACACATAGCCCAATTATCTTCTATACTTGTCCATATGTATGATGTTCTTTTTGGGCCAAGAAGCACATACTCATCAGGTACTCATAAGTGATATACCTGTCAGTCAAGTCAACTCTCTCAATCGGATGAATTGGCATTTCATTAAGGGGTAGCTCTTAATTACGGCAAGTTACATAAAGGTCATCCGCGCTTTATGGTTATTTTATGACTTGATAACGATCATTCAACTGCATTATCATTATAGTTTGAACAAATCGAAAGTTATTAAGCTGTCATATTAGTTTGAATACGCTGAAGGCTTAGCTATTACGCAGAGCACAGTTTGTTTCATTTTGTGATGTTTTAAATTAAATGAGATCTGATCTGGGAAATTATGAAGGTAAAATCCATCACCATTTTTGGGTAATAGGTGAGAAAGTAATGCCCTTTCGAAAGTTATTCAAGTGATATATTTGTTACAAAACAAAAAAAAAAACGGGCCATTAACTTCCAAAAGCCATAAGAGTGGGAAAAGCCTTCCTATGAAATCGATTTATGGTGTCCATTCTTTCGGCGAAACAAAAGCAATTAGGACAGCTCTAACCTTTTCAAGTGTTAAGTTTAAAATTTATGCCCATTTCAACATATTGCCAAAACGCTTTCAGCCAACTCATTTCTCTTGTTCACATTACACACACACAAACACACTCTCACACTCGCTTTACTAAACTGAAATGGCACAAACATAAGTACAAGCGGCGGAAAAACATTGACCAACTGGTCTTAATCGTTGTGAAAAGTCGTTGCTCAGAGCGATTGCATAAAGACCGAGAGTATTTTGTTAATTAATAATATTACAACTCGGCCTCCGATGTTTGAGTAGTATTTTGTTAACCAACCAACTCACCGATCCAGAGTGCCAAAAAAACAGAGCGACAAATAAGCAGTCGTAGATCTCTTAATTGCATTATTTATCAGGCCGGAGCTATACTGCGGTTAAGCCATACAAATTGGCCTCTTCTGTTGGTCATGGCTATGGCTTAAGGAAAAATGAAAGTGCTGCAGTATTAATTATGAAATCTAATTCGATTTCATAGCCACTGCCCAGACCGCCCCGAACGGAAAATGAAAGTAGACGTTGGCCGACGGTCGTCGATTTGGTCACTCAGCCGTCGCCGTGGACCGGACACCAACTTAAACCTTAATACATAGTTCACACTAGCACACCCGAAGCTATAAAATAAAAATGCAGTCCCAGTTTCGGACTTGCTCTCGGATTCGTCTTGGCCCACAAAATAGTATTTTATGCATTTGAACGATGATTCGGCGTGGTTTTAGGCCGTGGTCACTCTATTGCACAATCACTCTCGTTGCCCAAGTCCAACCTTTTTGAAAACCCATAGATGCTGATCTCCTCCAGATGCTCTGATACCATTTTTAAATTGATCAATGATGCTGCATTACAAGTCTTTTCTAAATTGGCTCTCTCTAATTAAATTGCCTTTAAGCCACGAATTAACACCATCCATTCGTTACGCATTGCGTTGAAATTCAATTTAAATGGGTTAACGTTTTCCGTAGGTGGAACATTTCAGGGTTTTCATTTACAGTTTCTTAAGTGATTTTCATTTTAATAAAGGGGAAGCAGGGCAAATGATAAACTTTTCACACTCTTTTGGTGAAAATAAGAAAATTAAAATATTTTTTAACATTTAATTTTAGTTTAATATATAAATACTAATCCTTAACTTTTAACTATCTTTCTATCCTATTACAGAAATGGCTTCCACAAGTAGCAGTCAGCCGGAGAAGAACCGATCACATGTCCCGCTTTGCCGCCTGGGAACGGAGCCGATCAGTCGGACGAGTGCCGCTGAGGAGCCCAGTGGGCAGAGGGAATGCTACTACTATACCCCAGCTACCTCCCCGCATCACCATCATCATCAGCACCATCACCGCCTGAAGGAGAACCACCGGCACCATCATCATCATCATCATCATCATCAGAACCAGCAGATGCAGCACCATTGGCCATCGCGACTGGGTCCGATTGGTCCCTGGTTGGGCGCAATGACCGCCTATCGACTGCTGACAATCAGCCTCCTAATTGGCATTCTGTGTCCACATCACGTCCAGGGAGCGGACCCCAAGTTCGATCCAACCACGCGCATGCGCCTGGTTCTTGTCCCGGCGGACGCACAGGTCAATTCGGTAATCTATAGGTTGCGTGCCACCGACGAGGAGTTCGACTATCCATTGACCTTCGAGTTCGTGGGCGATGCCAGCGCCTCTACTGTCAAGGTGGAATCGCTACCCTGCACCAAGTACAATTCAGTGTGCCAGGCGAATATCGTTCTGCAGCGTCGTTTGGAACCCGGTAGATACTATGACTTCCAGGTATCGGTGAAGGACACCAAGGGCGGCATGACCACGCAACTATGCTCAATTACGGCCACCAATTTCACTACGCCGCACGAAGTCATCTTCCCGCACAAACCCGGCATCATAATGATACCCGAGGTGAGAACACTATATACGAGTAACTCTTAGCCAACCAGCCACATGTGGCCATGGTCAGAACGTTTCAATTACCAATTACAAGTAACGCCCGTAAAGAGATCCGTCTCTAGAGGAGTTAGGGCACTTAGAGAAAGTTCTAATGGTGAAGTTTTCTTTCTATAGAAAATAGAAAAGTTATGGATAAGATTTGAGCATCGTTTTTATCTTTGAAATTTAACTCGTTTAAACTAATAACACCTCAAATCTAAGATTTATAAAGTTTATATTTGTACCTAAGAAGAATATTTATGATTTTGTAAGATTTCTAAACAGCTTTCTAGTCCACTATTTCTGCAAGTGTAGCCACTTTAATGAAGCAGTAATCAGATAAGCCATTAGAAGCACGTCTTCCATTCGGGAAGATGCTATTCGTTTTTCATAAGCGATGCTCGTACACGATAATCATTGTTATGGTGCAAAATTACAAGCGGATTTGGACAGGGTCAAATGTGTAATTTAGCCACCTCCCTCCCCCACTTAAACCGAACCGAAATATCATCAAATGTTATAAAAGCCTCAACCCCGATTTATCTTTTTTTTTTAAGGATGCTAAACGCGGCACGGAATTGGATTATGTAATTGCCCGCAAGAATCCGCTGTTTCAAAAACCAGTCTACCTCGAATTATGGGTAAGTAGTGGATGGAGTTGAAGCCGGAGTACCCCCTCTTAACCCAAATGGAGTTAATGATTTATGTTTTGAACTTTTCTGTCAAAAACAGGGTTCTCCACTGTTTGCCATAAGACAAAAAATCGTATCTTCCGAGACCACTGAGGGCACTGTCTTTCTCCTAGGACCTTTAGATTTTGAGAAGCAAGCCATGTACCATCTAACGATACTAGCCAATGTGAGTGATGTTTGTTTATGCTTAAAGTTAAAGGAAGATTATATTGTATATTAACCACAGGATGCTTATGCTGAGCCTGGTCAAGATAGTCGTAATATAGCGGGAATGGAGATTGTGGTTATCGTCCAGGATGTTCAGGATCAGCCGCCAGTGTTTACATCTGCTCCACCAGTTACCAAACTGCCACCGGGCATATTGCCAGGCGATAAGGTAAATCTTATCTAAATCTTATTTACATAATATTTATATAGCATAATATATGATTTTCTTAGATCCTACAAGTACATGCCGAGGATGGGGACAAGGGTAATCCCCGAGAGGTTCGCTATGGCCTGGTGTCCGAGAACAATCCGTTCACCTCGTTCTTCGATATCAACGAAACAAGCGGTAAGTAAAAGATCTAAGATCTATTCCTATGCGGAAGTATAGTTAATTTGCCAAGGCTAAAACATTTATCAACGCGATAACATAGTGTAATTCCTTATGCGTTAGCACAGACACCGCTAGTAAGAATGCTTATATAATAGTTAGTCTTAGCATCGTTTCACTGTAATAAAATAAGATAACATCTTCATGGGGACACTGATAGTGCATAGATAGTGGAAAATTTCAGCTTTCTGCCTGGCTCAGATACATCGCAGATTCCCATAGAGATGCAATTTTATGCTGGGGTATGAAAATCTTACGGCAAAGCTTTTGCAAATATAGTCGCAGGATGCAAGATGCGCATGGGCAGCGGACTTAAAAATATTGACCACAAGTAAAGCAAGCAAAATAAATTGGACGAAAATCAGAAACCACAATAACAACAACAACAACAACAACAACAGCAATAGCCACAAAACAACGTCAGGTAACCGATATTAACATAACTACCAGGTGGTGCAGCGGCGGTGGTGGTGGTGCAGCGGTGTTTCAGGAGGCAAGCAAGCAAGCAGGCAGGCAGGCAACACGGCAACCCGCTTTGTCGTCAGACTCGTTAGATAGAAACCCATCTTCACCCCGACTCCTTCTCCTCCAGCCGTTTGCCATCCAATTCCCGATTCCAGCCAACTTCCTCCGACGTCAACGGCAATACCCGTTCGTTGCGGCCAAGTTCTGTGCCGCAATTTGGCCCAAACCCAAACCCAAAGCCAAACCACCACATAGACTTCCTTGTTTCGTGCTAGTCTCGTCTCGTTGGCAGTAGCACTTTGATGACTTTGGCCGCTCTTGCCCCTCCATCGAATATAATGGCCAGGCTGTCTCCACCTTCACCTCCTCCTGCTCCTCCTGCTCCTCCTTCTCCGGCAACCTCTTCCAGTCAACCCACAATTTCTTCTTATTTTTCTTCTTTTTTTTTTTTTTTTGTTTAGCCATGTGCAGTGGGAAGCGCTTTTCGCGAACGGCCTTTGAGTGGCCTGGCTGCCATGAAGATTCACAGTTTACTGGCTCTTTCCAAATGAATTTCAAATTGGAATCCCTTTGGGGCAAAACAATTAACAGCGTTCTGGTCGATATTCCCACTGAGTGGATTTTATTAACAGGGCCTCTTCATTATTTCTTTTACCTATGAGTTTTAATATTTAACGGCTAGAAGCCATAAATAAACATTGTACTCATTTAAAACTAGTTAGCCGAAGCTGTTTAGTTATTCAAATTATGGGTGGCCAGGGGTTAATCAGCAAGTTCCTTGAGAAGAATAACTTAGCTTCGGCGCCGGGTAATCCACGAAAAGAAAAAAAAACTGCTTATGGGTGGGAAACTTTTCTCTTTGGGGCTGGACAGAATCTTTTTGCATATTACTCAACGGCCAACGGGAGAAAAAGTACAAGAAGACCATAAAAAGTGTTCAATAAAAAATTGGAAAGAAAACAAACCAAAAAAAAAAAACATAATCAACATGAAGTGAACTTGGCGTGGGAACTACCAACTTTCTGCACCATTTATCAGGTTTACTGATGACGGCTGGTTGCAAGCTAAGAAAAAAAAGATTGCTTCTGGGGCCGCAGGCAGAATCTAAGCACTTTACAGCTGCCTACCAGCTCGGAGTTTTTCCAGTACGCAAATCACCTTGGAATTAATGCAAAATAACAAAAAAAACAAGAGTAAAGTTCCCATAGTTGACCTTCATAAATGCCTTCAGATGTGAGTGATGGTTGGGAGTTTTAGTTACTGTTTAGGAAACGGCTTGCTGATTTGATCAGCTAAGTAGTATAAAAATAATCCACATTCTAGTTAATGTAAAGTACTTTTATGTTATATTTATTATAATTTTTTATATATTTTTAAACTCCCCCTAGAAACTTCCTTGAAAATCAATCAATGTTTTGTTTTATTTGCTTTGCAGGTGAGATCTTCTTGATGCGACCCCTCGAGGACATTGCCTTCATCACGCATGTGGGTGATCCGGTGCTGCTCACCGTAATTGCGGAAGAGGTTAAGGTGGGTCGTGACGAACCGCCCGCACTGGCCTCCACGGTCCAATTGGCGTTCTTTCTGCCCGATCGCACCAATTCGCCGCCGTACTTCGAGAACGATCAGTAAGTACCAGCAGGTTCCCATCGCAACAGCCGGGGGGTAAAACAAAAAAAAAAAAAACACAAAAAGGAAAAACCAAAACTTTGGCTAGGGCAAACCTGCTTAACAACTATAAGATCCCTGGTTCCCTGACTCCCTCGAATACTGCAATTTGGCGAAGTAGGAGTGATGTTGCTTATCCCAAAAACAAAACCCAAAAAAAGACACCAACACTGAGCTGGGGGACCAACACACAAACACAACAAATTTTAGCCGCGTCCATTAGCATAAAGTCCTAAAATTCTTGGCATAGAGTCAGCCACGATGACGATGGCGACAAGGCGACGACTTAGGAGACGTCTCTTAGAGACGACCAAGTCGAAGACGAGGACTATAAACTCTTCTGCTGAAATCAGCCGACTCCTCCTCTCCTCCAGCCTTCATTTATGCGCACTAACTTTGAACTCCGAGGAGTCCGTCCCAGCCGAATTCCCGACAAACTGGTAACAGCCAACTGCCAAGTCCAGCTGCAGTCAGAAAAATAGCGATCTTAAATCAGAAAAAAGTCTTTAAAGTGAAGAGAGGCCATTACTTAGAAACTTCTTGATTGATTTTTAGATTTTTCACAAAATCAGCTTCATTAAATATGTAAGTAAAAGGCTTAGCCTTGGCTTAAAACGATGTATACTTTGCACTTTAATATAGTTTTTGCTTACTGATCATAAAACTTCTTCAAACAAAAAGCTTAGCTATTGATTTCCCCTGAGAAAATACCTGACAGCCAGAATTGATGACCAGTTTTTTTGAGGACTGTAGAGTTAGCTTGTCGCACGCCTTTACAGCATTGTACAGGCGTTCACGAAGTTCTTTCCCCATGCTAATCTCTCGCTCACGACTTTCCTCCGATCTTCTCCGCCTATTTCCCCGCAGCTACGTCTCGAGGGTGGACGAGAACGCCCCACAAGGCACCGCACTGACGTTCGTTGATCCCTACGTGCCGCGGGTCTATGACGATGATACGGGCAAGAACGGCGTCTTCTCGCTGACGTTGCTCAACAACAACGGCACGTTCGAGATCAGTCCGAATGTGGCGGAACGGAGTGCCGGTTTCCTAATCCGGGTAAGGGATAACTCCATGTTGGACTACGAGCAGCGGCATTCGGTGCAGTTCCAAGTTCTGGCCCAGGAACTCGGTCCGGCAACTAATCTTTCGGCGCTGGTCAATGTTACGGTTTATATCAACGATGTGAATGACAATGCTCCGGTCTTTGAGCAGCCAGCTTATTCCGTAGAGCTTCCGGAGAACATGACGGCGGGTACAAAGGTCGTTCAAGTACTGGCCACTGATCCCGATTCCGGTTTGGGTGGTAAGGTGCGTTATACGGCCATTCTGGGTTATCTCAATACCTCTCTGAATCTGGATGCGGAGACGGGACTGATCACTGTCTCCACCAACAAACACGGCTTCGATCGGGAAGTTATGCCCGAATACCACCTCTACGTGGAGGCAAGGGACATGGATGGCGAGGGAAACCGGGCTCAAGTGCCATTAATAATCAAACTAATAGATGTCAACGATGAAATGCCCATCTTCGATAAGGATCTTTATGAGTTTATACTGACACACGACTTAATGGGCTTCACCACTACGGCAGTGATCCATGCGGAGGATAAGGACGCCACTGCTCCGAATAACGAAGTGCGCTACGAGATCATCAATGGGAACTATGACAATCAGTTTGTACTGGATAAGGTAACCGGTGAACTGACGGTCAGGGAGAAGATCAATCTGAGATCCAAGAAGAATGCCAAGACGAGAAGACGTCGGCAGACGGGTTCAGATGATGAGGATACGGATATATTTATCCTGACAGCCAGAGCCTACGATCTCGGAGTACCAGTTCGTTTCTCCACCACTACCATTCGTATTTATCCACCAGAAAGCCGAAAACGTACCGTAAAGTTTGTGGTGCCAGGACATAATCCAGATAAGGCCAAAACCGAGGAAACACTTTCAGCCCTGTCGGGTGGCAAGGTGTATATCCATAATATTCGTCCTATGAGACCCGACGAGCCGGGTGCCAAGGATATAGAAGCTAAAAATCCGGCTATTAAGGAACGTAGCGTGGTAACGGCCACAGTGATCTATGATAGCTCTTCGGTGGTGGATATATCGGAGATTCAACAAAGATTGTCCCATCACAACAACTCGTATGCCATCATGCCGACGGACTCCTCCGGCACAGATGTAAGTGGATCCTCGAGGATGGGGTTGCTTAATTGCCTTTAATAGACTCTCACTCCCTTGCAGACTCAGTACAAGGCCGAGAACAAGGTGCTCTTCTGGCTGCTTATCCTGCTGGCCACTCTGGTGGCATTGACTATCCTTATCCTGCTTCTCTGCTGCATCTGCTCCTGGTGTCCACTTTACGGGGCAGCAACGTAAGTACTAGAAGATAGTTTTAAACTTTAAATGGGTTGTTAAAAATGGATGAAAAGGGAATTTATCTTTTGACAAATATCATGGTATATATATTTTCCAAAATTTAATCTAATCAATCTTTCCATTCAGTGTGAAAATTACATAGTCACCCCATAGTATAAATTCCAACCTCTAAAAACTTTATCAGCAAAACTGATTTGTAGTTTCAAACTTTTATCAGTCGTTATAAAAGCTAAGATGAAAATGATGTAATTGTAAATACAGCAAATTTAAAGTGCCTAAAAACTCGTTAAAAATGAACATATAAAAAGTCTAACTGCTTAATAGTTATAATTATATTTATCCAAAGCTGACTTTCGAATGCCAAATTGGTTATGGGTGAGCCTGGCATGCATTTGCCTACCAAACTCCTATGTTTAGTGGTCAAAAATTTAACGATGACCATTAAATAACAAGACTATAAACACGCAATTGCATTTTCCGAATGCTGACATAAGTTTATTAACTAAGTCAAATGGAAATCACTTAACCAGAGACTAAGTAGTGGACTCCAATCCATATACTATTGGCTAAGAGATGTATAGAGTGGCCCACGAAAGGTTTGCGTTTTAAAATCGCTATAAAAATGTCAATATTTTTTAATTTACTTCGAGGTTAAACATCTTTCGTAAACCGCAAACAAAATGTAAAAGCTAAAATTATCGATAGTTAAAAAAGCAAACGCTACATGGGCCACCCTGTATATTTGGTGGAGTTGTACATATATTTTTGGGATAATTTAGTTTTAATCAACATACACATCATTCTATCTATGTATAATCTTTTATTTTTCTCTTGTAGCAAAAGAATAGTTAATATCAGTAGAACTGAAGACGATGTGCATCTAGTGCATAGGGAAATGGCAAATGGAAAACAAACAAAATCTGTTCAGGTAGATTTTGAACTTTTTCGAATCTCATTTGTAGTAGTAAATTGTAAAAGTAATGCAAATGCACTTATCAAATTCCAAATAAACAAAGCTCTCAATTTTTAAGTTTTTCATTTTTGATTTCCTTATCGACTACGAAAATTTTGTTTCACTTTACAAAAATTGCACAAACTCATAATGGATGCGGAAGACTTTCTAACTTCAAGTTACATTTCACAAGGCAGTTAATTTAAGTTTTGGTTTCCAATTTTCAAATATTTTTATTTTAAAAATCAACTGCTTAGTGAAATGTCTTCTTGATTCTATGCTTCATGTGCCTTACCAACACTTAGCTTAGGCTTAGTATTTAATCTAATCTTATATCTAATCTTGATTACTTGCCATCTTGCAGGTCGCCGAGTGGATGGGAAGACGCGATGCCTGGTCAGCGGAGAAACCTCCAGATACCCGAACGAAGCCCACCCGCTGGGAGTTCCACGATGGACGTGAACAGCTTGACGAAGACGTAGGAAGGGGCCAGGACATCGGCGAAGGACGACACATCCAATCCGCCGAAGAGCAGCAGCGACGTGTTCGCATAAAGTAGGTTAAACAGACCAGAAGAAAGGAAAACCAAACCTGATCTAATTTTTGTTTTTCAACTTTCCAGGCATAACCGCACAGCCAAAGACGATCTTCATCTTAATTTTCATAACTCTAGGACTAATCTGATCAACGACCGCGACGTATACATGGAGGATGTGATTGAAAACCGTGACCTGGCGGATGAGAGGGAGCATATTTCCAGGACGCGAGTGAACAGGCAGGAGTATGCCCGTAGGAAACAGTACGACTCGGAGGTGCGGCACATCGATGATGATTCCATGCGAAGGCATGAGATTGACCGAGGCAGTGACATCGACTTTAACACGGCTCACAATAGTCTGAAAAGCAAGCGAGAGCTGTTCATCAAGGATGGAAATGTGGAGATCCTTCAGCTGATGACCAGGGATAAGACTAGGGATGGCTTAAATCTGGACGATGACAATATCTATGTGAATGTCCCACTTAAACCGGCGGGTAATCTCTCCCATCCCCAGCTACTAATGGTTGATAACTCTGGGAAGGAGATCCTAATGCGTAGGTTTATAGAAGAGCAGCCGGATGGCAAGCAGATCATCAGGGAACACTATCAGATAGTTCCAGGCGCCACATATATCCAATCAATGCCCAATGAAGTTCAACAGGGATCGACCTTGAAGGGTGATACTTTCCCGTTGGGAAAATCGGGACCAAATAGCATAGTTTACTCTCAACTAGAACCAGAGGTGAAGGTCATCCACACACAGCCAGTGCAGGCAGGTGAAGGCGTCTCCTTGGAGCAACAGATGCAGCCAGCAGTTTCGAATCAGTCACTCACCCACGAACTGGAGAACTCACTTAAGCAGCAGAATGCCCTACTACGGCAGATTCTTATGGAGAAGGAGAAGCTGGAGAATGCCTACACCCAACACGAAGTGGCCTTGGAGACACAGAGTCTTCCAGGCCAGTCAATGGCCATAGGAACTCAGACGGATTGCGATGCTGGTACTCAGACAGAGGGATTTGATGGCGTCGTGGATCCAGAAATATCTCAGGCTAAACCCTCTCGACGGAGAGCTCGTAGCGAAAACGATGAGTCCATGTCGGAGGATGGATACGAGTACGTTCGGTTTAACCCACCAAACAGTCCCGAGGGTGTTTATTGGATCAAGCGAAGGAGGACGAAAAAACGGCCAAGACAGCCACGGAAACGTATTGTGATGGTGGAGGAGGTGAAACGCAAGATTCGGACGCCCATCAAGGAGGAGGAGGAAGTTCAGGAGAGGAAGAAGCGAGTGCCACCCAAGAAACCTCTGAGGGAGACCAAAACTAGCATCCTGCGCAAGCAGCTCAGTGACGAAAGTCGCAAGGACCAATCCCGAAATGGGGAAAGCCAAACTGGCAATCGCCATAGATCCGAATTGGACTCCCGAAACCACGAGATGCTCATGGAAATAACCGATTCCATGGACGAACTAGCCAGTCCGGGATCTCATAGCATCCGAAAGATTCAGGTCGAGAAGTACTACAAGCACTCGGATGCTGACTTCGATGAAGACGATACGGAGTACTCTATGGATTCAGATGGAGATGAGATTGTGATTCGAACCAATTACCCCAGTCGGAATCAGGGGAACGAGAGATACCGAAGGGAAGAGAAGATCTATGCGGAGCCAGAAGCCCAATCGGGACACAAAAGGCCTTCAAGAAAGCCTTCGCCTACGGATTCCCAGCCAGAAGCAATGCCCCGACTGTCACGACGCGATAGCTCCAAGAGAACATCCAGAAAACAAACCTCCTCTGAGCCACCACACAACCGAGTATCCATCTCCAAGTACGAGTCCACGGTTACCGAGAATGGTAGGAAGCTCATGTCCACCTCCACGGAAATAGTTGGCTCCAAGAGATCCCTGACGGATCGGAGTTATCAGAGTGAAACCGAGTTGGCTGGCCTCGAGCCTGAAGAACGTAATGTGCCCAAGTACATGGAGTGGTATTACAACAAGAAGAAGTCATCCGTTAGTGGACGCACGTCCACAGAGTCATCCAAGTCACAGCCATCAAGCAAGAAGAAGGTTGGAGCTGCGGAAAAACGAGTTTCCAAAACCAAAATTACAGTCCATCCCAAGGACTTGGAGGACGATGATGAGGTTGGGGGCAGATACAAACCGGAGCCGGCGCCAAGGAAGTCCCCACCGAAGGGTAGTAGGATGCTAAAGGAAGACCGAGCTTTGAACAAGCAGCACAAACCAAAAATCGAGACTGACACGAATCACCCACTCCTCCAGCATTCGGAGCATCGTTTTGAAAGGGAGAATGCCCTGGAGGTGCCGGCGGCGCCTACGAAGCTGCCTCATTACATGTATCCAGAGACGCCGCCACATGCAGCTGCCGCTAGTAAAGAATCCAAGTCCAGTAAAGAGTCAAAGCCCAAACCCAAGCCATCACCCATCCGGGAAAATGAAGTCAAAGTTTCCAATTCAAAGATCTACGTGGAGAGTCGTGGTACGGGGAATCCCCCACAAAAACAGCTGAATGCCTCGACCCTAGAAGATGATCATGATTCTGGAATAGCCATGAACTCACTGCTCAATAGCCTGGGACGTCGGAATCCCATTGCCGAGAAGAAGAGCGTCTTCTCCATAGCCTACGACGATGTTAGTCGGGTGAAGAAGATCAACTCGGGTGGCGAGTCACCGCAGTACTCGTAAGTGGAGGATCGATTCCCAAAACCCTACAAAAGGAACAATCATATGTGATAGCCTCAAAGGCTCCCTACCTGCGAATCATCGAACCAACACTATCTGCAATACTGTATAATATACACCAAAAGCCAGCAAACATGTTAATCCATATTCGTAGTCTACGGGATGTTGAGATTATAGAAATGTTCAACTCGTTTCCGTGCACCGAAATTACGTTAAGATCCGGATCGATTAGCCGCTTTCATTTTATCCATAAGCCGACAGATGTAGTTCAAAGTTTTATATATATTTAACGTTATACTATATAGTATATACTATATACTATATGTGGCAGCTTTCGGTTGAGAGAGAGATTACTTTTCTAGCCTTGTCACTCGAACGTATTCAACTCTATCCTATATGCTAAATATACCCGACTATGTATGACCAAAATTGTTAAGATTATTTATATACGAATAGTGTTTAATGGATCTGTGTACATACATATATACATACATACATACATTTGTAGCTATAGCCCACAAGTCATTACCAAGTGCTTTCCTAACCGAAACTTGTGCAAAGGTGTATGTACATAAGCTAATGTACATTTTGCAGTCGAATAAACAGATGCCTGCCATATTGAAAACACTTGCTAATAATATAAACTTTAAAATCGAAAGCAAGTTTTTGTAAATACTTTAAGTATAAGCTTATGCAAATAAATCAAATTAATCCCAAAATACTTTGTTTACATTTTCATTATGCGTAAGTTAGGAAATCAGGAAAGTTGATTTGAAAAACAAGCTGCCAACTTTTTTTTTCTACTTTTTTATGACTAATCATAGTTCATTTTTATGATAAGCATTAGTTAGCTGGGTTAAATTTTACAATTTTTTTTTTAACTTGATAAATATTAATCAGATGAAATGACATTTTTGTTATGTTTTTCAACGGGAAGTGACGTATTTCTTATTGATAAAATAACTATTATGATTCTGAGAAACTTATAGAATGATAGTTAGCACATTAAAATTCTTATTCTTAAAAATCAAAGTCTCTAATTGCGATCTCCAACATTATGTGCTTGAAATTACCAATCGACCATCAAGGGTTAATTTTAATGCGTTTTTATTCTTCACACCTCCTTCTCAGTAAATATTATTATAAGAGCTTAAAGGTGGAGAGCATAAGAAGTGCGTACAGCATTCACGCTTTCCATTTTGTAACATTTCTTTGGGTTTCTTTGGGTTTTAATCAGGGTTTAAAAAAAAACATATTTCAATTTAATGTTCACCACGAACACTCCGAAAGTGTTCCACTGTGCAGCGTCGAACATGTATGACCGAGAAGTTTTCGAACCGCAATGGGACGCCAAATAAACTCATTCTCTTTCGGTTTAGTTAAACAAATATTGTCGACAAAAGCGGTTGACTGTAAGTTGGATATACTTTTCAAGTGTAGCGTAAAGTTCTTAATAATTATTTAATTACAGACGATACTCGAATTGTCTATCAGTGTGAACTATTCAACAAAAGAGGAAAGATGTGCAAGTGTCTAGCCGGAAACGTAGCCTGCTGGTAAGTTCTATTAATAAGATAAGCATTATAAAATTCTGTAAAAATAAAAATTCTTGAGAGATGCTAGATGAAAGGGGGGTTCTCAAAGACATAATGTAAACTTCAATAAGAGTTACCCCTAGAAATAGCTCAAGAAGGCTTATAAATAGATCGGGATTCGTGAGTAAGACTGCGAAGAAGATAAGAATGTTTGCAACCACCTGATAGCTTCATTTCCCTCCCATTTACTTAAATGTGTGATTAATACACACAGCAAGTACTTTCAAGGGAGCTGTTTTCTTATATATATATTTATATGGCATATACTATTTATATACTGAATGGGCAGCGTAAGAAGAGAACAATGTAATTTTAAAGCGGAAGCAGAAGCGAAAACTGGAATCCCCTGTGCGAATTCTCTTATACATACTACACCGTATCACGAAATGAAAACAATGAGAGCAGGTAAACAAACCGCATGAGGAGAGTCTGTACCCAAATCCATATTCTACCTGAATGTATTTCCACTTTCGATGGCATATCAACTACATCTACATCATCATCATCACATACATACATTTGTACATCGCTTACTGACAGAATGAATTACTTAATTGTCCATGGTATATGGCATCATCCATACGCATATCTGCTGCGAGAATATATAAGTACATGGCATGCAACATGGAATCCGCAGAAGACTACTTATTATTATTCCAGCTCACGCTTCCTAAGGCACTAATTTATATATATATATATATATATGAACAAATATATATTTATATTCGCGCACAGTGGCCACAATTGGAAGCCCGCGTATTTGCGTATCTATAAGATACAAACAAACAAAATGCGGTCATAGTACGCTGTCTCTGTGCGTCGTAGTAGTTTTTTCTATTTGGTATTCGTTTGTATGTACCATCTGGCTCCAGAAAGTCCTGGCTCCATCGAGGCGCGACGAATGTATTTCTTAACTACATAAACATATCTACCCCCAGTTATCTCCATATCCCCGCCCTCAACGTTTTGGCCAAACAACCGGCAGCTTGTCGCCGGTTTCGCATTTCCGTTGGTATGCCATAGCTCTTGGCCCTCAAGTAGTAGTAGTTGGCTAACACGCTGCCGGGGTGGAAATTTAATTTACAAATACCATTTGGGGTGCATTTTTATTGGGCAACTTTTCATGCGTAATTAACTAGCAAGTATTGCATCATTTTTATGAAGAGCAGAAGAGTTTTCATTTCAACTAATGAGGGCAATTATGTATAAGGGCGATGAACATCACAAAATGAATAAAACATTAGCAAACAGTTTATAATTCTAGGAACTATAAATATGAAAAACATGTTGACAATGAGATCACCATATTAACTAATAATCGTTAAATAATTTGGCAAAAAAAAAATATACATTTTCTTATATTTTCAGCTGCTTCAACTGTGCGCTCAGTGTACTTATTTCCATAATCAGTACTTTTCTGGTGGTCATCATTGTGGTCGGATTGGCCGTATACTTTATCTACTACTACGAAAAGGAGGATGATGTTACCAAGTTCGCAAATGGGGTGTCCGATACCGTCAGCTCGAGTTTTGACAAAATCAAGGATACACTAAGCAAACATACTTAACTTTGGTAAGTTACAATTACCTCCTATGCAAAGGTGTATATATATATATCTGAAGTTTAAATCAATTATATTTTCAGATAAATTAACATCCAAAAATGTTCCAAGCTTTGCATGATTCCATTGATCCAGATTAATTGCCACCAATTTACACAAACAAATACCGCCGGAGCCTTTTGAATGGAGGATAATTGTTAAATATTTTAAATACCAGTACAAATAAATATTACAACACCCTCTTATTATTATTGTGAATCTCCAACGAACAGAATGTTTCATCGCAAAACGATTTTATAATTAAATATTTATGATGTTTGAATACAAAAGGGAAATGGTTTTTAAAAAATATATTTACAAAATAAAGGGGTTTACTTAGGAGCTGCTGTAGCTTCTTTAAAATTTAAGTTTAGATCGGAAAAAATATATCTTTTATTTTTTATAGAAAGTATTTATTTCTATTTACAGAGATTTGTACTTTCAAACATTTTTTAATGATTCATTTGATAAGGAAATCCCAGTAAAAAAATCTTTGCTGGGGTCTTTTGCTGGAAAATATGTGTATAACTTTAAATAAAATCAAAACGAAAACTATTTTTTGAGTCTTCTTTTAGTAATGCAAAAAACCGAAAAAATGAGTAACTAAGTTAATTCTGACGGATAGGGAAAATCTAAATAAGTATTTTATTTCTATTTATTTGGGATATTATCAATCTCGGTAGAGAACAACTTTTGAATTACTAGAAACGACGCCGATTTATGAAGTTATGTTGACGAGCCCGGAAACACAAAATAAAGACTGTTAATCCGATAAGCACATATAATATTTCTTATATTTCTATGTTCTAGATTTAGACAGCTTACAACCGGAATCGTTTGATAATCTCCTTGGGAACAACATGTGTTTTTTTAATTGATTTCTCTTAAAAGCAGCATAATTCCTATTTTCAGCCAAAGTTTAAATGAAGCTAATTTTAAGCTAAAAATATTTTTTAAGTCAATTTTAAATACAGTTTACTATTTACTAAGATAAATGTTAATTTCTTTTAAACTTTAAAAAAATCTAGAGATTATCGGAAATATTTATTAATTTATAATAGCTCCTGACCAAAATTGTAATAACCATTTTCAAGGTTTTCCTTTAAAAGAGTTCAATATTTACAAAAGGCCACTGTCCGAATACATTTATTTAACTTCAAATTTGCATAAATCTGAATCTCTTCACTTTCTTTTATACTGTTGGCACTCCGAAAGGTGTCCCTCCGCCCAACGGCCAATGACCAATAAAATCGATATATTCAGAACCATTTTGGAGCCATCGACTCGATGAACTTCTACCAGGCTCTCATAAAGTTCAGAAGTGCTGCCAATCGTTCGACAACTTCGATTGGATCCAAATCAGCCCCTTCATTGCTCCGAAATGAAAACCCAACATACGGCAAACGGGAGTGGGAAATCCAACATGGTGGAGCGGTTAAAACTCAACACTCAGGCCCCAGAGTCAGGGGAAATGGCAGCGCATCACAATATGAAAGACAACTTTTTGAAAGTCTGGTAACGTTAAAAATAAAACGGTCAATTTGGAGTTTGTAGAATAAAACCACAAATTAAAAATAATCTCTTTAATTTTTAAATTTTGAGTGTGGCCGATTAAATGGAATGCAATATTCCGAAACTACAAAGGCGCTTTAAAATACGCTTCATTATAAGCAAATATAAACAATCCATGAAATGAATAGATCTGAAGTATCTCTCCAAGACGATTATGAACACCCAGATCCTTTAGAGTATATATTGGAGTCGGTTTTAATGCCTAGTGATGAAAGTTTAGAATATAAACTTTTGGCAGATGATTACAACTCCGTTCTCCTCAACCAATGTCACTGCAGTGGAGTCTGTGAAGACAGCAAAATCTGTCCACATGGAGGACAATATGACTGTTCAGATGGGAACGATGTACTTCTTAGGAAAACATCACTTCCCGTCCTTGAGTGCAATGATCTATGCACATGCAGCAGGAACACCTGCTGCAATCGACTCGCGCAGTACGGACCAAGAAAAAATCTGGAAATATTCGATTCCCCAGTATTTGGATCCAAAGGTCTACGAACTACAGTAGGCATTTCAAAGGGCGGCTACATATGCGAATATGCCGGAGAACTTCTAACCCCATCAGAGGCAAAAAAACGTTTGCTTTATAATGAAGAAAACGGCCTTATGAACTACATCCTAGTTCTAAATGAATACGCCAGCGAAAAGAAGCAACAGGTGACCATCGTTGATCCTTCTAGACGTGGGAACATAGGCCGCTACCTCAACCACAGCTGCGAGCCCAACTGCTACATAGCAGCAGTACGAATAGACTGTCCTATACCAAAAATAGGTAACTTTTATTGTTGGTTTTACTCCGATTTCTGGAGTTAATGTCTCTTGTCTTCCTAGGTATTTTCGCAGCCCGGGATATTTTGGCCCAGGAGGAGTTGTGCTTTCATTATGGCGGAGAGGGGCAGTTAGATAACTTAGTAGATGGAAAGCCTTGCCTTTGCGCTTCTTCTAAATGCACGGGATTCATGCCAAGTACTGAAATTGAATGATAAATAAATTCATATTGGTTTATAAGTTTAAGGAAAATTGATGTTCATGCCTCTTATAGTTTATTTTGTAGTTGGTTTTCCAGCGGCGGCAGCTTTTCCTGAATCCACTGCTGAAGATCCGTAAGGGAGGAGGTTTTCAGTTCGTGCAGGGTGTTCCTCAGCGGATGGAATGTTCCCTTGACTCCCAATTTTTTCAGATTTTCGAAGGTCTCCTTCCCCCATTCTGGTGGTACTAGCGTATCCCGTTCCCCATGGAACATTCGCAGCTCGGGAAGGGAATCTGCTTTCCTACTCTCCAGGGATTCGTAGACAACAGAGCCGCGATTCAGGAACGAGGAATGTGCGAATACGCCTGCCAAGCTGGGCCTCAAATGGTAGCCCGTATGCAGAGCAACAGCACCGCCCATTGAGAAACCGCCAACGATGATCCTGTTCAGCGGGATTCCACCGGACACTTCCTCGTCGATCAGCTGATTGATTGCCTCATAGCACTGGGACAAGCTCCTCTTGCTTTCCGTAGCGGCAATGCTTACGGATTTGCGGTCGAACCAAACATTAGATAGCTCCCCGTCCAGCGGAGTGTACTTTTGTTTCGGGGCCGTGGGATATAGGATCTTTATGTGCGGGTACTCCAAATCCCGGCCGAGCAGGAAACGCACCCATTCCAGAACATTGGGTCCGGTGTCGCCGGATCCATGGAAGAATATCACGGAGGCTGTGTGTTTTCCTGTGGCATTAACAGTCTTTAAGGCAGGTTTCATCTTCAATTAACCTTTGATTGATATAAAATATATTGCACGATAGGAATCTCAAAGGGCAGTAATGTGGCCAGCCAATATTATCCGACAACAGCTGATAGCTGATAGGCCGTGGTATTTTAAAAAGTTAACACACTTTGTTTTTTTTTTTAATATACAGCCTACGGTCACACCAATTGAAGTCTAAAATAAACTTAAAAGCAGTAAAATCAATGAAATAAGTGGAAAAAAAACGTGAGTACCCTCTAAATAATCGATTTGTGGCCACTTCAAACGAAATGCGCACAAATTTCCAAGTAGCAAGTCTTACTTAACTGAATTTTCCACAAAACATGACGCATCTGCGGCTCCATGACTACGCCTTTCCATTTGTGCCGGACCACACACACACACTTACTAATCGACGCCAACACAACCACACGCAGAGTGTGAACAAACGGAGAAACAGAAAGAAACACAGAGGAGCAGCAATTGGGCAACACAACATGGCAAATCTTCTGGAGAACCAACTGTTCACGGCGGCAAAGACCATCGAGCAGCAGCTTGACCAGCAGCTAGACCGCCTGGACAACCTAGACTCGGATGATTTAAAGGCTTTGAGGGAACAGCGCCTTCGCGAGATGAAGGACCTGAATAACAAGAAGCAGGAGTGGCTAAGAAACGTAGGTTGTTTTCTTATTAATAGTCTTATTAATACGTTTTTAAAATCAAAATATCCCTAATGACGTTTAATAATTGCGAAGGAGCTTTTTAAATTTTCGTGTTTCAAAAATCTTATGCACCATAAAACCAAAGCTTAACTTTAAACTTAAGATAATTTTAAACTTAACATTTTTTAGGAAATGAAATTCAATATCAAATTCGATTCACTAATATCTAATCTATATTTTAGGGCCATGGTACATACACCGAGCTGGCCGACGAGAAGGAGTTCTTTGAGATGTCGAAAAAGTCACCCAACATTGTGTGCCACTTCTACCGTGACAGCACAGAGCGCTGCAAGATCGTGGACATGCATCTGAAAATCCTGGCCACAAAGCACGTGGAGGCTAAGTTCTGCAAGGTAAACGCCGAGAAAACACCTTTCCTTACCCAGCGACTGCGCATCAAGGTGATACCCACAATCGCACTAGTGAAGGACAGCAAGACCAAGGACTTTATTGTTGGATTCACTGATCTGGGCAACTGCGACGATTTCGCCACAGAGATGCTGGAGTGGCGCATCGCCCACTCGGGAGCCATTGATTACAAGGGCGACCTGATGCAACCACCAGATGTGAAACGCAAACCATTCATAAACCGCCCACAGAAGACAATACGCGGCGGCTACGATTCAGATGACTCCGATATCGATCTGGATGACTAACTACGGGCAGCCCATCCCACACTCTCGATTCCCCCAGCTCCAGTTCCACACTCCCACACAAAACTCACTCAAAAGCGATGGAGAAACGAAAACAGATACACAAATCAAAACCTAGCACATGGATTTAAACCAATTAGGCGTACTTTAGCGTTATTTATTTAATTATACGATTCCGATCACTCTGCTACGGTCCCCATCGCCACATAGTATAAGTGGCCCCATCGCCACCTAGTATAAGTGGCTAATTCGGTTGCCTTTTCCCCCCCGATTATGTGCTTTAATATCTAATATCTATCAGTTCAATCAGCCGCCTCGACGGCTGAGCCAATCTAGCGAGCTTAAGCGTATTCAAAATTTGATCTTTATGGTATTTGCAATTCCAAATCAATGTGCACCTCTCAAGTATATATGTTTGATTAAACATAGTTTTACAAGTCGGAAACGTTATATGTAAAACAAAAAAACAAACACAGCATAAAAGACAAGCAAAAAAGCATCTGGCATATATATATTTCTAACATTTCGATAAAAAAAAAGGTGTACTGCATTTCCTACAGTAGAGGTAACTAACACTTACATATGTACAAGTTTTTTATATTTATTTTTGTAATTCTACAAAGCATCAAAGGAAATCAACTATTAAATTGCATGTTCAAAACAAAGCAAACGTACTTAATTACAAATGTCTTCGTAATTGGGTTTGAAGATAAATGGATTTCACAGTGGTTTTTATTTCAGATCGTATTCTTGGTCAGTTTTTTAGATTATTAGCCCATAAACTGGCTTTGAGTAAAGATCAATTAGTTATAGGAATAGTATATTCTATATGCCCCTTTTAAATGAAATCTAAATAATTGCTCAAGTCTTGCAGTATTAGCATAACCAATACTTTCTAGAAACGAGTTTTTGAGGACTTTTTTACTATGGGCATTGATCGATACTTAAGAATGAACGGTTATTGTTATATATAAACGGAAACAAAATTAATTAATTTAAAAATAGTCAACTTTTTTAAAGTTTTAGTTTTCAAAAGGTACTGCGCAGTTCACTTAGTGCTTGTATATCTCTGAACAGCTGATCCTGAGATTTGAAATTCCTCCCTTAAAACAAGGGCTGGCAACCCTGCCAAAGGCGAATAACGGAATGGCCGCCAATAACAAAAAGGGACGCCAACTGAAGGTATTTACCTGAAATGACGCCGTAATCCTGTTTAATTGCAGCTTGCTCGCCATAAAAGTAAGGTCCCAGACTAACGACAAAATCGGTACAAAAACTTTTACCTGCGAGGTGCATAAAACCCTTGATAGAGACTTAAAATTCTAGCATTAAGATTGTGAAACTCGAAGTGAAAACAACATACCAAAATGGTTCTGGCTCCAGAAGTAAGAAGTATTGTAAAGGCACTAAAGGGTTCCAATAGCTGCGAGGAGATAGCGCAGATCCTAGAGTGCGACGTGGAGAGCGTGGTGAGCTGCATCAGGGAGTGTGAACTGCTCGAAGGAAAGACAGCCACATTGAGATTGCCACAAAAACAAAAAACAACAAAATTAACAGTGCCTGTGAGTGTTCAAGAGGAAGATAAGAAACGCGACGTAGGCAGACCGAAGGTCCTGGAAAACCGCAAACTTGTCGAACAGATGCTAAGTAATAATCCGCACTTCACCTCAATCGATGTCCAGCGGGAGCTAGCCAGCCATGGTATAGAGATCAGTCGCAGGACATTACAGCGCAGGATCAGCGAGATTCGTTCTAAGAACACACAACAACGAAGTGGATCAACGTCCCCAAAAAAATATGACACTCTTGTCCTCAGCGAAGAGGCCAAAATGAAAAGATTGGCCTGGGCCACCGCTCATCAGGATTGGACAGTCCGTGACTGGCGTAACATTTTCAATATGGACGATCTTAAGTTCGTGGACGAATCGTCACCGCCAAAAGAGATATTTCTAGACTCTCTGATGGGTCCCGAGGTCACCGTCTGCAGTGACCTTAATCTTCTTGAGCAATTAATGGCCATTATCCAGCCAAGAATCCAGAATCAAGCACCCAAGAATGTCAGCGAGTTCCGTGCTGTATTGTATGATGTTTGGCACAGCGACCAAGAGTTGGTGGACAAGATCGAGATGCTCTATGAGTCGATGACCTGGCGGGTTTTGGCAGTTCTCCGTAATGGTGGAGATCGGACCGAATTCTGCTAGCTTAGCTATAGATTTTTGTATCGTACAGTGATTTATGAATGTTGAATTAAGAATGACTGCATTCATCATCAAGTTTGATAACTTTATTATGTTTTTGGTGGCCATATGATGTACATGGTACACTGTGATTAGGAATAAGTACTTCATTTCATTTCACACCAAAATAAAATTTATAATAAAATTAATATTTACGATATTTTAGTGGTTTACATTTGGAAATATTTGGGATTTAAAATCGAAAACAAATGATATTAAAACGATTATTTTCTTAATTAGGAACTAGTTCAGATTTTTGCTATAACCATTACAAATATTCATAATATTATTTATCTCCATTTAACTAAAATTGTTGATTAGTTTTCATCTTGAATTGTTTTTGGTTTCGCCGAACACGACCACAGATATTGCATCAGAACAGCAATAAAATAAACCACTCCTATAATTATAAAATAGAAGGCGTAGACTGTAAACTGCTGAAAAACGTCTAGGTTAAGATTGACTTTCTCCGAGACAACAACAAACGTCAAGATGCACTGTAGGATAAGACCCACAAATGTGTTGAAACCGAAAACCAGGGCGAAACTGTCTTCTATTAAACTACTGGCCAATTCCGAACTAAAATGGATTCACAGATTTTCTAATATCTATTGAATATAATGTGTAGGGTAATTTACCTGGCCACCGTTATAGAAAAAGCGAATAAACCTCCATAAAGCACATAACCGAGGTAGGATAGGTATATATTTTCGGTCCAGCAAGAAAGAAGTATGCAACAACCTTCAAGTATCGATAGCAGAGCCATCGAGAGCAGGCTGCTCCTGGTCTTCAAACGTCCAGCATGGAAGTATCCGGCGAGGAGGGCGAAGACTGCACTCAGAAGCGTCAGGGCAACGTCCACAGCTCCATTCCAAGCAATCTTTAAAGTAAAGTTCAAGGGTTTTATTTTAAATCTGGGCATAAAGCTTGCATTGCTGTTTACCGTTGGTTCATTTTCAAAGGACTTCCAAACCACCTGCATATAGGTTGTGATTTGTAGAAATCCGGACAGACATATAGCATACCATAAACTCCATTGTATAACCAAGGGATTGGTATAGGCACTACGGAAATGCGACCACAGAAGCTGCCACGGTTTGATTTTCTTACTTGGACTTGGCGTTGTTTTTGGTTCCGCTTCATTTGGATTGTTTTGTGAACCCTTCTCCAAGCCTCTATCATCTGATTTGCTTTCATCTTGTATGGCTTCAGTTCGATTATGGAAGTACAAACTCTTTTCCACCTTCGGCAAACCGAAGGCCCAAACTAGCGCCACAACTTGAGCTGTGGGAAAATGGGTTCAGTAATTAACTGAATTGCTAATCTCTGAGATTAGTGGGAACTCACTGCCCGCGGAGATGTAAAACAGTTGCTTGTAGTTCATCCATCGCATTCCGATCACCAGTTGGGCGAGGAGTCCAGCTACCAATTTACCAATAAACATTGCTGCCCGGGTATGTGAAGTCACCCTAGGATAGTATTGTTTATCCACCTTAGCGTAGATGTACGAATAGTAGGCCACCTCGCCCGCCTGGTAAAAGCCATAGAACACCTCCACCGTCTGAAGGCCTCTCAAAGTAGTAGTCCATATCAAAGTTCCCCAGATACAGATTCCCGTAATAGCATTTGCTATGATCACGGGCTTGTATCTGCAAACATAAGGCTATTTTGGCCAATAAAGATTGTATTTATGGTAGTATACCTCAGTAAGTCCGTTATAAGGAAGACAAAGATTAAAAGTGCCAGGTAGGAGTAGGTGCCCACCGGGTAGACAGATCGGTTGACCTCGTCCTGCGTTACATGATACCATTCGCCCATCAGGATCTCCGCGTGATAGGGCTCTGAAGGCTTTAATTCCCGAAGGAATCCGAATATGCAGAGCACACACGATATCTTTAGCCAAGACTCCATCCCGTCACGGCTGTTGGCTTAAGTCTAATCGCAATATTTACCCCAACCAACGACCGAGCAATGGCTATATGTGTGTCTGGCAGCGTGGAGCTTCGACCAGCTATTATAATAATTGCACATTCTTCCGAGGGGTTAGCAGGCTAGCCCCGAGTATAGAGATTTACCTTCGACGTTTGTAATCAGCGCTAGCCCATTCGCGATTTACGATCCAAGTACTCTCCGACTTTCTGATGACGAGCGCTGCGGAGAAGTGCTGGGAAATCAGGGAAGTTTCCGCTTACACATGGTCACGATCTCGATTCAGATACTCTCTACCAATGGGGTTCCCAAGTTGGCCATACAAATTATCAACTAATTAGGCTATTAACAAGGCACTAAAGTGTATCTTGCAGTGAACTTCTCAGCGAGTCTTAAAATCTCGATTTGTTTATTAATGTTTTCTTTGCAATCTATTAATGCAAAATATCAACACTGATAAGTTAATAATCAACGATAGCTGATTTATAAATTGAAACGAAACGGTTCCGGGTTGATTATCAACTGTGAAGGGAATTCCATTCATAAAAATGTTGCTTTGTTGTTTTTGCGTGCAAGAATTTCAGTTTTAATATTTTTTAAATCAAACTTAACCGAATATTGACCTCTAGTAGTTGCAAACATTTGTGGAAGTTTACATGACAAATACCATAAATAATAATCAAAAGTTATCAGGACTAATCGTCCATAATGCCACCATATAAATTAAACGCCTTTAACTTTGGTAATCGTCTATTAGTGAAGGAGTGATTCTATCAAAACTAGGTATCTTTATTTCGTACCACTTGAGACTGATTGTGCGCTCTATAATTGGAAATCTGCCCTAAATAATAATAACACCGCAGAAGATTGCAGTTTAATCGATGGCTTAACTATTCCGGGAATACAATCGCAAGAATACCATCAAATAGTATTTCATCCATAGGAACATGTCCTTCTTAAGTAACAGTTGTGCTTGGCAACCGGCGACTTTAAGTACATTGTAAATGCTTCGGGAATCAATCCAGAGAATTTTCCAGCTTCTCGCTGTTGGTGCCGCGGAACGCCATGCACTCAACCAGCACGGATATAAGGTACAGCACACCGACGCCAATAAAGTAGAATGCATATGCCGTGTACTGTCCCACGGGATCAAGCTCAAAGCCCGTTTTGGTGACAAACATCATGGTTAAGAGCGACTGGAAAAGGAGGGCCACAAATGTATTCACACCAAAGACCAATCCGAAGCTTTCCTCCTGCAGATTTCGGGCCACCTCAGCACTAAAAATATTAAAATGCAGTTAAAATGTGGTCTACTCTTCTAGGTCAAACTGCTTACCTGGCCACCGTGATGGTGAAGCCGTAAAGGGCACCGAAGAGTACGAATCCAGCATAGGACCAGTAGATATCTTTTGTCCAGCAGCAGATAAGAACACAACCTCCCTCCACGGCGGACAAAAAGGCCAGGATTAGGAGAGATGTTCGCGGTTTAAGACGACCAGTATGCAAGTATCCAGCGCCCAAAGCACTCAAAGCAGCCAGTGCTGTCAATACTGCGTCCACTGCTCCGTTCCAGGCTATAAGCGGTTTTGGTTCGATCACTTTCCACAGAACCTGTACGTAGGAAATGACCTGCAGGTAACCAGCCAGTCCAATGGCATACCACAGACTCCATTGAACTACTCGTGGATTGGTGTATGCGTTTCGGAAGTGAAGCCACAGAAGACCCACTGCCCCTGGTTGTCTTGCATTACGCTCTGGCTGCTGTTCCTCCACCTCCAGGTTGCCTTCGCCGGGTAATTGGGTATGCGAATCCGCTACGGGTAACTGCTGACGATGAAAGTAAAGGCTTCTGTCCACGCGAGGCAAGCCGAAGGCCCAAAGCATGGCTATTATTTGAGCTGTGAAAAAATATTTTTAAATTTAGTTTTCCTGCCATTATATCAAGATACGCATCAAACTTACTGCCCAGCGTTATATAGTTAAGCTCTTTATAATTCATCAGCTCCAGATAGAGCATGAGTTGAGAAGTGATCCCGGAAACCAGTTTGCCTGCAAACATGGCTGCTCGGGTGTGTGAGGTTACTCTGGGGTAGTACTTCTTGTCCACTTTGGCATAGATGTAGGTATAGTAGGCCACTTCGGCGGCCATATAAGTGCCGTAGAAGAACTCTAGGATCTGCAGCGACACCAGACTGGTCGTCCAAATGAGCATGCTCCATATTATCACACCAGTTGCTCCAATAGTAATGATCAGGGGTTTGTACCTAATTCGATAAGTTAAAATTAATATATTTAATAAGTATTTAGTGATGTAAGGTAATGAATTTTCCAAAACTTTCTAGACTCACTATCTAACCAAATTATAATATTTGAAGGACTGTTCCAGTATTAGCTTTGTCATATATTTTATGATTGCTTATCATTGCGACTGGTTTTACATTACAAATACGTTTTGCTGCCTCATTAAAATTTTTGGCAAATAAAGTCAAAAGTTTGACTTTGTAGAAGGTTAAATTGCAATCACAATTATTTATGACTCGATTACATTTTTTGTTAAAGTTATTTGCAAATGCAATTTTATGATTAAACTCGCATGTCATTAAAGAAATACATTTTCTTTTAATTTGAAATGAAAACTACTGAAACATGCTTTCAAATAATGATGATCAACACACCCCTATAATTACCTCAAAAAATCTGTTATAAGGAAAACAAAGACCAACTGCACCAGATAGGAATATGTTCCAACTGGATAAACCTCTTGCGTTAGCTGGAATAAAAACAAAGTCATATTATATAGAACGGATAATTAGTAGACCTTCACTAACCTGCTCATACGAAATATTTCGCCATGGACCCAGCAGATACTCCGTGACGTAAGGTTCAGACGGACGGATCTCACGGATAAAGCCGAAGACGCAAAGGAGACAGGAAATCTTCAACCATTCCTTCATCTTCGTAATTGTATAACGGCCACTGACGTAATGCCTAACGTAACGCTCTTACGTAGAACGTTGAAATCAAGTGCGGTTAGCTGGGTTTCTGCATCTGGACAGGTGGAGCTCAATATATTGTCTAGAATCACGGGCAATCTGGTGTATCAGGCCATGGTCGTTGCCGTTGTCGTGGGCTCAATCTAATCTTTGGACTACGCGTATCCCAAATTATCACTTCGAAGTGCCAGCCTTGTTATATTTACACAGAAATCGCTGTTAGATAATTGCGAATTTATAATGCGGGCTATGACACCTTGTGTTTTTATTTTGAAAGTCACAGGTGGGTCAGTTAGAAAGTTCTCCAGACACCCTACACACGTGTTGAGCACTTAAAACCGAATGATCGCTTTTCCAATCCATTCGCTGTTATCGATTTGTCGCCAGCACAACACTTTTAGTTTCATAAACATTTATTCTACCTTATATGGCCGCGACAATTAAAATCATAAAATCGAGCCATAAATAAATTCGATTTCATGTTTTTGCGTTGCCGGCCGTTACGTCACGGCAACAACAACTGCGACGCAGCATCTGTTCGCAAAACGAAAACAACGCAATGGTTGGCAACGCCACTCAGCTGTTCTCACCTGGTAGCTATATTACACTCATGCTCAAAGCAATAGTGACAAAGTTTATATTTTAGTTTTTAATAAATTTATTTTAATTATTTTTTTAAAAATAACTACTTTTGAAAGAATTTTATGCTAAACAATAAAATTTTAAAACATCATGTTATTGTAAAAAACACACGTTTATTTAGCGCGCTCAGTTTAAAATTAGTTATGTGTTCAATGTGTTACAGAGTATTCGGTATTCGGTATTTTGTATAAATTAACAAACAAATTTAGAGGCAAAACATTAGCTATTTACACCAACAGAGGGGCACACATGTATAATTTAGGGGGAGAGGGAGTTGATTTGACTGATTTGACTGACTACGAGCTAAAATTGGCCACATTTTTGCGGAAAGTTAGAAAGTACACGTAGAAAAATTCTTAACAGCAACGAGACACTGAGGTTTTCGGCTTTTCCGCTCTTCCGTTCTGATGTTTGGTTGATCTTGGGAAGGGGTGTGGGAGGTTGTTCTCCACGGTTTCCACTCACTGCTGGGCAATGGGTGCCGAGGTGGGCGTGGCAACGGGCGGGGTGGAGGTAGCCGGATCGGCGCTCACGAACTCAATGGACGCGGAATTGATGCAGTAGCGCTTGCGGGTGGGTTTTGGGCCATCCTCGAAGACGTGGCCCATGTGAGCGTTGCAGCGGGCACAGCGGACCTCGGTGCGTATGCGTTCTGGATGTGCGATTAGTAGTAAAATATTGCCCCCTATTTAGTTTGTATTTTGCCATTTTGTGGGATTAATTGGATATTGGTTGTTTTTTTTTTTAGGTTTTTCATTTTGCGGCGCATTTGATTTACAATTTGTTTTTGTTTTTACAATATTTTTGATTTTTTTTTTCGGATCGTTTTGCAAGGTTAATTCAAACGTTTTTGTTGTAAACAAATCATACAGAAATAGAAAATTGATTGCAAAATGGGTGAAAAATGAAAAGCAGTGGAAAGAAGAACACAGAAAGAGCGAAGATATAACGGCAAATAAATGGGAGTGCAAATCAGAGAGCGAAGAACAAGGCGAAAGAGGAGGTGCAGCAAAGAGAGAGAGCGATAAATAACAATGGATGGCGGCAGTTGGAAAATATTTATGAAATGAAATCACATAAATGATGATTCAGAAATAATGATCGATTTTCGAGTGATTTGGCGTACATATAATATTTCGGTTAATTAAGCATTTCATGTGTCATGGTTTTTTGAGTGTTACAATTTCAGCAATGAGTTGTTAAGTGTTTTGTTTTGTGTTTTTTGTTAGCAAAACAAACCCCCAAATAATGTTTACATATAGTTTTTGTTTTGTTTTTTTTTTTTGTTTTGGAAGCGAGTTAAAAAAAGAGAAATAGAAAATATACGAAAATACACATTATTCGGTTTGCTTAAAACACTCTATATAGTTTATGGGCATAATGTTGGTTAGGGTATTCGAGTTATGTTATCCAAAAAATCATTTAGCATGAGTATAGAAGCAAAAACATAAAAATTATAAACAAAATCATAAATATAACCAAATTACAACACCGGCAAATAAAATACAGATGCGAAAATATTTAAAAATAAAAGCACAACACACATACATACATACACTGGCCGGAAAATACAGCCAGAAGACCTTGGAAAATGATCGAAAATGGAAGTATGAAAAAAGCTCAAATGTTTCCCATTTTTTTTGTGGACTTAAAACCGAAATTATAGATGAAAAATTACATTTAAGCGAAATACAAATTAAAAACCAAATATAGAAACCCTACAAGCTGATCCTTAATACATTTTTGTAACCTTGCGCAAACATAAATTCTTGTTAAACATGTAAACTGCTACGAAGTATGTTAAGTTTTGTTTATTAACATATAATAATTCCTCATATTACGATGGTGAATGCCAAAGAAGAAGACAGTTTAGAGAAGTAGAGTTGGTTCTATAGAAGTGAAAGATGAGAGTAAACCGAAAAAGAGTGCATAAACTGAAAGAATCATTATTCCTTTTACAAAACTTTCATAAACTTGTACAAAATTCCTAAATATTCCACCATCCGACAGTATATAATATATATATATATTGGGGATTTGAAACCGAAACAGAGTAGACTTAGAGATGAAAAAGTGAAAGAAAAGTTAGGTAAATGGGATCTTGGACTGATCTATAATACTATTCTCTCACTCCTCGTTCCGTAATACATTTCCAAACATCGTTCAAGCTTTGTTTTGTTTTTTTGTGTTTCTAAACATTTTTGCATAATAAACTCCTATAAAATAGCCAAATATCATTTTGTGTGAGGCATTAAGCTCCTTAGAGACCCGCTGAGAAGTGCTATTTGGATCAATGTGTTAGAGTATTTCTCCCAGGTCTATATAGGGCATCTCCTCCATCTCCTCCAGATGTAATACTTCCATATTGTTGCAGGCAGATATCGGTCATTATTTCTTGGACGAGGCCGTTGGTGGATCAGCCTTCGATGGCGTCGCACTCTTCACGAAATCAATGGACGCGGAGTTGATGCAGAAGCGGCGATGCTTGGGCGGCGGTCCATCATCGAAGACGTGGCCCATGTGGGCGGAGCATCGGGAGCATCGCACCTCGGTGCGCACCATGCCTAGCGTTTTCGAAATGACTACTGTTGGTTTAATCGGTTTAACAGTGATACTCGATGGTGATATTCGGTTTTTAGACGAAATGAAATTCGTTTTTGTGTGTGTTTGTGTGTTTGGTTATTATTTTTTTTTTCGTTTTTCAAAAAGAAAGAAATTTTGAGAAAGTCAGGCGGGATAGAAGAGGGGGATAAGAGAACACAATACTCGGTTAGGAATTAATTTTAGTCGCTCCTTCTCGCTTTGTTGCACATTCAGTTGCTGCAACGGCAGCAGGAACACTCATCACAAATCACAATAACCGCCACAAGACGGTAGACAGTAAAACAACAACGGCAAGGCAACGGCCAACAGCCAACGGCACAACTACAGTGAACTCTGGTCAATGGGTATAGCTTAAAGTCGAGTTCAAGTTCAAGATCAACAAACAAACAAAGCTAAAACATAACAACAAACAAGGCAAACAAATAACAGCACAGATTACAAATGAGTTATTTCACAATTTCTTATGATTTCTTGCCTACATTTTTACTACGTTTATAAGTTTTAGTTTAATTCAAAAATATTAGAAAAATTATTCTATCTTTTAAGTTAAATGATACTTTAGAATGTGAAGCAGAAGACCTTATAAAAATATTAAAATGGAATTAACGTCTAGAATCTTCCTATCTCAAATGCATTTAGTTGCCTCTTCTATCATAATCAAGGTTTCTTTATAAACGTAGTAAATATTTGCTTACTTTCTTAGTTTTATGATCGCTCTTATTTACACATGATAACTATGCATGTTTTCCTACAGTCTAGGTTTTTTTATTATTGTCTCCTAATTTGAAACGCAAAACTCATTCTCAACTTTTTGGGTGCGGCAACGAAACAGCAACTCAAATAAAAAACAAAACTCAAAACGGTTTGCAGTTGAAAAAAAGAAAGAAAAAAAGAACAGCTAATAGTGCCGAACAATGTCTAGGCCAAATAGTGACTAGCTGGCCGGGAAGTGGGCCGCATGGGCGGTACGCACCTGGTATGCTGGCGTCGCGATGCAATGTGACCTTGCCCTTGTCGAGGACATCATTGAAGGCCGGCCATCCGCATCCGGAGTCGTATTTGGTGTCCGAGCTGAACAAGTCCTGGTGGCAAACGATGCACTGGTAGATTCCCTTCTCGTAGTGTTTGTTGTAGCAACCTGTGGGAAGGGATGGTAAACATAATATATTAGTAATCATTCTTGGAAATATCAGGATTCTAGAATGATTGGATTGACTATCTTATTAAGGCAATAGATCTGATGATAGTTATGATCTTTTTGAAGGATTAAAGCCAGACTTGAACAATAAATATGTCTTGAACATGTCATAATAACTCCATATCCAGAAAGGAAACCCCCACCTGTGAAGGGTCGCTCCGTGCCCGCCTCCTGTGTAACCTGATATTGCATCGGGGTCAGGCGCTTGCGCAGCTCCTCCTTGTTCACCGTAACCTTCTCGCTCTTGTTATCCATTGTTGTTGTCGTTTGGCCGGAGTACCTCTTTGCCGGATTGTCGCTGTCTTGACGTGAATCTGAAATTCGATACTTCGGTATTTAGTTTGCGGTTGAGTTATGTGTGCCGTTCAGTTCACCACCAGTTGGGTAATGCAAACCGAGTAATTGTTGTGGATGAGATTTCTGGTTGCCAAGCTTCTGTAAGATTTCCCTCTATAATCTCTCAACTTATCAGAGGGACTTTAAACTAAAATCTTACTGATTTTAAATGCCATATTTTTTGGCTCTCTCTAGTGATAAGAAACAGGTGCTTTTGACTATCGGCAATGAGTGGCGAGAAATGTTTCTAAAATCCCCTAATCATGGTGTTTTGTTAAATAGGCGCTTTGAGCCATAAACGAGATGAAAATAACTTGGCTTTATAACCCCGTTTAAGTGTAGAAAATGGCATTGCCATACCTTTACCCTTTAACCCATATTCATTGGTCTTAACTCATCATAGGAAATCATAGAAAGTCATCGTGGATTTCGAAGACCCCCAACACATGGCGAACTCCAAATTCCAAAGTGGAGCTGTGCATCCGTCGAATTAGTAATACAAAATTTTGTATACAAACATTATTGCTAATTGTTGAAGGTGTAAACAGATTTGTTAAGTGCGGCGGCTATCAAATGGAGTGGAGAAACAGAAACGCATTGGGCCAAAAATAGTTTTTCCATTTTTTATGCTGGCAGCCGGCAATTAAACGAAGTGGCGCCCAAAGTAAACGGACGAAAAGAAAATAGAGGAAAGTCGGCGGAGGAGGCGGATGGGGTAGTCACCTTTTATTTTTGGGTTTTTCCCGAAGTGCAACAATAGGAAAATCAGCCAAGTGTGTCGCGGGCAATTGAAGACAATGAATTAATTTCGAGCAAATGTCTGAAAATAGCTGGGGAAATTGCGTTCATAAAGAATGTGAATGTGAATGCGATTGTCAGGCGGCGATTTGAACTAGAAATTGTGGCTAAAATTAGCATGGCCAATGGCCAATCGATTGTTTTTCTTTTATTTGGATGGAAAGCGCGACACACCCACAGGTATTTTGTATAATAGATGATTTTTGTTACCTGTAACTCACCTGAAAAAAGGCGGTTAATGGTGAAAATTCTAGTGCGCCGCAGTGCGTGGCGAGAAAGTGCAAACATTCTGTAGCCAAATTCAATTGAGAACTGCACTTGGTTATTTAATCAACAACAATAAATACATATACAATAAGAGATTTCAATGTTTTTACTAGAGCACCCACGCAAACTAATATTTATGCAATCCGCGCGCTGCCACTTCCGTCTTTATTTCTTATTTTTCCGTTCTATTTTCGTTTGGTTTGTCTTTTGCCTGATTTACGATTTGCTAGGGAGAAAGCGCTTTACATAGAGAGAAAGTCACTGCTCAATTAGGGAAAATTCGCTCGCAATTCTTCTTCAATGTCACCAGAGAACGAGAAAAAAATAAAACACAACTTTTCCCACACTAAAATGGTGCGTCCTTGGGTTTCTTAGCCCGCTGGAAAAGTGCTCACCTGCTGAATAGCGCCAGAAATGGAGCTTCACTTCTATTTTTGGCCTTTTGTTTATGAATGCTTGACAAGCTAACAACAAGCGTGCGTCGCAATGTTACGCAGCGGTGGAAAACTAAAAACTAATACAAAAAAGCTGCTTGAAAAACAGCTGCACATGAAAAATCAAACACCTGGCTGTTTCGCGTTGCCAATCGAGTTGTACATAGAAGTTAGGTATTTTCACGTCACTGCAATAGGGTCATATAGACAGCTGCTTGCCTGCCTTGCCAATCATTGCAAAGTTGAACTGCCGTCTGGCAACGCTAGGCACTTTGTTATTTTTTGGGGGCTCCATAAAATTGCTTATCAGTATTAAATTTTAAGAAAGTGGAATAAATAATCCTAGAAGCTTCAGAGAAGCACCAGGGTTGGAAAGACACCGAATTGACGCCTTTAGTAACATGCGCTAAACGCCAGGGCAGGCCGGAAAAAAAAGACCACACGCAAAGTGGGCGTCAACAAAAAGTTGTGTGGAGAAAACCAGGAAGACAAAAAGCCCACGAAAAGTGATACTCAACCAAATAATCGACTGATAAGAGTAACTCTCGAATTCCCGAGGCCATGAGCAACCACAGATACCATCAGGGAGGCAACTATATGCACCCCCGGATATCGTCCTACCCACACCACTTCAGCTATGTCTCATCATGTGTCAAGTACATGATCTTCCTGTTGAACTTCCTCTTCTGGCTCTTTGGCGGCCTGCTCCTAGCCATCGGCGTTTATGCCTTCATGGAAAAACTAAAGGACGGCAATGGATGGCTAAGATTGGACACGGTCTACGATGTGATTTTTAATATCTCCCTCGTAATGATCATCGCAGGGGTTATCGTCTTCACTGTCAGCTTTGCTGGCTGTTTGGGGGCACTGCGAGAGAATACATGGCTACTAAAGCTTTACTCCATGTGCCTGCTGCTTTTCTTTATTCTCGAAATGTCGCTTGCCATCATCTGCTTTGTGTTCCCGCAGTATATGAACTCGTTCCTCGAATACCAATTTACAGACAAGATTATCCACTCATACCGCGAAGATTCCGACCTGCAGAACTTCATTGACTTTGCCCAGCAGGAGTTCAAGTGCTGCGGTCTTAGCAACGCCGGCTACCAAGATTGGAGTGAGTAGTAGAATCTGAAAACCATTTCACAGCTAATGTTTCTTTAACGAATGCAATTTATAGCATGATGTACTTTGACTATAATCTTTTGCCATGAAATTGATAACATTTTTCATTAACAGGCAAGAACGAGTACTTTAACTGCTCCTCACCCTCGGTGGAAAGGTGCGGTGTGCCCTATAGTTGCTGCATAAATGCCACCGACATCAGCTCCGGCCTGGTTAACATCATGTGTGGATACGGAGTTCAGGAACAATCGGTGGCCGCTGCCAGCAAACGCATCTGGACCAGCGGTTGCATTGAAATTGTCCGAGTCTGGGTGGAGCGTAATTTGTATGTGATTGCCGGCGTGGCCCTGGGCATAGCCCTGCTGCAGCTGTTTGTCATCTATTTGGCCAAGACCTTGGAGGGACAGATCGACCTGCAGAAATCACGCTGGTCGTGAGTGCAATGCCACCATCCGTACCTTTACGGATATCCACCCTGCGAAGATGACCCTTACTACAATTCGCGGATGTGAGGCGGACTATTCTGGTCCTGCCCATGCTCAAATAGTTTCAAACCGAATCCAACACCTAGAATAATCCATAGCTCTCTATATACAATCTCTTGTGTTTTTGATCGATTCAAGTTCTAATGTCCCAAAAGTCTTGCAATAGTATTTATACTCGTCTAGGATTAAGTAATATATTTATACTCGAATATAGTTGTACTGCCCATTATATGTTTATGTATGTTTTTAAAGACAGCTTAAATCATAGTCACAAGTAAAGTCGAACAAATCTAAACTTTTACTCGTATATGTATGCAATATCGTACTATTTAAAAGACACTTGTATATAAGTTAGCAAGTTTCGTAAGAAATATGCATTTAAAATTAGATTTATATAAACCGACGAAACCAAAACTGCATGCACGTTTGTTAAACACAACAAAATACTAGACTTATTAGCATTTTTAAGTATCTGCGCGCGAGTTTGTCTGCAAACCCTGTTGTAATGCGTATTATACAAATACAGACATTCTATATGTGTAATGCTGACATGTGTATTTTTATCTATCTATCTATCTAAATCTAGGGAAAATGTTCTTAAACTTACATTTTGTTGTCCCAAACTAATTCTCTAATTAGTTTGTCAAAACTTGTTTTGTTCTTACTATCTAACTAACACATCACGGCTGAGCTACATGCAAATGTTTTTCGGTGCTTTAGAGGATGTCCGGCTATTAGTATACCTTGGGTCGATGAATAGCTTTATCAATATCGACCACAGTTGCGAAATACTGGAATCAATCTAGAAAAATTCAAAGTAGTCGAACTTTGATACCTACAGCAATAATAGGCCAACGCAGATAAGAAAATCCAAGCAATTATGAAGCTAAAAGCATAAGAGGAATCGGACCCCCTAAGAAGATAGTATTACATATACAATCGGTGTTTATTATTCTACGCAATCGCAAGCAACAGCCAGCTGGTATAAAAAGTGAAAATAAAACAAACAACTTTATCTTCAGTACTTGATGATGGAGCGAATGCTCTCCCCCTTGTGCATCAAGTCAAAAGCCTCATTGATTTTCGACAGCGGTAATTCGTGGGTAATGAACTCGTCCACCAGCAGATCCTTATTCAGATAGTCCTCCACCAGTTTAGGCACATCCGATACGGAGCGCCAGCCACCGAAGGCAGATCCCTTCCACACGCGACCCACGACCAATTGGAAAGGTCGAGTGGAGATTTCCTGACCAGCTCCGGCTACTCCGATCACCACCGAGGTGCCCCATCCCTTGTGGGTGGCCTCCAAAGCGGAGCGCATGGTGTTCACATTACCAATGCATTCAAAGGTGTAATCAAATCCGCCATCGGTCAAGTCAATGAGGTAATTCTGAATGGGTCCCTTGTCGGCCACATCCTTGGGGTTGACGAAGTCGGTGAAGCCAAACTTCTTGGCCAATTCAAACTTGTCGGGATTGATATCGATGCCGTAGATCTTTCCAGCGCCTGCCTTCTTGCAGCCCAATCCCACGGCCAAGCCAACGGCTCCCAAACCCCAAACAGCGCAGGTACTGCCGGGTTCCACCTGGAACGAGGAGTTTATAAGCCAGTGATGAAGAGGGCTCATAATAAACCCACCTTAGCTGTGTTAAGGGCAGCTCCATAGCCCGTGGATATTCCGCAGCCCAGCAAGCAGACCTTTTCCAAAGGCGCCTTCTCATTAATCTTGGTCAGTGAAATATCAGCCACTACCGTGTATTCGGCAAAGGTAGATGTGCCCATAAAATGGAATAGCTGTTGGCCCTTGCAGCTGAGACGGGAGGTGCCATCGGGCATGAGTCCAGCTCCCTGGGTCAGTCGGATCTTTTGGCAGAGATTCGTCTTGCCGCTCTTGCAGAATTTGCACTCGTTACACTGAGGAATGTATAGTGCGATGACATGATCGCCGGCCTTGAAGTTAGTTACTCCCTCGCCGACGCTCTCAACGATTCCAGCGCCCTCGTGGCCCAGGACCGATGGGAACAGACCCTCCGGATCGGCACCACTCAGAGTGAAGGCATCCGTGTGACAGACGCCCGTGCCTGTGATCTTGATGCGAACCTTAATAAGAGATGAGGTTATTTAACCTTATCATCTGTTATTATCTGGAGTGGACTTTTCGACTAACCTCATGTGCCTTGGGCGGCGCTACTTCAATATCCTCAATGGACAGCGGCTTCTTTGCCTCCCACGCAACGGCAGCCTTGCATGTGATTACCTAGAAATGTAATTGATAGCCAGGGTATGTTTTTGCTAATTAATATTCTCGTTGGTGCACTTACTTTGCCCTCGGTAGCAGACATTTTAGTAGTTTAGTGGAAAGTTTAGCGACAAGATCCAATTGGCGAATGGAGAACGAATGACGATAATGAAGAGGAGGCGGGAAACCGGGCGGCAGTAGTGTGACCAGATAGCGATCGATGACATAACCCGGAAAGCTCACCTGGTTTAGTTTATACCGTTTAAAACGCGAATTAGTAAAGATTCAAAATTAAAAACTTATTATCTTGCAAAATATTTTGTTTTGTAGCATATTTTCACAAAATAAATTAATATCTTCTGTTTGAAATTTAAATTGATTAATACCGCTAAAAATTACTCAAAACTGACCAAAATAAAAATGTCTGGTCTTACCTAATTTATGTAAAAGCGCAGCCAAGTTCGCTTTGTGAAGTCAGCTGTTTCAGTTGAAATTTTTAACCGTTTTTCTTTAAACCGTTACAAAATATTGAAGACATTAAAAATTCTGGAAGAAACAAATTCTTAATTATTTTTTGGCATTTTATTTATTATATTTAATAACGTAAACTTTATAAGCTTGCATTTACTGCGGCTAGATTAACTGCAGTTTTAAGTAAAACTTAATGCCCGCGCAGGCGCCAAATTTTTTGTAAACATTGCCGCCCAACCCAAAATGCAGCAACAGCAGCCCCCAAAAAACGCCAATGAACGCAAAATCGGCACAAGGACGTGCCAGAAAGCCAGGAAAAATCAATAACAACACAGCCGCGAAGCGACAAAGGCCGGAAGTGCATTTTTTGCATTACTAGGCGTTAAGTAACGTCACAAAGCAGAAAAAATTAGTTATTTTTTAAGGAATGTAATGTAGTTTTTTGTGCCAAGACTTCGAAGTAAAACCGGAAAATGGTTGGCAAGGGGTCAAGCGGCTTGGGCGGAGATACCAGCACGGGAAGCAAGGAACGCCCTGTTTTTATTCCGCCCCGGAAACGTCAACAAACGAAGTCGGAGGCTAAAAAACAGAACTATGTGGACCACATCGTCAGTGTGCAGGTGCGAAATGGAATAATATACCCCAAAATGGATCAACAGTGTGATTATATACTCTTAGAAAGCCGAAATACTGCTAAGTATTTTCAAATTATCCGTATTAACACTATTGATCCATGTTGTATATATAATTACATTTCGTTAAAATTTAACTTTGGTTCTTTATCTTACCTTAGCAAAATCGTCCCAAGTTGTCGCCTTCGAATCCTGGTCTCGAGGAGGAGCTCCGCAAGTCCAAGTTGATTATCAAAAACAAGCAGCCGCTTCCGCAATTGCCCGGAGAACTGGGTGTTCCCAATGCTCACGACACCTTGGCCAGTACCCATTCGGCTAGTTCCACGCAGCACAGTCAGAAATCGGCCCGATCGAATAGTAATCTCAACGAGCTACAAAATTTTGAGTCCATATCGCAGGGTACCAAGTCCACTTCACAGCGCCATGAGAGCAGCACAGTGACGCCCAGCAGCTGTTGCTATTCGGAGAGCAGCCTGGACGCCAAGTTAAGCAAATCACAGGATTGCCTTAGCAATCGGTCATCCTCCAAGAAACGGGTCAACATCCGGACAAGTGATCTGCCTGGTCAAGGGCGCAATCAGCGTTCCTCGCCGGAGATAGCAAACTACGAGGACCTGGAGTCGGGAGAGACGAGTGTCTTGAACAACTATGACCAAAGTCTGGAGCGAGGATATCAGACGCGCAAGGAAGGTGGCGGCAATTACCTGACCATGACGGGCACCATAAAGCGGGGCCGCAAAAAAGGCCAGTCCGTGGACCTACAGATCAACATTAGTCGCGAAGAGCTGGAGCAGCTGAATGCCCATGCGATGGCCAGTGATTCGCAGAAGGGTGGCAATCTGTGCTGCACCTGTAGCTGTGGTACTGGCCTCCACATCCTTCTGATCTCGCTTTTTTGCCTGCCATTTGTGACTGTCATCTCGGCGGTGTACTCCTTCTACATTGGAACACTCACCTGGTACAACATGTTTAACTATTACTGCGAGGAAAGGACGTACCTGCACAAGATCCTGGTGACGCCGTTGCTATTCGTGGCCTATCCTTTGGCTATCGTGCTCTGCACCTTCGGATTGGGAATCTACTCGGGACTGAGACAACTGAGTCTGCAGTACAGCAGCTGGGTAAATGACATCACGGATATCGAGAAGGGTTTCTATGGCTGGCTATGCGGATTCCTTCGGATGCCCGACTGCAGTCCCTATGAGGTGGTCATCCTAACCGATATCTGTGTAGCGCCGCAGGATCCTCAGCGGCTGCACATCAACAAACCGCGCCAGGAACTCTCCATGTAGGATGTGTGAGTCCTGGCCACAGTTTCGTTTCGACCATAAGTGTGATATAAAAAAAACGTAATTACATTCGCAGATCGACACATTAAGTTTCCTTTGGCCAAATTTGTTCCTTTCACATCGACATAATCGTATGTCTGCAATTGCAGCTTTAGAGAACGGAAATACACTATATAGATATCGAAGCCAGAAAATAATCCAAACCCTAGAAAGCCTAGCATTTAAGTTACTAGAGATCTAACACTCGCACAGCGTCTAAAAACACAAGGAAAACTTTCGGATGACCGAAACAAATATAACCTTGCAAATGTCAGTGAAAAAAGAATTGCTCAATAGTTTAAATCCACATATTTATCTGTAATTGATGTACATTAATGTTTTGTCTGAACTACGCTTTGGGGAAGCCCCTTCAGAGATACAAGTAATCCTGCAATCTAATTTGATTTTTTGCCAAATTACAAACTAATCCATCTACAATTATTTTTGATATTTAGCAAGGTTATAAACAAAAAAAACAGTTAACTGTTGTAGTTGGGCACCTGCCAGCAACTTTGAAACTTTGCTTTCCTTTCTAACTCAAAGCCAAATTTAAAGCCGTATATGAAACATATAGCATTTACAGATTATGCATTTATCTTCAAAAGTGAACTAAAAAACCAAGTAAGAAAGCCAATTTAAATGCGCAGTTGACGTGATGAAAACTTTTTCTTAGTTTTAAGCAAACATTTTTTATTTCTACGTCAATAAAAAACCGCAGCAAAGCCACAAATATATACATACATATATACATACTTATATAAGCAAACGTTTTTAAAATAGAAATTCTATATGTTAAGAACCCGAATATCAAACACTTATTGAAATGAATATATTAGCCAGAGAAATAAAGCCAATAAAACTACTATAGCAAACACAAACAAACCAGATAGCCTCTTATTGCTTTCTCAAATATGCGAATTGATACTTATTCTGTTATTTGCATAAATATTTGTACATATTTCCTCTTCAATTAACTTCGAGCAGCGCAAACTTATAAATCAAGTGATAACGTAATGGGTTGTACACTAAAAAAATCGTGAATTACTAAAAAACTTTAAAAACTATATATACATTTTTATAGAATTTCTATGTTTTTAATTTCTTGGTTTAACTTTTAGTTTCTTGTAGAAAGTGTATGAAATCTCCCAGCAGTTCTAAAAGCTTACGAAATATTCTAAGTGTATGTAAGCAAAAACACTTGGAAAGGGAGAGTACAAGAGAGAGATGGAGAGCTTTTTCCTTTAGTTTTGTTTTTGCCGGCGAGACGCCCACACAAAATGTGTAAACAAGCATTCAGGGGGTAAATACAAAACAGCTGTTCGCATGAAGATGAGGCCTAAGCAACAAATTACAGGCCAGAGTAAATAAAAGGAACGAAAAAGGGGCTCGTCTAACTTGATAATTACTATAATTCATTAGCCCAATAGTGATACAAATTACGATATTCCAGCGAATATCGTAAGTGGCAAATGGAGTGCAATAATAACCGTTCTTAGCTTCCATATCTCATAGACAATATAACCGATTATAACTGTATACCGGTCGGGGAAAACAACCACACACACGTACGTAAATAGGCAAATTTAAATATATACCGTATATATATGCATAGTACACCACATCATAAAAACTGACTTGCCAGCGCAGCATATCAAACGGATCGGATACTGAATTCAGTTCTAAATCGGCTTTCAAAGCGGACGGACGTGCTACGGAAAACTTAAAACGGAAGTAATCATGGCAACAGATAATTTGACAGCAGTTCTCCACGGAATCGAGGACCTGCGACTGGTAAGTCGAAGCCGGAACTAAATTAGGCAACTGACAAATGTTTGCCAACTAATAATTCACTTCCTGCAGGAGCAACGTCCGATTCCAGAAATTGCCGACGATGGTAAGAAATTCGTACACTGCAAAAAATAGTTTTAATTTCATTTTTGCTGGTTTAAGTTTAAAATGTTGTAAGGAAGTATTTTGTAGGAGCTGTATATACATTTTTTAACGTTTATTTTTATAGAAAAACTAAAATCAAAATCAAATGCAAAATATATCAAAACAAATAATCAAACTTCACCAATTTATGACGGCTTTATATTATTATTCTGAATATATTAATTATTAATAGTGAATCAAAAAGTGATAACTACTTAATGAAGGTGCTTTTGAGATAAGGTAACACAGTAAATGTAATAATAATTAAATATTGAATTTATATCCCATTTTATAAATCAAACTGATAGCTCAAATAATAAATTTTTATACATATTGATAAGTAAGTGGGTTTGGCTGGTTTTTTATCAGTTTTTTTATCAGAGTTTAATTTGAATTTAATTTTTTCCTTAGTAATTGTTAGTAATTTAATTTCTGAAAATGTTAAATTTAAATATAATTTATATATGTATGATACATTTGATTAATATTATACCTAAAATATATTAAACTTATCTTTTTAGAGGTTCTCTTGGCCATGGACAGTGTGGGCATCTGCGGTTCGGATGTCCACTATCTGGCACACGGACGGATCGGTGACTTTGTGCTTACCAAGCCGATGATCATTGGTCACGAGGCAGCTGGAGTGGTGGCCAAACTGGGCAAGAATGTGACCAACTTGAAAGTGGGCGACCGGGTGGCCATTGAGCCGGGTGTTCCCTGCCGCTACTGTGATCACTGCAAGCAGGGACGTTACAACCTGTGCGCGGGCATGGTCTTCTGTGCCACTCCTCCCTATGATGGTAATCTGACGAGGTACTACAAACATGCCGCTGACTTCTGTTTCAAGCTGCCAGATCATGTCAGCATGGAGGAGGGAGCACTCCTCGAACCCCTGTCGGTAGGAGTTCACGCCTGCCGTCGCGCAGGAGTTGGTCTGGGCTCCAAGGTGCTCATCCTGGGTGCTGGTCCAATTGGTTTAGTCACCTTGCTGGTAAGAAAAGAAATTAGTTGGTCACAAAAATAAGGAAGTAAACTGAATATATTTTCTACCTAGGCTGCCCAAGCCATGGGCGCTTCTGAGATTCTTATCACCGATTTGGTGCAGCAGCGATTGGATGTGGCCAAGGAGCTGGGCGCCACCCATACACTACTTCTACAGCGGGATCAGTCTGCCGAAGAAACTGTAAAGGTGGTTCATGAAACAATGAGCGAGGTGCCGGACAAAGCCATCGATTGCTGTGGAGCCGAGAGCAGCGCCCGCCTGGCCATCTTCGTATGTGGATAACCAATTATTTCTTTACTCTTATCTAATATGTTTCCTTTTTTTAGGCCACTCGCTCCGGTGGAGTAGTGGTAGTGGTGGGCATGGGAGCTTCAGAGGTCAAGCTGCCGCTGATCAATGCCTTGGCGCGTGAGATCGACATCCGTGGCGTCTTCCGCTACTGCAATGAGTAAGTTATCAGTAGGACTCAGGGGTCAAATTCAACTACTGATTACACCCAATTCACAGCTATGCCGCTGCTTTGGCTTTGGTGGCTTCGGGCAAGGTGAATGTTAAGCGTCTTGTGACGCACCACTTCGACATCTCGGAGACGGCTCAGGCTTTTGAGACCTCCCGCCTCGGCACTGGTGGTGCTATCAAGGTCATGATCCACGTCCAGCCGAGGGACGCCAACAATCCAACCAAGTTCTAAATATACACTCTTATCTTTAAACCAAATAGTGCGTGTTGATTTTGATACTAGGTAAAACGTTTTCTGTGTCTTGGAACGTTTTCGAACTTTGCACGTTATCGACTTTTTATATTTTTCTAAAGATAATTTCACTTTTTACATGTATGGAAGTCATATTCAGGCACTTTCATAATTAAGATAAATATTTTGAAGGGAGTAGTATTGATTAATCAAACTACTCGGCTTTAAGAGTCCTCTTTTTTTATAAATGAATCACAATAGTAGACTGCTAAGATCTAAAACAAATACTGGATGTACTCGAGGGATTCCTCTGGCGCTCTGGGTTCTCCTTCGGCATCAAAGTCAATTAATTCCGGCTGCCTGTTCTGGGCAATGTATCGCAAGTATCCACGTGTGCTCTCCATTCGCGTCGTCAGCTTGATGTCCCAACCATCGCGACGTGGCGTGGTGAAGATGGTAGAACCATGGCAATTGACCATCTGCAGCCAGCGGGTGAAGCCCACACCTAAGTAATTATTCGCCTTGTCCACAATCAAAATTAGCAAATCTTCGTTGGCCAGAAGCCTGATCAGTTTTCGAAGCATTCTTTTCTGGATGGGCCAATAATAGCAGGCGGGATCATAGAGCATTACAAGCATATCACAACTGCGCTCCCCCCTAAGATCAAAGTAGTTCATTGGCTTAGAATCCTGCGAAGGAGTGGCCGCCAGGATGACGGCGCGGAAAAGCTGGTCCGCCAACAGTTGGTCACAAAACTCTTTCAGATACTTGGCACTGACCAGCTTGTGCATGTCGTAGACTCGGCCTTCAGAATCCTTACCGTAGATCCGCGGAGGCAACCCCTTTCGGTAGGTGCCAAAATCATCGGGATTAAGGTTTGAATTAAACTCTCCTATGTTGGCAATATCTCGCAGGCCAAATAAAATTCGTCCGGCGTATTCCTGTGCCACTTCATCGAGCAGCTTTATCCACTTGTTCAGATCGTCTCGGTGTCGGTTTGTGACAAAGTGAAACGCTACCACCTGTGGCCCTTCGAAAATAAACCTTGCCCCTGTGGTTGATTTTAACATCTCTGTCGTTTCTGGTGGAAGCCATAAGAGCCATTGAATGTCGTTATGGTCGGCACAAAAGGTCTGCACCAGAGTCATTTTCTCCAGGTGTGACACAGCTCAGGTAACTATTTTAATGTCCAAAAAGATACAGTTGTATTTATACGGTAACGTTGTATGACTCCCGCTAAATTTCACAACAGAAAAAGCTTTCAGTAAGCTTTTCATAACATTGTTTACGTTTAGATTTTAACATCGTTTCCCATAACATCTTTTGATAATTTTGTTAATAAGAACTGTTTATCATTAACAAAAATGGGAAAGGAAACCGTTTTATTAAACATTTTTGATTCGAAATGTGGAAATATTTAAAAGTTACCCTTATTATTGTTAACTAAGAAATACATGATTCAATTTCCTGTAAACTATTATATTTCTTTTAATTCCAAATTAAAAATCTTAAAATAAGGAATTCGTTTCATTTTAATAACTATTTAAACTCTGTGATGTAGTCAAGTTTTATTAAATTCCCTGAATATTTAAGTTTAATAAAAATGATTGAACAGCAAATTAGATTCCATTGCAGTCGTTTTCGTTTGCATCTTAAATAATGTTTTGAGTGTGGCTGAAGAGCGTGTAGCTTTTGGTCGGATAATAAACTAAATAAACTAGAATTTACATAAATATATATATAAAGATATAACTTAACTGGTGCGCTGATAATTTTTGTGTGTATTAAAGCACCGACCAAGTCGATTGGTCTAAGATAAACAAAAAACCCGTACGCATAACCGAAAACTAATCAACAGTTAGTCTAAGTCTTAATATTATTTACGCGCTGCGGTAAATATGTATAAAAATAGAAAATACAGTGTAGATTCTGTATGGGCGCACAATGGATTCGAGCTGCCATTAACCCCGACTCCAAGCCCGACCTAGAAGCGCACCTGCTTGAGCTTATCGTAAATGCTAAAGTACAGGGCTGTCGTCATGCTTGACTTGAGGAGTGTGGGGGCCACGCCCTTGTACAAGCCCCTAACGCCCTCCTGGCGCACGGTCAGCCGCAAACAATCCCAGACTCCGTGGCACTGCAGCGTTTGTCCGAAGGTTTGACGGTTAGACTCAAAGCCCTGAATCTGCAGTCTCTTCTTGATAAGATCGAAGGGGTAGACGATCGTTTTCGAGAGCATACCCGAAGAGGCACCCAGTCCCAGGAGTGTCCACGTGGGCAGTTGGCTGCGATCGCTTACCTCCATAAAGGCGCAAGCCCAGTCGCTGAACAGGCGGTAGGCCATGAAGTTGGTGCCCATCAACGGCGTTATTTGCAGCAGAGCGGAGGATAAACCACGGTACATACCCCGTGGACCCTCATTCCGAACTATAGCAGACACAGCCCTTGTTGCGTTTCTGTATCCCTTGCTAGTGTCCTGGGCAATAAGTCGAGTACGGATCACATCTAGTGGAGTTGATATAATCACCGCTGCTCCTCCGGCAGCAGCTCCACACAAGAAGTTCGACAGATGCTGATGATCCGCCAGATAACTGGTTTGCTTGGCCCGCAGGCTTAACTGTTCGTATGTCCAGAACTGGCATATGCCGTACATGATGCTTAGTACCTGGGCGGGATTGTGACCCTTCCAGAAGGCCAACAATCCCTCTTCACGATAGATAGTTTTTACCGCCTGTCCAATGGATGTGTACTTGGAGGTAAAGGATCCCACTACATCCTTAACGCGGCTCTTGCCAAGTGGTTCCACTTGCAGCTGAAAGCGAATCTTGAGTACGTCCAGCGGTTGACAGGTGGACCGAGTGATGGCCGCCGACAATCCGCCGGCTAGCATTTGGTGGAGCTGCTCCCGGGTACTGTGTGTGCGTCGTGGGACGGGAGCTGTGGTTGCGGTTGCCTCGGTGGTAGAGCCTGTGGTTACCGCCATGTCTGCGTCGGAACTACTTTGGTTTCGCTTTTACGTGTGCGTATGTTTGCTCGTGCGGATTTCACTTTTATTGCTACGACTGCCAACTCTTCAATGGCATTTCTGTAAAATAAAGAAACCCAGACGGGCGGAGACAACGTTATTACAGTCGAAATTCAATAGTTGGAACCACTAAGCTGGACTTTCAGTTTCTTTTTGATGTAGGGAGTGATAGTCAGGCCAATTAATTAGTTATTTATGAGATTATTTTAAGGTTGGTATTGGAATTGGATATCTTGACAAAAAAAAAATGAGCAAAAATTAGGTGCCAAAACCTTTGGGAAATGATTAGAAGAGACTATGGAAATCCCTCTTAGTGTAGCTTGTCTGTAGCTTTCATTCAAAGCGTTTTAGAGGTGCGGCCGGGCGCAAACTCCGAATTGTTTACACATTCATCAACCCGATGGCCAAATTGATGTGTAAAAATGCGAAGACAGGAATTAGGAAATGTGTGTAGTAGGAGTGAGTGCATTCGAAGATGGGACTTACAAGTGTCATGCTCAACGGAGCGTGGGGATGTCTCTGTGATTACTTCACTATTATCTTGGTTATGCCCAAGTGCGCGCCAATTCGCAGAGTACCCAAAATAGATTCCAGGTTCAGACGGTCATTCAGTGATTGACAATGCTCCGGGGGGTATTCGGGTTTATCAGCGATTTCACTTTTCCCTGCTTTTGTTGTTCGATGTTTTCTCGTTGTTGTCAGCCAACCGTTGTCCAGTTCCAAAATTCCGATGCTATTGGTCAGATAAAGAGACAAAGGTAGGGGAATACGCTTAAGATTGGGAATGATGATAATGACCAAGTATATTTCATCTCACCTGGAGCAGATGCGTCCGTTCGCGGGTAGAGTGCAGCTGTTACTGCGGCGGCGACGCTTCTTCATTACAGGCAGCGGCCCGTGGATTGCGTCAAAACTTTCTTTTCGCCAGGTTTGTAATAGCGCTGCCGAGATGCCGTTGCAGTTGTGCGGCTATCCAATCCGCTGCTGCCCAAGTTGGCCACTTCCACAAACTGGTTTTCCCGAACGAAGCCGCTCTTCTCCAATCCAATCCTCTCCACAACAACAAAAAATAAACCAAGTTACGTCGCCAAGTGCACGCAATCAGCTGTTCGAGCCGGTGGTGATGAGCTTATGGCGAACAGCAATGTCAACTATCGGGTATCGGAGACAGCTAACGATAGTAGCTCTAAAATAGCTAGTTCTATGTTTGTAGTTCCAACAGGTTTTATTTCTATTAATTTATTTTAGTTGAATTAAAAATGTTTTAGATGTTGTTTTTAAGTTTCAAGATTTGAAAAATGTTATATGGCTTAATGAATTTTAAAGATAATCAATGTTTTTATTTGTTTGCCTCTTTAATCGAATAAAAAATATTTCAGGTGAATCACAAAAGTTTATTTTAATAAAAATATTTAAATAATAGTCCCTGGAACCGCATCAAGATAGCTATGATCAGATTGCTGTGTGATTTGAAAATATTTTCTTTTTAATTTTTAAAAATCCACGATGTAAATGTCAAGCTTACGGCATTGCCACTTTGGCGCGCTTTCCGGTTTATTCAAAAATGGCTTAAAGAGTAGAATACAAAATGGTTAAGCAGTGCACCCTATTTCCACCCAATGCCGCCTGTGGGAGCATCGGCTGGAGCACTGGGGGTGGGCTTGTAGTCAGGTGGTATGCTGAAACCAAGTACCTCGAAATTACCGCCCGGAGGAGCAACAACAGGTGTATTGGTCGGATATGGTGGTACTTTTTGTGTGGCTGGCGACACAGGATTGGGTGTGAACTTAACAGGTGCAGCAGGCGCCACATCCTCCGCTTTGGGGTAAAGACTGGGAAAATTGGCCGCCCCATTAGATCCATTAGTTCCCTGTTTTCCATCAAATGGATAAACTGGATATTTAGGTTTAAAGGAGTTGGACTCAAATTGTTCTTCACTGACGTCTTCCTGGAAGATGGGAGAACCTAAACGAAAAAATGTTTCTTTTAGTAATATTCTTAATTATCTACATATTTTGTGAATATCCCACCTGGATGAGAGTTCCCATTGGACGGAGTCTTTTCCGTCTGCTCGGGTCCCTTGTCATCAGCACTTCCCAATAGAGGCACTGTGCCGATGGTTATTGGAAAATCCATGACCAAATCCCCGCCACCATGAAGTTTAAAGGTCTTGGCTATAAAGCGCAGTGTATAGCTAACGCGAATGGGATCCTTTTCACTTTGGGTCGAAGGAGTGGTTGGCGGTACCACAAGGAACTCGTCGAATTTGGCCTTATTGTGTTTCAGCACCTCACCGCAATGTTTATCAGCCACCCGGGATTCGGTCACCTTAATCTGCTCCTTAGCTCCCGAAGAGTTGGCCCGATATAAAACGTTCTTGAGCAAACGCACCTTCACATCCATGCACTGGACATCCGATTGATTGTCTAAGACCAAATGGAAATTGATCTTCTGCCCGGGCACGTATGCGGAATAAGAGGTGCTTACGTCCATGATCATGGGTTTGTGGGCACCGAAAATCGAGCCCCACCAAAAGCTCTTCGACTCCAGACGTTTCAAGGGTTCCTACGAGAAAATTAAGTTCAAAAGGATATCCAGCTTCGAAGGATCTGGTGCTACATACCTTGTACTCCTGCCGCGTGTTCAGATCGTGTGGCAGGATCACTGAGAAGCACTGTTTAAATGTATTGTTGTAGCGCACTGCGCGATCGATGGTCAGGGTAACCTCGTGCTTAATCTGACCATGTTCGCCATTGAAGGAGGTAGGTGCATTGGGCGGAATAGTGGTCCGGAAGGGAAATACGTACTTGCCAGTGGGTAGCTCCAGCTGAGATCCGCCAGCTTGACCGTACACCGGCTGGTCAGTGCTGTAGTACACTTCGGTGGTGGTGTGGGTCACCAATGACTTGGTCGTCTTCCCATCCTCGCCCACTCGTTCCTCGCTCTCCTGCCATCGCGTCTCGCCGTATCCATTTATGGTTATAAAGATCGCTGCAATTGGGTTAATTTATCTGTACTGCCGGGAATGTAATTCAATTATGCATTTAGTTTAATTGTATCTGACCTTTGGTCTTTGTGTTTTCGGATATAATATTGTGTATCGGAAAATGGTGCGGCGTACTACACAAAGAAACCTTTTGTTAATTGACTAACAATAATTCCGAGAATAATTTAATCATAAGCATAACAAAAAAGAATGAATGCTTTCTAATAAAGTTCACCGCTAAATTTAATTTCTGTTATAGTTCGAATGATTAATACCCTTCGGAAATAAAGTAACAATAAAATACTGGAAATGCTTTAAATTTCAAAATTGTAATCTAATGAAGATTTAATTAATGGTCGTTATGTGCAAGTAAACTTTGTAGGCTATAGGAATAGCTAAGGCTTAAGTCGACTTGAATTACCTCTAATTCCCTCTAAAAGTAACCCAAAATTCTACAATTCAAAGGTATTGGCACGAATGTGCTGACCAGTAAACTGAATCAAATGCCTAATAATATAAACAGAGGACGCAATTTCAAAACAAAACTAGTTTTTCTGCCGCTATCAGATATCCGAAGCCAGCCAAGCGGCCACATGTGTGTTTGTCTATAAAACTGACTGTATATATATACAATACATACATATGTAGGTACATTCATACATATCTTCCAAACAGATCTACCGGCAACAATAACAAAAGCTTTGGACAACAAAAACACCAACAATATTAATGACGACGCGACTACGCAACGAAAGTGGATGGGAATATGGAATATGGAGTGGGGGAATCTGAATTTGAATGGGGATGGAGATTGAGGGCCATGACGTCATGGTCTCGGAGTCTATTAGAATACTGCGTTGTCTTCCGCATGTCTTTAACTTACATCGAATGGTTTTTGGACGCTCGGTAACCAGTTCCGCGGTGCCGGAGATTAGCTGACCGGCTTGATAGACCCCCAGGGGATTGCTGTCGAAGGCGAAGGTCACCTTGCTGCTCATGTTGTCCACAAGTTTGCTCCTTGGCGACGGTGTCAGGCGGTATCGGGATATTAAGTTCCTTTGTTTGTTTGTTTTATTGATAGTGGCAAGGAGTGGTTGAGTTTCAAGGGTCTGGGGTCAGAGAAAACTCAGCTCGCGAACACCGAACGCGAGCAGCTCTGGCTTAATACTGATTGCTCAAAAGTCGTCAACGATTGTGGAAGCGAGTGTGAGAGTATCTGAAGAAGAAGAAGTGCAGGCAAAACGGGGAAGTACATGTAAATTATACGGAACAAAAGAAGTAATGGGTAAATTTAAAATTTGTAAGTGTGATATATATATACATATATAAACATTTAATTATGTGTGTATTAATACTTATTTTGTAATTTGAAATAAAATAATTTTTTATATTGAAAACATTTTTTTATTTTGAAAACAAACTTTTGAACTTTGAAAAGAAACAATAACATACCTTATAATAATAGAATAATATGGAGTGGAATTTCAAATTAATAAATTAAATTAAATTAAAATAAATGCTCTGTGATATATTTTGATAATACGTTTTTTCCTCACATTTCCCAATTCAAATATCTGCAAATTAACCGCTTAAGCTCGCCGGTCACCATGTGGCAACGCCTCGAAACAGCTGATTCAGTTATCGGACCGTCGCTCTCTAAGTTATCGAAAGAGAGCCAGCAACTACAACAAAAACGTATCTTGGATCTCGTAAATTATAAGAAATTTAATTATTCAATCCATTCGGGAAGCGGTCGTCAGCAATCGAATTAAATTAGCTCGATAAACACTTGTAGGCCATGGCAAATTAATAGAAACGAAAATTGGCCAAAGTCAGCGCGAAAAAGCTCCCATTCCTCGGCGCGGTGTGTGTAGTAAAGTAAATCGTAAATCGTGAACCGTGAATAGTCGAGTGCGTGTGGGGGTGCTACTATTCTGCATATATTATTTAGGGTGGTGCGGGTTGGGTCAGTGGTGCGCTGCAGTGCATCAACGTTTCTATGTGGCGGCATTTTGATGACGAAATTATTTTTGGATAAGTGCTTGATGAAAGTGGCCAAAACGGAGGAGTCATCAACATCATCAGTTGCAGAATGGAGAGCGAGCGGTTGCGAATCACGCTGGATAGCGCGGATCGGGTTTACTTCGCAGGCGACATTATTCGAGGAGAGATCTGGATGAATGTAAACAAGCGCACAAAAATACGCGGTAAGTGCAACTCGTATATACCCAGCCAATTCCTGGAAAACCTAACTTAAAGCCCGGCTTACATCATTCGTGACTCAGACTCTGGCGCAAAGCAGAGAAAGAAAAAACTTTATGATAAAGGAAGTTCACCACGAAAGTTTAGATCGAATAAGAAACAATTGTGGTATTTACGATCTAACATTACTGCTCAAATTGCAATGTTTTGTCAGCAGTATTAAGTCCATTGTTTGTCCAATGGCCAACTGGACTTTCGATGCGGTCTCATTCGCATAAACAAAGAACTCCATCAGTTTACAAAGCACAGCGGCCATTGTATGGGGCTACCTCTCCTGCCTTCCCCGGCCGTACCGAGATTCTTGCTCGCAAATTCTTCCAATTGCCTTCTGCACTCGCCTTTCATTCATCGATAAGCATTCAATTGCCGCCCCGTACAATTGAATTTGCTTTCTTTCTTCTTGATTCTTGAGCACTGGCATTTGTTTCAGGAAATGCCAAACCAACCGAAACGCATTGGTGAGAGAGAGAGAGGGAAAGAAGTTGGGGCCGTTTGCGATGAGAGGCGCACTCTGTTTGCGTGCCGAAAATGCCGTAATATTGGGCCAAGCGCAAAGTCAGGTCTACGAGAGAGAGAGGTCAGAAACTGCTCTCAGCACAGTGGAGGTCACAAAAAGTTTATTTAATTAATAAATTTAAAACAATTGAAAAAATCTTTTTTGATAAGGCTAATTTTAAATATATAAATTTAACTAAATAGCATCATATGTTATACAATATATGTATCCTAATAAATTTTACCTCACCAAATTGGTTGACCCTCGACTGTAGCTATTGCGCCTCTCTGTTGTGATTTGCCTTTGTGCAGGTGTGCGTGAGAACTAGCCAGTCAGCACAGCTGGTCTGTTGCATGTGTGCGTCAGAGAGCGGGAGTAATTGGGAGCGCCACACTATCCCGCATCTTTCGTGTTTTAATGCGCTACGCGAAAATCAAAGGGCATTTTGATGGCACCAGGTGAAGCCATAAATGTAGACTTCACGCATCGGGACAAGTGTTTGCGGACTGAGGGTAAAAATAGATGAACGGCTGTCCGTTAACTGCCCCAAAGTCAAAGTCGGCCATTACGTTATCAGCGCAAATATAACAAACGGGATTTATTATCAGAGCACAGACTACGAGTACAAAAATATGTTTATACAAAAAAGGGGGAGCTGCATGAGGGAAATGTTTTTTGTGAAAATAAGGAATACATGACAACAGCTGCCAATTCGTAAGGCTTCGCAATTACATTAATTATTCGCCTGTTTCTTCGACCCGACCCACAAACATACATATTACATTCGTGCTCAATTATATAAATATATATATATATGAAGATATCTAAATATGTTATGCACTTAATTGAACACAGCAGTTTATCGTTAGTTTGTGCACAATGAATGAAAATCCGGGACGTCTATTACGCGTTCATACGGTCCCTAAGGAAGAGCTCCATCCGCGGCCAGATCTCCTTGGTCCTTTGTCCCTTAAAAGTGGCAACCAGGCCTTTCTTTTCGTACCAGGCTATTACCGGTTTCATTATTTGGTCGTAGAGTTCCAGCCGTTTGGCCACAACATGTGGTTTGTCGTCTTCGCGCTGCGTGAGAGGTTCGCCCGTAACATCGTCCTTGCCAGGGACCTTAGGATCTTGGAAACCTATGTTGTACACCCTGCCGGAGGGCGCATGAATCCAACGATTCTTGACTCGATCAATAATCACATTGTGTGGAATGTCCAGCGCGATCACGGCATCAATCTGCTCGCGAGCGGCTAGCGCCTCAGCCTGAGCGATGTTGCGAGGGAATCCGTCCAGAATATATGATTTGTTACCCACCTCGGTTATTCGGGCCAACATTGTCTTGGTCACTATCGAATCTGGCACCAGTTGACCATCAGCAATATATTGCTTGGCCTTTTTACCCAGCTCAGTGTTTTTTATGATATTCTGGCGCAGTATGTCGCCCGTGGAGATGTGCACACATCCATGGTTCTTGCATATTAGATCCGAAATTGTTCCTTTGCCCGATCCGGGGGCTCCGATTATCACAGCGCGAAAGATTTTCGTATACATGGTTAAGCTCTTTTTACTGTACTTCTTCTTGAGCTGTAAGATAAAAATACAAGAGTTACTATATAATCAGAGATTATGTTTATGGCATATCATATCATATAAAATGTTTAGTTAAATTTATTTTTATTTACTTTAAAAAAATATGTAATAAAGAAGGTGCTTAGTTTAGGGTTAATAACTGATAATCTTGGTGGTACCACCAAAAATAGTTTCAAACCAAATTCACTTGTTGACCACCTTTGACAATCTTTATGATGGCGATAACCTTATCAAGCACGCTACAATTGTTTGATACAAAGGTGATGAAAGGTTACAGTTTTTGCTATTTGGTTTATATGTTTTATGACTAATCACGCAATCACGCAATCGAAGTAAAGATTTTGATTCAATAAGTGTGCACACATAGTAATAAAAGATAAACAATTGTCAGCTGTTTGTTAACCAATATGCCGCATGGCAACAAGTGTAGCGCACAAATTACCAAGAGCGGCAACAGCAACAAATAAGCGTGGCTTTTCAGCCTTATGTTCTTTGTCTTGGTATAAACCAGATATTTTTGTTGTCGCCCGCTTATCGTCCAAAGTCCGCATGGAAAATTGTATGTAGAATATGGGTTCAATGTCGCGCGTGTTGTGTGGTTTTTCTGCAATTCTGCATTTCTTCACTGCACTTTATTCGCTTTTGTTATATAAATTAGCAGCCAGTAACATCACCTCTTTTCACACTTACACGGCACTTCTTTTTCGGATGTCGAATTTATAGTTTGGGAAAATTTTCGGTTGTCCGCTACCGTATCTCGCTATCAATTGTTGCCCGCGTACTAATTGTGCGATAACTTGTCGCCGTTTAGTATTCTAATTTGGTGTCCGCAGCTGCGGCGTTTGATTTTTTTTTTGTTCCGCTGCTGCCGGCTGGCGAATATCAAATGAAACAAGTCGTTATCTTTCTTGTTTGCTTGACTCTTGTTGTTTAGCTTCCAGGCTTTCGTATTTCTCTCATGAGCGCCCAACTGACAGCCGGCTCTCTCTTCTGTACTCCCTTCTCTCACAAAAGTGCAGTGCAATAAGGGGGATAAGGATAGTAATGCTGTCTCTCTTTCTCTGCGGGCAGTTGAGCTCTCCGCTCTTGGGGCAGTCTTTCTCTCACTCTCTCATTGGGAATAATTGCAGTTTGGACTTTAATTTAGATTCATATGCAAAATATCTGAAATACAAAACTATTTTTAAGTTCTTAAGTTTATCTGAAAATTTATAATGATTATTTTCTCAAAGGATTAATATTCACATTACACACATTTGTAATAGTTTCAAAAACAATATATTTTTTTAAATTGTGATAAATCAATGATGATAAATCAAAAAAGATTTCTTTCAGCAGGGCTTTTTAAATTATCAGTAATCAATTTTAAATTTAATAAATTATTTGTATGCTAATTTGCTAGTCAATACAAATTTGTTTTATAAAATATATAAAAAAATCTAAGATTTAACGATCTTATTTGAATCACAGATTTAAAAATAATAAAACGTAAGAATCGCATAGTACTTACATGACTTGTGTGTTAAGTATGTAGTTATGTATGTTATTACACAGAAACTGGTTTGTTTGAGATCTGGATGTTGTATAACTTTTTACAAAAATTATTAACATGTGTTTTTCTTTTAATAACTTGTCGATTGGTGCATGTCACCTGAAAAAGTTACCTTAGCAATAAGAGACACTCCTGAATATCAAATACTTAATTGTATTTGGATAATGTTTAGAAATAATAACAATTCAATTGATTTATCCATGCAAGTTATGCATACTTTTGCTTCTTAAGCTTCTTTATTAGTTATCAGAGAACATTTCTCAGGGGGAGCGTTTTACAAATTTGAATATCAAAATCAAATGTACTTTATCATCTACAAGGAAACTTAACACTCGTAGTACTTGTGGGCGTCTAGGACTAAACTCCTTCGCCTCCTGTTGTGAACTCTGCACCTGTCACTGCTTTACCGTCCACTCCTTCATTGGCACCAATTTTCCCTTGCTGAGTAGCTGAATGGTTCTTCTCCTCCTTGCCATTTGGCTCCAAGGCACGGGAAACACTACGTGCATCATGATTGTACCAGGAGTATTTGTTGCGATTCACGACGCCGCGACCACGGCCTCTACCTCTCGGCGGAAAGCGAGACTGGAAATGGCGTGGACTCTGACTGCGGGTGCGCGAACGGGAGGGACTCCGGGAGCGGGTACGTCGGGCGCGACTCTTTGAGCGGGTTCGTCGATAACGGGTCGCTGGAGATGGTGTACGACGTGGCACAAATGGTGAGGGTGTCCGGCGTTTCTTGAACGGCGAGGGCGAGCGCCTATTCACAAAGGGCGAAGGCGAGCGCCTATGCCCGAAGGGTGAACGCCTGGGTACGAAGGGTGAGCGCCTTGGAACGAAAGGCGATGGAGTCCTCCGACGGTGGAAAGACCGCGAACGGCGATCCCGCCGGTTTGCATAGCGCCTAACCACAAATCGATTGCCATAGCGGCGTGGCGAGCTACTGCGAGACCGCGAGAAGGTACGTCGCCGGCGAGACTGCGACCTGCTTCTCGACCTGGATTTTGAACCGGAACGCGAGTCTCCACGTCGGCTCCCGTGCCTCGAACGAGGACTTCTTCCGCGTCGGCGATATCGCGAGCGACTTCGTGAGCGGCTAATACTTCGGCTGCGTGAGCTGCTACTTCGGCCTTCTTTTAGTGGCTCCGCCAGACGTAGCATCCCCAACTTGTCCATTTGCAATGGTAGCTTTTTGATTTGAAAAGAAAGCTTGGGTCCCGGCTCCGGTGGCTTCTTTTGCTCATGATACTTCGATACCGGTGGATGGTCGCCACCAGTGGCAGATACGGCAGCTGCATGCCGAGAGGTGCTGGGTCCCATGGTATCATAATTCGATTTTTTTGATGGAGCCGCTGTTTTTCTCATAGGCGGTGGTGGAGGTGGAGAATCTCCCTTTCCTTTCTCCTTGTCGTTGAGATAGTCTCTGATCTTCGCTTTCAGCTCCGCCTCGCTACTTGTACTTTTCATCAGCCTAAAAGAAAAGCGAACAGGGGTAATGAATCCATATTTTTGTGATTTAACCATATTAACACCCCAAATGAATAATGTATCCAATTTGGGATTTTCGTTTGAGGCGCTTGACGGTCAAATCAAATTCCTGGTACATACTTGTCTTGGCTATCACAGTGGGTTAGGCAGGGAAATCTCAAGAGAATTTATATCTATTGCGCAAAGAGCATCTTTTGCTGCAAAACTCACCTAAAGGCCTCCTGAAAGTCGATCTTCTTGAGCAAATCTATTGGGTCCTCTACAACGGACTTGGACCTCCTGCCCTCCTTCTTGTCCTTTTTTTTCTTGCCCTTTTTCTTTGCCTTTTTGTGCTTGCTAGCCTCCCGTAAAAGCTTCCGAACACTGGTCACGGTCTCATCATCGTCCAGCCGGAACTCATTGGCCTTTTGGGCATCGATGACATCCAACTTTTCCTTCCCCGGTGGTTTATTCTGGTTTTGGGAATAGAAGGGCTGATTGATGTTCGTCTTGGCCTTGCCAGCTAAAATGGGGAGTTGGTTATTGGTTGGAATTGTGCATGAGAAAATATATAAACCCAGGATCAGAGCTTCTATAGCCGGGGACGCTTGAACTGATCCCGATATGTACTTACCCTGTTCTTCGCTTTCACTTTCACTGTTACTTGATGAGGTAGATTCGTCCGAAGATTGGCCACCGGTAGGGCGGATAAGATCTGAGCTTAGTCTTTGCTTACCGTCTCCACTTCGCTGCAGTGCGTCCAAGGACTGGCGTGCCTGCTCGTGCTGAGGCAGCAGGTTTAGACAGTCGCTATAGGCCTTTACCGCTTCGGGAATACGGTTCTCCTCCTCATAACTACGACCAAGAGCCACTAGCGTTTCGCCCATATACTGGCGCGCGTTGAAGTGATACTTGTTTAGGTTAAGAGCCTTCTCAAAGTCCTGCAGCCCTTTACGGAAGCTGCCGCAGTTCGCGTAGAGGGCACCGCGCGCCACCAGACCCTCAACATTGCGCGGATCAATGTTCAAAGCCTTGTTCAAGCACTGAAAGGCTTCGACATGTTGGCCATTCTTAAAGTGCTCGATGCCATCAGCCACGGAGCTGACGGGTGAGCAATCAATGAAAGTATTTGGTGTGATAGGATGTGCGAATGATGGAATGACATACACTGGCAAGTCTCAATTCAGAAGTTAAACTTACCGAAAGGCCCACTGGGAGGCTTGCTTTTGCCGAAGCTCCGAAGCGGTCTCTGACTCAGGGAATCCTGTCTTCAAATTGCTCATCAGCGTCAGATTCTCATTTGGTTGCAAGCCGTTCAGCTGGAACAGCATATCGTAGTTGGGGTTTGCAAACTCTAAGGCTTTGTTCAGTTCATCCTCGTAGTGTAAAACCGATGGATGCTCTAGGTTATGTATATCACTGCAGAAAAGACATTGGTTTAGAAGGATCTAAAATATGTTTTTAACAAGTCCACATTGTTTACCGATAATACTTTGGCAACTCGTTAAGGTCGCATAGTCCAAACTTTAAGTCTGGCGATTTGTTAAGCATGCCAATCATGTTTAGGGTGAGCCGCTCGGTATCCGCAGATATGCTGCTAATCTCGCAGCGCAGGAAATCACTTATGGAAAAATTACGCGGGTTTCCTTGCTTGTCCAGGGGCAAGGGACCCCAGTAGTCTTGCAGGATCATGGCCTGAAACCATGCAAGGGGTTAGTTGTAATTTTATTATAACATAAATATTGACGTAAATTTGAATTTCTATTGCAAAACAACAAATAAATAAATATTAGTTCATATTACCTTAATGGGTATATCGGCCAAATAGGCATGCTTGGGTTCGGCGGTACATAGTGGCTTTACCACGAGTCTGTTGCCGTTGACCAACCTTGTCACCTGGGTGTAGATAATGTCGCCCTGCTTAAGGGCATCAAGGCGGTGGGGCCACGTCTTGCGTTTGTCCTTCACATTCAGAAAGAACTCGAAGGGAGGCATTTGCGCAATGTAAGTGTTGCCTGAAATGTGTGTAACAAAGGAGTTACTAATGCCTAAAGATATAAATTAGAAACCCACCTTGAGCTAGTACAGAATCCTCCATAACATTGGCTACCATTCCGCGGTCATACAGATCGGTGGCCTTCCGGGCCAGAAACTGGTGCATTTTAAGCCTTTTAGCTCGCTCCTGAAAGGTGAAAAACTTCTGCCGTTCTTGATAGACAGCGTAGTTCACTTGGGTGAGGCCCATCACTCGCAGATCTTCCACGCCTCGCTCGTCATCCCAGATCTTCTGCAACGGCTGTCCATGGTAGCCCAGTGCCTGGCCAATGTACTCAAAGTTCATCCTTGCAAATCTTTTTTAAACCATTTGAAGTATTTTAAAAGGCAAAGATAACTGCAGGAAAAAAAAACCCACACCCGATTTTATCGGGCAAGAAAATGTCGGCAGCGGTCTGGGTTGAATAAAACAACGCTGGTCCACTTTTCAGGCACTTAATACCACTCAGGCAGATGGCTGTTGCGATATTCCCTAGCTTATACACAATTTAACACGCGTTTGCTAGCACATTCCTCGCGAAAAAATTAATTCCGTGCCGAACAGCTCGTAGCAATAGGAAGAATATATCAAAATATCTGTGTGTCGGTCTCGTTTTTGTCCCATAATACCAAAACGCCTCGGGAAAGTTTGCCAGCTGGCCACACTAAAGAAAAGACGATGCAGCCCTGTCATGGATGGTGTACCCGCTAAGTAAGGTAGATGACAATGGTGATATGGTGGGTAACCCATCTACTGAAGAGTGCTAACGGGCTATTTGATTATTTAAAAACTTAAAAATAATATAAATAAAAGTCGAAGTTTATGAAATGATGTGAGATTTGAAACCGGATAAAAGCGGATTATATTAATTATTCTAATAATTTCTTTGTTCAATTTGTTTTCCAGCGATCAAGGTGCAGGTCACCGGAAAGGGCAAGTGCAAGTGGATGGAGATCCTGCGCAAGAACTCAAACAACAACGAGTACTCCCGCAGCCTGTTCTACACGAGCAAGGAGGTGTATGAGCACAGCGAGACTCCTCTGCCGGATTTCGAACCACGTGGATTGGAACTCTCGCCCGGGGAGCACACCTTTATCTTTGAAGTGGCGCTGGGTCGCCAGCTTCCATCCAGCTTTAAAGGCAGTTATGGTGGCATCAAGTATAAGATGCGTGTCCTCATCCAGCGTCCGTGGACGTTTGACGAGCGACACACTATTCCTTTTACCGTGGTGAAGAATATGCCGCTCCAGCCATCGCAACGCAGTATTCCCAGTTCGTTGGAGAAGCAAGTGACCAAGACGATCAGTTTATTTGGGACACGACCGATAACCTTACTAGCCCTTTTGCCAGAAGATTTTGCGGTGCGTGGAGAGCCGCTTAGAATTTGCGCCACTGTGATCAACAACAGCACCACCGCCGTGGAGAAGCTGCGCTTCAGCGTGCTGCAGTATGTGACCTACTACAGTCATGTGCCATTGCGGGTGCAGAAGGTCGAGTGCATCGCGGTGGCCACCAAGGAAACGGGTTCGGTGCAAAAGAAGACAGAGCGCAGCTTTGCCCATGAATTGCTTTTACCCGAAGGAGCTCAGCCAACGGATGAACAGATGAGTGGCGTTATCACCATCGTATACGAGCTGCGTGTGGAGGCGGTGCTGAGGGGATTCTTTAAGAATTTGATCCTTAATCTTCCCTTCAAAGTGTACTCACAGGATACGTCCAATAGGCTGAGTTCACTGCGTCCGCCGCCGCCACCTCGGCCAAACGATGGCCCACCTGGTCCGGATGTGGGCTCTGGCAATCCATTCGAACCAGCCCTGCCGGTTTATCCCTCGCTGGACTCTTCTATTGGCTCGCCCTCACACTCTTCGCAGTTTAGCGAGTGTAGCTCGATTAACTCTATAACCTCGGACTCTTCAGCGGCTACTTTGAGTCCTGCTGTGGGTGGTGCCGCTGGGGCCATGGAATTATCCTACACTTCTGGATCACAGTCTTCCCAATATGGAAGCCCATCGGCTAGAACTAGCTTGCGTAGCTCCAATGTGCCGTATATGCCGTACTCGTCCAGCCCATTGATGGTGCAGTCGTATCCGCCACCCCATCTGCCCGCTTATCCGATGCCAGAGTCGCCGCAGTACTCACTCCTTGCCCTGACACCACCACCGACTGGAGTGACCGCCGCACCAGCAACTGCGAATGGAGCAGCAGGTGGCGGAGCAGCTCCGGGTTATAGCCAGCTGCCATCTACTTCGGCCTCAGCCTCGTTCCTGCAGTCTCGACAGGCATCTGGAGCCCATGAGTTGCGTAAGCTTAGCAAAAAATATTAATAAACATATAAATAAATATTAAATTGTTATTTTTATATATTTTACAGCACCTTCCTATGAAGAGCTCTTCGGCTTGGCAAACGCCCCTCCGGGAACTCCAAAGTAAGGAGTGATAGGCAGTCCTGAGCAGTCACCCAGTTACGTCCAAGCTTTGCCTAAACATAGAGCTTCAGGTTTACTTTATAGTGTTATAGAGTATCTAAATATCGATTATATCCTACACGGTATATTACGCTTCGAGCACAAACCATAAGCAATTTGTGCACAAATCAATCGCACAGTGTAACCACATAAACTGATTTAATTCGGCTATAGTCTCCCATTGAAAAGTTATATTCTGATATATGTTTTTATTTCGATTTCATTTGCACTGATTTTAAAGTTAGGTTTGGATAAGGCAAATGGTTTCTTGAAGTTAAAACATTTTCTATCTTATGATATTATAAGACTTAACCGTTTTGTTCTATTGACATTTACAAGATTGAAAAACTATACGCAAAATATTTTTTTTTGTTAACTTTATATACCTGACAATAATCCGAACAACTTCTTTGCCTTGTCCACTTAACCTACAACTTGAGCTTAAAATCACTTATTTTTATCTCTTAGCCAGAAAATATAAAGATCTATAGCTAGCTTGTTCGATTGAATTAGATAGAATCACAGGCAAAAACTACAACCAATTAGGCAAACAAAAAACTCACTATAACTAAGTATACATATTATATTCAAACAAATTCTAAATTAGTTGAAAAGTAACATATGAAAAAGTTTAAAAAATTATTTAGGTAAAACCAATTTTTTGAATTTAAAAAGTCTGTCTTCGGCTAAACTCGATTATCAAATGGATTTTATCCTGATAAGCCAAACTCTGCGCATTTTTTGAAGAGTTGAATCTTTCGAATTACTCAAAGACTCATGAGTATTTATCTCACAAATAACTTGAAACATATTTCCTGCCCGCCTATTTATCTGACATCTCTTATTTATATCTCCAAAGAATCTGATGAAAATGGCTTATAGATCTAGTGTCTCATTGAAATTCTATACCAAAACAGGTCTAACATTACTATTTATTTCTCTCACTGCATTATGTGTTTAGCATTTAAGTACTTAAGCACAAATCGAATATGTTGAAGGATATTTTGATTCTCTAAACAAGACATGAAGAAAATGAAGATTGAATCAATAAGCTTTAGTGCCTCTGTATGATGAACAAATCGAATGGTTATCGTTATTGAACACACACATAGGTATCGATAAACAAATTTTATACACATATTACCGATATAAATCATCGTTCGGAAGCAATGTCAACTAACTTTTAGTTTTAAGCGCACGAATGTATATTATGTACGATCAAACAATTTCGTTTAAGGTGCTTTACAAATCACTATTTTTGGATACCAATTTTTTGTTTTCTCTTGAATTTAGTGCATGGTGGACTAAATGTCAAATTTTGATTTACATAAACAAGAAAACTGAATAAAATGTTAATATAATTACAAAAAAAGGTCATCTATGGATGCTCTTCTTAGTTTTTTCTTAAATTATTGAATTTTTATTATTTCTGCTGACTATTTTTAGGTACTAAGATTTTGGGAACATACTAAAATGGTGCTTTCCCCACATTTGTTAAAGCAGGTCATGTTATAACCTTACAGCAACTGGCAACCCCTCAAAAAGTGTACTTTCTTGTACGTGTTAAATTACAATTTCAAGTGCTTGAAGGAAAGTGCGTTGCTGTCGCCCACGCAGCTACCTGTGTCTGCTTCTGCTTCTGCTGTTGCCCAGTTGGACAGGTGATGGGTGTAAGTGTGTGTGTGTGTTGTGTGGGGGGTGTGAAAAGGTGAAGGGTGGTCGGTCGGTCAGGTGAAATGCTCTGTAGTGAGTGGTGAACGTGTGCGGCTTTTGTAACAAGTAACGGAAGTGTTAAGTCAGCTGTAATTGTTTTCTTTCATATTTTTTCCAGTTACCGCTGCTGTCGAGGGCGACAATTTAGTTTGCCCAATGGCGCTAGGGGAATCAGAGTAACCATAAATTATACTCCAACATTGCCATGGGGGGTGGCGGGTTTTTTTTTTCCCTTTTTTTGGTTTTCATAAAAGCCTGAAAGACCGAAAGGCATATATAAACAAAATTGTTAAATAATAGCGACATTTAGCGGAAGTGTAGTGCCTGCCGCATTCTGAAAACTTCAGCACGCGCGACAAACGATCGCGGGGTTCTTATTATTTCCACGATTCACTCCCTCGCGTTTCCATTTCGTCAAATTATAGAGGTGCTAGAAGTGCTAGAAGCGCGAACTCAACTCAATCCCATTTTCCATGTACTTAAATGTCTTAATCGCTGTTGGGTTTAACTTCTATTTGACTTTCCAGCTGGGGTTGTGGAAGGTTAATGATTTGTTGACCATTTCGTGGGCCGGGTGGGTAGTGGTGGGCTTGCTTTTTGGCTATTGAACGTGCCACAAACTGATATTAAGTATGCGCCATGTGTGCCACTGTCTTAGCCATTGAAACGGATACAGATTGATAAACACGTACGTGAATGGCAGTAATTTAAGATTTCGTATATATTTTTATGTGCTCACAGACATAACGAGGTGAATGTAGTTTACTTTTGGATGTTTGTGCTGAAGGACTCTATAGAAGGTTTAGGAAGACTGCCGATAGTATAGTAAATAGAAGTGCTTTAATTTTCACCACTTCCCACTCAAGGAAACCCCAAGTCTCTCATTTTAACCAAAAAGTACCTACCAAAAACTTTCGACCCATATGGCCAAGCGGACAATGATCGAGTTTTTATTAAAACTCGAGCACACATGCCGGATAGCCCCCGTATCCTGTCCTGCAGTGGAAAAACCAAAGCCATCTGCGTCATCCAATGACTGGGAATTAGTTTATTTCACTGTCCAAAGAGACAGAAAAAAAGGCAGACAGGGCAGGGACAATCGAAGGAAGCCAAAAGAGCATGTTAAAGAAGCCCGGGCACATGGCCTAATGCCAAATAACCAAATCAAAACTAATCAAGCAGAAGTTACTGCAACTGCCGCACAGCAGGTGGCATCCGATTTTCCAAGGGGGGTTGCCGATATTATGGATGGGTGTATTCTGGCCACAGTGAAAATGGTTTTAAATTGCTGTCTGATTGTCTTTCAAGTTGGGCCCACACTTGTGGCGCCTCTGCTCCTTTTTCCTCACAGCAACCTTCTCTCAACTGTGACTGAAATTTAATCAAGCGTTGAAATTTTTGCACGTACGTATTTCTATTTCTATTTCTATTTCTATCATATTCAATGGCCGCTCCAAATTCTGGCTCTTGGTCACATGTGTGATTCTCTGTCCGTTGTGGTCACAGTGGGTTCTCCATCCCAACATCCCCCACATCCGCGTTGATTTTTCCCCACTTGTGTGAATGGTCCCAAAACGAGCTCTGGGTTCGTTTTGGGGCAACAGTTGCTAAAGATTGTGACCTTCTTGGCTCCCTCTCTCTTTATTATATACGCTTCTTTTTTTTTTGTTAGTAGTAGCTGGAATGGCCGCTTCATTAAGCTTTTTTTGTTGCCTGGCAGCAAGCTGTGACGGATTCGAGGAGTTGAAGTTTGTTTTTGTGCGCGGTCCTTGGCGCAGGGCTTCCCTAGAAGGGAGGTCAGTCAGGCGATAATTAGCGGGAAAGTTGGATTCACGGAAACATAACTTAGTTATGTACTCACTAAGCAGGTTATGAAATATATAAAAAGAGCATTTAATTGTAATTTTCATATTTTAAAGTAGAAAACAGAAATGTATGACTTAACACTGGTAAGTAAGTTTAATGTTACATTTCCCTTTTATGCCTTTTGGTGGTAACTCATTGTCTTAATAAATATTTATTGGATTGTAATATGACAGATATTTTGTTCGTCTGCAATGCAATTTCATTTATCCACCACCAAAGTAGCAACATCTTGACTTGGTTTTAATATCAATTTGACACAGTTGTTGTTGGCCTTCGCCACGTGCTGTTCATTTTTCCGTGCAATTTGATTGCAGGATGCCCTCTTACCCCCCTACATCACAAGCACCAACTTCCATGGCACGCATACCACCACACACAATATGTTGCAATTTCTGTTAATTTCGTTATTGAGACACGTTCGCACGAACTGTGGGCGGGGGGGCAAAGCTTTTCGCTCGAATTCCCATTGCGGTGCCGCAGATGAACTGCAGCTGTTCGCCGGACGTCGAGGAAATTTTGCACTGGAGAAGATCAAATTCCCGTACCCCAAACTAAAATCCAATGCTGGCTGATTGATGCCGGAGGAGCAGAGCTTGGCCTGGCCATCGATTGGCCAAAAGAAGCCACAGCAAAAGCTTGCGGTGTGTGCATATAATTTGATATACCCGGCGATAAGCTAAAAGTGGCCAAGAAGAAAGAAATCCTTAAGCGTTAGCCAGGCCAATTTCCAAAACGGCCACAGGCCACAACAAAGAACTTGACTGTGTACAGCAATTTATGCGCATTTAAGCAGCAAAATCAACTGGCTCTTTGGCAAAATTATTATGGTATTTCATAGACCAAGTTGAGACCATTTGAGTGTGAAATATTTGAAGGGCATTTTTGGAGTCTAAGCCCTGTGGTTATTTTATTTTTAGATACTAATTGAAACGGAATTTGCCAAAAAAATATACTTTTATTTACTAAACAGCATTTTATTAGATTTTTTCCTCACATATCTCGCAATTCCACTAACTATTTGCAATAAATTTCCCAACTGACTTTTAATTGACAATTAAAACACTTTTGGCTGCGACTAGCATAACATTTTCTTTGATGATGTAACACGGCAAATAAACAAAACCGTGCACTTTTTGTTCAACTCAACAGCTGTGTGTGTGTGTGTTTTCAGTCAATAAATATGCAATTAATGTGCAAAAATCAACATAATCAAATTACGAGCGTTTGATTGGTTAAATTGAATTTATAATGATGGCCGAACCGTTTTCGCTGTTGGATAATCAGTTTAGCATTGTAATGCCAGAAAGTATCTGTGGCTCAATTCAAATTGTTCGCTAAACCAGAAACATGCATAAAAACATAGTCAGCGAGCGCGAAAATGTATGCAAATAAGTAAAACATTTATATGCATTAACACTTTAATCTGTGACAGGGCTGATTTTATACGCTCAATTGAATTAAAGATATTTGCTGAAAACAATTTTCAGCAAAAGCAAAAAAAAAAACCAATTGCAATTGCAATATTTATGTAATGAATACGTCCCCCGTCCGTCTCTCCTCTTGCATTCATTTCAAATTTATTGCACTTAACTTGGGCAAAATGTTAACATTTAATCAAATCAAAACAAGCTAACAAACCCAATCTCATACTCAGATTCCAGGCAATAGCCGGCAAAAAATGCAATAAATATTTGATTGGTTTTTATGACTGACAATAAAAAAATAAAAAAAATGTGCAGAAAAATGCAAATAAAAGTAAATAAAAACATATGCATATAATTAGTAGCCAGCTAAAATTTGATTTGACCAGCAAAATTTAACGAGGAAATGGAAACGAAATGGAATAAAAATCAATTTTGCACTGAGAATGAAGTTTTGCAGAGATTAAATCAAGGAAAATACTTCAAATATATACAATATTCGACAATTCAAGTTTAATAAATGCATTTTTTTTATAGATTTTAGTGAAACATTTATTTAATTAACAAAATTATAATTCCAGACTAACTAGTTCAGTGCACAAAAATAATATTTAAATTCTTTTTAAATGCCAGCACATTTAATTTGCCTGCTCAACCCAAAAAAAAATATAAATATTTACTCATATTTACTATTTATTTTTTATTTCTCAAATTTTGTTAAATTCTTTGAGTAAAATTTTGCTGCAATAAATTTGGTTAACTAGGAATGCCACTCCCAGCCGCAGGATGACAAACGAAGGTGAGTTTCGTGCAAAATGGCAAAGACAAGTAAATCAAATTAAATTGGAATGTTATGGAATGTCCAGGCTGCCTACAAAAATACTTTTCCACTATCCCATGAACCAAGTCTAAGTGGGTGCAATGCCCAAGACCCTGACAAGGTATGGCTGAACCACATTCTTGTGGTTCTTGGTAGTCCAAAGTGTCCTTGTCTCGGCCAAATATCCAAATTAATAAAATACAAATATTCACAGTGCTGGGCGAAAGTTAACCGACAGAAGCAGTTGATTAGTCTGCCATGACAATGCCAAGGATTTTTCACATTCCATGTGCAAATTGATTCAATTATTGGCATTTAATTAAATGCAAATAGTCGTTTGCCCACCTGTACCCTCCATCCGCTTCTCTATCATCCCCTTGATTTGGGCTTCCCTCCCCCCTTCGGCGACCACCAGTTTAAAGAACTTCATTAAAATACCAGCCCACGACGACGTAGTAGAGCTCGAAACCAAAACCAAATATTTCGTTCATTTCATTTTGTCAAATTTAAATGCCCCTTGACAAAAGCTTCGACCATCAAGCTCATCCCAAT